CTTCTCGTTGCCTCCGTTTCTCGTAGCGCATCATTGCTTGGTGTCCCTGCACCCCTGAGCCAAAACGATTTAACAAGGTTTCAAAGATTTTCTCAGCAATTTCTTGTTGGTACTGCTTTTTAGCCATCACGCAGTTTAAGGCTGTCCCTTCCAAGTTACTGGTATGCGCACTACCTTTCTGACAAGTCCTCTTCCTCAAAATGCAGTTTCATCACTTCTATCCAGGTATCAATACAGCCATCAGATTCGTCTTTGTAGCATCTTGGTTTCTTAAAAACCCTTCTGGACTTTTTGCTACGTTCATTGGTTCTAGATAACCTCGTAAGGAACGTCTCCAAAGACCTGTTCAGAGGTTCAAAGGCTGTGGCTATTGATGTCGCCACTCTTGAAAGCCCTGCCTTAGTATCATTGCCCCTGTAAGGGTTCTGCACTCGGAACTTCCCTTTCGTCCGATTCACTTGGATTGTTTCTTCCTTGGCTCGCATGACTCATCCCTGGGCTTGCATGACTCCTCTTCCTGGAAGCACCTCTCCCAGTCGCATGTGTGCCTTGCGTCGGTCGTTCGTTTGAGGTCTGTCTGTTGCCAGTTGAACTTCCTCTGATGTTTGGACCCCATGTTCTATTATCCCCTGTGGCATAGTTTGCTGAATTGCCCCTACCTCTAGTCAATCCATATGTCCTTCTCCTATTTTGTTGATCATTGAAGTTCACCCTCGGCTCCCTGCTGGGTCCTCCCGAGTTCGGTTCCCCATCTTTTGGTTCACTCCTGCTGCCTATTAGCCCGTCCAAACTATCCATGATAGCCTGAGTTTGCCTCTCCATCATCGCGTTTATCTTGGTGTCAAGAGTCCCAAGAGTCTGCTCCTGTTGAATTCTCAACTTCTCCATGTCGTCTCTCAATCGTGACTCTCTCTGTTCTGCTTCCCTTGTCATTCGCGACAAGTTTTTCGCCAAGTGTTCATCCGTTCTTTCCTTCAAGCGTTTTTCGCTTCTCCCAACTTCTTCTATTGCGGTTTATTTCTTCCCGCAGACTTTTTCTCTCGACGTTGACTGCTCTTTCTAGTTCACTCATTCTTATGGACATCTGTTCATTCTGTTCTCCTATGCTGCCCACTATGTTGGTCAAGGCTTCCTCAATTGATACTCCGTTGTCCACTAGTGGCGTCACAAGTGGTGGTGTCACCCTGTCGCTCCCAGGTAGTTTGGTGCTGGTCGAGATTCGGGCTTTGATTCTCTGCCTCGACGTCTTTTCATTATCCATCTCTGGATCCGCCGGTGCGTTGCTTAGCCCTGTGTTTCTACTCTCCCCAGTTCGCATTTCCGAATTCATCATACTCACAAAGTCTCCTGACTGACCTGAGTGTTTGTGGTTTTGCTTATTGTCCTCACTACACTAAATTGGTCCATGGTGCCAGTCAATTTGTCAGTAAATGCTTCACTCTCCTGAGTCGAACTATTGAGGAGGACTCGAGATCCAAAGTCAACTTGCTCGTCATCGTCCTCTTCTTCCTGCTGGGATTCTCCTTCATCGCCTGTACCCACTCCCATGGTAAATGGAAAGATGTTTCCGAAAGTGTTCTTCACTCTCTCTGAAAATGATGAGGACGTTGCCTGTTTCTCCGCCACGCCTGCCATCATGGTGTTGTCTGTGGGAGATATTCTAGTTGCCACAATGTCAGTAGAGATGTCGGACAGTTCCGACATCTCCTCTCGGTCCAGTGTTCCGGTGGAAGTGGCAAAATCTTGGCTTTGTTCTACCGGAGTAGATTCACTCGCCAGCCTTCTGTTTCCTCTCCCCTCCGGTCCATGTTTTTCCTGGTCCTCATCCATGGCCTGGTCCGGATGGACCTCCACTTCTAGCATTGCTTTTCGCTCTTCTGAAGACTTTTGACTCCTGGTCTCAACCATTCTGCCCGAAACCGTCTCCCCATTTTCGGTCCGAGTTCGTATGATCCTTTCCACAAACGGGTCGGTCAATGCTTTTCTCTGTTTCTCAGGTATGAATTTCCTTGAGCTATCACTCAGCTTAGGTATCCTTGACTTATCTAGACTCATTTTTAATTTATCACTTCTTACTGCCTATACACTCAATTCAATTGCTAGTGTCCTTTTATTAGTCTAGTTACTTATAAAAATACCACAACACAATAATTTTCAAACGTTTCTATTAAATAGTGACCACGAATCCTTGTATGTTATCACAGTATGGCGTGTATACAACTTATTCACAATGATCAAATATTAGTTGTGAATTCCGAAGCTAGCACAGTGTGATGATATCAGTCTATTCAAAAGATAGTGTTATCACTACCCAATCAAGCACAAAAATTATTGATTTAAAACCAAAATTGACAAAAGTAAGAATATTTTCTATGAAAAACGTCTGTGTTCTGTACTTTTAGTCAGTCGCAATACAATAGTCGAACTTGTTTTTTTCCAAGAAACAGCTTTCCCTGCTTGGTGCTGCACCAAACAGACAAAACTTGGAGGCAGTAATTTTCTCATGTGGGCGTCTATTGCACCCACCGAGTCCTGTGTTACCTATCTGCCTTCGAACTGCTCTTGCTAGACCTACTAAAATCCCCAGGGCAATCATTTTTCTCAAAAGCGTTTTCGATTTCAAACCACACCAATCAATTATACACTCTTGTTCATTTTAGACTAAGTGTCGCGAATATCCGAGTTTAGACCTGTTTTGTTTTGGTTTGGTTTTTTTTATAAAAGGCAAGTTACCAGTGCAGTCACTGGTTCCCAGCCTACCTCCTAAAAACATAATACCTTTAACTACATTCTTTTCTGTTGTCTTCCTAAGTCTTGGCAAAGCAATACCCCTCCGGATTGACAAAGATAGGACCTCTCCGGATTAGTAAAAACAGGACCCCTCCGGATTGGCAAAAACAAGACCCTTCCGGATTGGCATAATTGGGACTCCTCCGGATTGGTAAAAAAAGACCCCTCCGGATAGCCTTCCCTTTCGTCTAGAACAGCGTAAAATTGCCTTATTCAACCGTTACTACCCTTTGGTAGGGGTTAAAGGGCTTTCCAAAATTTTTTTATAAAACGTGAAGGGTCTACCTTCCCGAATTGGTGAATTTGCTAAAAACAATCCTAAAATTTTTTTACGCTTAATTTTTTTTAATAATTGATATTTTTATTAGTAAACTTAGCTCATTTTGATCTAATGGTACCAAGATCAACTGGATCTGTCCAATAGTTCCAAAGTTAATAACCAAAACGTCTTTTTTCTAAAGTCAAAAAATTCTTTCGCAATTCTGTTCTTTCCAATCTAAAAATTATTGATCCGGGCTCAAAAGGCCTGTACCTTTCTAATTCAATGCAAAAAACCAATCTTAAATGCTCTATTTGAATAGATTTGCCAAACACTATGCTATTTGGACCCCTCCGGATTGATAAATCCACTAAATCAAACACGTTAAGTTCGATTTCTCTGTAACCCGGAAGGTTATCGGCAGACGGATTTTAAAACCTGTCGATTCACTAGCGGAAGTTGTCCGAACAACAATTTTTACTGTCCTAACTCAAAAATTTCAAAAAAGTTTCTTTTTTTTTATAGCGTTTCGTTTATTCAAAAATCACGAAAATTCGGTTTTTGGTACCCAAATAGTTCTAACCACTAAACTCAACCGGTTCTACCTATTATATAGTAAAGTTACGATGTAACTCACTAATTTAGCGCTTTTTTCCATTTCAAAAAATATCGATATCTCAAAAATCGCGATTTGTGAGGGGATCAAAATATCGCTAATTTGACCCTAAAACCGGTCCTTTTAATGTGTTTTTCACTGAAAAACGATATAGGAGTAATAATATAGGCTTATAAATAATAATATTAATGATACTATACCCCTCCGGGTTTGTTCAATATCCGAATTAAGGTGCTTAACTCGGAATTTCGCGGTTCGGTGAAGGGTCACTACAGTGCAGCACTGTCGAGCCCCCCACAGATTAATATCTTACTTTTTGTACCAAAAGGGATACAAAACTTGTTAACGATACCCAACAGTCGGTTGTTGTTGTCGTTGAGCCCCACTCTTGTCTCTCCTTGAAATGCTTGACGGATCAGTCTTCTTCACTAATTCCGAGACCCTTTCGGATTGAGCGCAAATTAGCATTAGCGTGCTTAAATACTCAAATAACCCTACAGTACAAGCCTCACAAACGGGCCACAAAATTGATCGTGACGATGCTGACTGATATATATGCCTGGATATAAATTTTTTTGAATTGAAGCTGTTCATTCGCATGTTGTCGCTAAAACACTGCTTAAATTAACTTCAATCGAGTAAAACTAAGTTTTCACGGCTTAAAGTAAGCTTGAATAAGCCTTTGTAAGCTTGCTTAGCCTAACATTTTTAGCTTCAGTTTAGACCATAAATCAGAAGTTTCAAACTGGTTTTTCTCGACATCAAGAAACAATTTTCAAAAAAAAACTTAATGTCGTTTGAATCACGACTGAAATGGCTTTAATATGATATATGACTTGGCCCATTCCGATGGTTAATCGTGTGACCTAAGTTTTTTTGTGGAAAGAAGCTAAAGCACCCCTAAAGACAAGTTCATACCCATTTCCAATGGTGCGAACAAAGAGTGGGCTCTTTTCCAGTTTCCCACCCCCCTCGTAAAATTACAAAATGAAGCTGTTCAAAATTTGCTCACACGGCATTTTGCATGTAAGAAATGTTGTAAAAATTGGTTCACCTGTTCATGCTGACACGTTTTGATGCAGTTTAAAACATAGGAAAAATTTTTAATAGACTTTCTTATAATGAATTTCAGAAAAAACCAAAGGGGGGACTGTAAAAGAGCCAAAGAGTGTTATGATTATGCTTTTTCTGATTCAGTTTTTGTATAACCGATAACGTGCTGTTGTGGCCTGCTTTTACTTGGTAAGAGCGCCGTTTAAACCTTCGATTATTTTTGATTGGCTGTTGAAAAACGTTCATTTTTTTCCGAAATCAGTAACAAATTTTTTGTGTTTCTAGATAGTATGGCTGAAAGAACTTCAGCTCAAAGAAATCGGGACAAGCCCTATTCACGTCCTGCAGGCAATGTTAAGCGAAGCAATTCCATGATGGGTTGGGTTGGAGGTTTTGTTCGTGATATGTTCAGTGCTCCAGCATGGTTGCTTCGTAATGAAACTGATGATCTACGTCAAATGACCGGCGAGTCTGACCGCTCCTCACTTGGGGGAACTATACAAAATCCGATAATGGTTGATGGTAAGATCATCACAATTTTTTGTGTATCGCAATCGGATAATAAACTTTTACCCGTGAGAAGCATTTCACGTAATTCAGACGTCTTAGGGTTACCGTTTTTATTTGCCTTCTCATTGAAACAATTTTATGGTCTGGAAAGTTGAACAGTTGGCCTGCTTGTTACGTCTTCGATTTGGGTATTTGTCCAGGGATGGGTACTTATCGTTTAAATATATATTAGTTCCTTAAAATATATTATCGACAATTTGTGCGTGAGAATTATTATTAGTCTTAATAATCATTGGAATATTTCCACAGAAAACAGATTATTGCATCATCCACGATAGTTTATCCTATTGTTTAATCCGATAGTTTATATTATCGATGTGTATTTATTGCAGTTATCTTTGTATACAATAGTCTTTTACCCATCCTTGGACTTGAATCACTCAGGGAGATAATTATAGACCCGCTCGGACCTGTTCACGGCACAAATAAAGGATTTTTTCCTCTTTTTTTGCCTTAATTTTTAACTTTTGTTTCTGAGTTATCTTTCGCTCTAAGCCGGCTAAATAGTTTTATCTCGGTTCTTATAATTTGAATTGCAGCTTAGACGAATCGGCTGGCTTGCCATTGTTTTGTCAATTGCTCAAATGAAGCTGTTTTGAATGATTTTTTCTGCGATATGAATAGATAAATTAGTATGCATAATTGAAATAGTTTTTGTTTCAATGTTTTTTTTTTCGTTGTCTCATCAATGTAAGAAAATGTGTTACCGTGTTTGCTAGTTCTCTTTCTTGGAACAAACATACTAATTAGCTTTTCAGTTTCACCAGAAACCAATATATCTATCTATTATATATTTCAATGCGGGCTTCACTATCTCGCCATGTTTATGCTTTTTCAACGTATTCCTTTTGCATGTTTTTTCAAGTTTAAGCTATATCATCGTACATTGCTGTGGTTAAGATTTTTTTTTTCAATTTGATGTCAAAGATTATTTCGTCAATGTTGAAATAAGCAAACTTGAATTTGAAAAATTTCCCAAAATTTGATATTCTCAACCCTGTAGTTGGGTGCTGTCAGGGTTCTCTCAGGGATTGCGAATCTTGCCTCCAAATCTCACTTCTCAAATACTTGTAGTTTTCGAGATATGAAGTTTTTTGGTTTTTCATCTCTATATTGAGGCTCTGTCAGTGTAATCCTAGGAGTTGCGAATTTTGCTTCTAAATATGACCGCTCAAATCCTTGTAGTTTTCGAGATGACATGTTTTGTGATTTTTTCAAAAAGTTTTCAAGAAAATTAAATAAATGTTTTTTTTTCAAAATCTGAAATGCCCATTTTTGTAGTGGGGGCTGTCAGAGTACTCTCAGGGGCTGCTAATCTTGCCTGCAATTATGACTCCTCAAATCCTTTGTTTTCGAGTTATGACGTGTTTTATGATTTCTTTTTAACTTTTCGGAAAACTTAGATTTTAAAAAATTGAAAAAATTTGAAATTCTCAACCTTGTTGTTTCGTACTGCGAAGGTGCTCTCACGAGCTGTAAGTTGAAAATCTTGCGTCCAAATGCGACGACTCAAATGCTCTTAGTTTCCGAGATGTGACGTTTGTTATGTTTTTTTTTTTAAATTGTTCAGTTCACTTTTTTTTTCAAAGTTTGAAGTTCACATCTCTATAATGGGGCTCATCCATTGCACTTTCAGGAGTTGCTTATTTGGACGCAAAATTTGACGGTACAAATCCTTGTAGCTTTCGAGATATGACTTTCTTTGTGATATTTCGAAATAATTTTCAGAAAACAAATTTTTTTCTTCTAATTTTGAAGCTCTCAACCCAGTAGTTGGGGGCTGTCGAAGTACTCTCAGGGGTTGCAATTTTTTCCTTCAAATGTAACTGCTCAAAATTTTCTTGTTTCCCAGATATGACGTTTGTTTGTTTTTTTCTAAAATTTTACAGAAAACTTAAAAATAATTTTTTTAAATTTGAAATTCCTAACCCTGTAGTTGGGGCTGTCAGAGTACTCTCAGGGTTGCCAATCCTGCCTCCAAATGTGACTGCTCAAATCGTTGTGTTTTCGAGATGTGACTTTTTCATCATTTTTCAAAAAATTTCACAGAAAACTTAACTTTGAATTTTTTTTTCAAATTTGAAATTCCTAACCCTGTAGTTGACTGCTCTTTTGTGTTTTTGAGATATGACGTTTTTTATGGTTTTTTCAAAAGGTTTCTTAGAAAGTCTAAGAAACGCTGTAGTTGGTAACTGTGTGAGTACTCTCAGGAGTTAAAAATTTTGCTTGTCAATGCAACTGCTCGTTTGCTTTTAGTTTCCGAGATGTGGCGTTTTTCGATGTCATTTTGAACTGTTTCAAAGAACTTCACAGATTTTTGTGGTTTTTCAAAGTATAAGTAAAACAAAACTTCGATTACAATTTTTTTAACAAAATTTTAAATTATCGTTCCTGTAATTGGGCGCTGTCGGAGTACACTCAATGGATGCAGAGCTGATTTCCAATATCTGAGGTTATTTATAATTTGTTAAAAACTCGAAGCACCAGAGGTGCGTTACGCGCTAGTTTATTTTTAAAAATTAGGGTAATACATCCAGTTTTGGGACCGCTGTTAATTCTTGGACCCAGGTTTGAACAGATGCGGCTTTCAGGAGAAGTGAAACAAAAACAAATATTCGGTTGATGTGCACGAAGCACAGTAAGTTCCGATCACATTAATAAGAAAAAAAATCATTTTTCTTTTTTTTCTCAAAATGTCTTTTTTTCTGTGCGTGGTGTGATGAGAGGAACAAAACGAAAGCTTATTACATACTTCTTCATGTTTACATGAGCAAGCTTGCAAGCATTGAGTTAAATTACGAGTAGATTTTTCAATCAAACTCATATACAATAGTGTTCATTTGTGTTCTCCGCTCCTTTAGTGAAAAGTGGCAAGTGCTCCGGTTCTTTGAACGTCAATTGTGTAGGGATGTCAAGCTCGCTGCTCGAGGACATTGTACGATGCCCATAGAGGGCAATTATTTTTCAAAAGTCTTTCTTTTTTTCTTGTTTTTCGAATGTTTTTAACCACAAAATTTCATCGCTTAGGAAACGTTGTATGAAGCTTCAAAAGCTAGTTGCTGTTTGATAAAAATAGGTATTAAAAAATGAATGGAATTTGGCTTTTGTATATGTGTTTGTGAAGCTGTGAAATTGTTTTCACTTTTCCAAAAAAAAAATATATTGTTTTCAAATATTCTTCTGACTATTGAAAAAGTGGAACTAACTGAAAGGCCGCCTCTCTGTGTGCCTGCATATTACCCTAGTTTTTTTAACCTTACATCATTTTCTACTGACGGTGCGTATTCATAGGTTCCGAAATAAACAATCAGTCCCATAGGTTCCAAAATAAAATAGCAGTCGCATAAGTTCCAAATTCTTTCAATTGGTCAAAAGACTAAATTAGCCGAGTCTCGGTTTAAGGTCGCCGGTGGGCGCGCTACGCGCCGCTTCGAGGCGATAACCGGCTCTAAATTTTGTATAGAGTCCTACCCTTTGGTGGCAGGCTCGCAACACGTTGGCGCGGCTGCGGCGGTCACTATTCTGCAGCTTGAGTTTATGCTGTTGGAACAGTAAACAATCAATCCATAAATTCGTTGGCTCAAATTTCAACCAATCAGAATTCAAGGAGATACATTTTGGAACTTATGCGACTGATTTTTTATTTTGGAACCTATGAATATTGGAACCTATGAATATTGGAACCTATGGGAATTCACCGAAAAAACGGGTAGTTGGAAAGTCATCTGTATAAGCGATGGCGCCCGATTTTTGTAGAAAGATAACGACCAAATGTCCTTTTTTGGCCTTGTCTTCTTTTTTAAAACTACCTTTTTTGGCCTTGTCTTCTTTTTTAAAGAATTTTGAAAAACAACCCTCCTAATTCAATCGAAGGAACTGGTTGTTGGTAGCTTCCCTCTTTAATCGAGTACACTTTGGGTTTTGTAGAAAAAAGTTACGGTCTCAAAAATATCTTAACTCAATTTGAAAAAGAAAGTAATTGAAAATTCAAGTTTTGTTCGTTTTGTCCGGATAATTTAAATCAGCACTGTATAATAGACGCTATCAGCGCAGTCATTGATTTTCTTATTTTTTCAAATATACCAGTGTTCCAACAGAATTTGAAAAAAAATGCTCCAACAGAATGCTCCTTGAATTCGAAGAAAATCTTGTTCAAAAGAGCATTTGACACTGAGTAATTGTGAATCATGGTATCAGTTGAATTTGCGTAATTCAAAAATATACGCAAATTTATTGTAATATTTTTTCGATAGAGGTAACTTTTGACTTCTACTTTCTGCGTTAGAGAAGATTCTTTTTTTTTGGTTTCAAGCAAGCCAAGCCCGCCCCTATGAGTTAACGAGTTGGAAAATGTTTTAGATGATGAAGATATCGAGCCAGTGATTGCTTCACGGATTCCTGATTCGAACCCCTGCAAACGTCGTAAGACAAGCAGTCACCTTCCCACCAGCAGAGGTGTACCCATAATGCCATCAACTGTAGGTTCATCTCTCACGGACAGAAAAGATGTCTGTTCTGCTACGCGAACAGAAGATTCGATGTCCAGACCTGCTGTGGGAACGAAACGTCGAGTATCCTTTCACGCGCAAACTAGAGTGCGTGAACTCAGAAATGAAAGTCACATCGATGATGTTAGTAGCACCCAAACATCGCCCCAGAAAAGTATGAATAATTTTTCGTTTCACCAATCTTTCAGGGAAAAATTGAATAGAACTTGTGAGATTAATGGGAACAGCAATAACGTTACGTCCCCTTTTCCTGGAATTAAACGATCTGGCGCTTTGAACTCTGGTAAACTTTTTTCGACTTCATCAAATGCTCATATGAGTTTTTACAATTCCCCGCTCAGTAAGTCATTCAACGTGGGAAGCTCAGCGTCCACCCCTCAGCTACCTCTCGGCGAATCCAGATTTTATAAGTCAACGAAAGGAGTTGAAGGCATGCAAAACAGTCCATTGGTACCAAACTCAACTTTTGACCCTACTGTTTTCGCGTCACCTAATTTTGGTACAAATTTAACGTTACCCAATCGTGGCTTGAATGCTACGGCAACACCGACCAGATACAAAATCAGGAGATCCAGCAGAAGCAATGTACCTTTGAGTGGCAACGCTCAGAAGATTCTAGAAAAGCTGGAACAGCCAGTAACGCACACTGAAATTCATAGGATGAGGACTATGGGGCCTCTGAAATCTGTGCACGATTTCAATCCAATCAGTAAAGTCGCCGATGTAAATCAAAGCGAGGGAAGTCAAGAAAGCGATGTACCCAAAACTTCATTGCCATCATTCTCTTTCTTGAGCTCAAGACGAGTAATGCCGCCTCTCAAAGCCAAAATCACTCCCCCTAAACTCAAAGAAAGCCCACAGGAAAAAGGTGCCACCAACCCCTTTGCTAAGAAATTATCTGAAGCTGACTCAAATGAGAAGCAAAATCATACAACCAAAGCCGAGAAATCAGAGTTTAGTTTTGCTCCGCCAACCCCCAAGAAGTATGATTTTAATCAGGATAACAGCAGTAGCATGGGAACGGCTTCAAACAGTAAAAGCGTGCCATTCAAACTGGCAGAGACTTCAAAACCAAAGAGTTCAACGACAGTTTCAGAAACAAACGCCGAGGAAGACACTTCCAAAATCAAATCTCTGGCTGAAAGACTCAAACCTCCTGCTGGTTCGTGGAATTGCGAGTTGTGTTTGTCCAGAAATGAACAGGATAGAAATAAATGTGCGGCGTGTGAAACTCCGAAAAAGATAGAGAAACCAGTCAAGATTGAAAATAAATCCACGGTTTTCAGTGATGCTGGTAAGAGTTCGCTAAGTGGACAGTCCATATTTCCCATAACCTCTAATAAGTTGGCAGAAAAGTTCAAAACTTCAGCTGGAACATGGTCTTGTGATACCTGTCTTGTCCAGAACAAAAGCGGGGATGACCAATGTGTTGCCTGTCTGTCTAAAAAACCAGTAGAATTTCAAAATTCAGCTCCTATGTTTGGTGTAACGTCGACAATGCCACTTGCCTCTAACAAGTTAGCAGAAAAATTCAAAATGAGTGCCGGCACATGGTCTTGTGACGTATGCTTGATTCAAAATAAAAGCGAAGACGATAAATGTGTTGCTTGTGAAACATCGAAACCTGGATCATCACAAAAATCCTCCGCTTCAAATGGTCCTAGTTTCAAAACAAACCCCAACGTTTTTTCAGCAGTCAAAAGCGACTCCAGTAAACCTCAAATCAAGTTCGGAGTTATCAATAGCACGGATCACTCAGCTGCGTTTGGAGGTGGAAGCAGTTTATTCAAACCATGTTCCAATCCAATTAGTTCTGAAACTTCTGGGTTCAAATTTGGTGTATCGTCCACGAATAGCAGTATTGCTTCGAGCTTTGTGTCAAACTCAAGTATTTTTTCGATGCCCAAAACTAATACCGTTGAACCAAAAATATGGTCTGATAAGCCAGATCAACCTTTTGTATTTGGTAGTTCAAATGCCATCGCCGCTAAATTTGATACGAATTTCGCAGCTCCTAAAACTACTTCGCTTATGTTCGGAGCCAAATCGACTGCTGATAATGCAACAAAGTCTGATTCAATTGACGGAAGCCTGAAGAAAAATGTCACTTTTTCGTTTTCAATGCCTTCGGCCAAAGGAGACATAAAAATGTTCAGTGCAAACAATAATGATTTAGTAGCTGCACCTAAGATGAGTAACGGAGATGCATCAAAGACCCCCGCTTTTGCAACTCCCCTCTTCAGTTTTTCGAATCCGCCAGCTCTCGGAAGTGGGTTCAAAACTGACTCTTCAGCCCCAAAAGAACCGGTTCCCATGTTTATGTTCAATGCTCCAAGCAAACGAGCTTAACATTCATCTTTCACGTCAGTTCTCAAGTTTCACAAGAGAGAAATTAACTCTAAACTGTTCGAATTTATTTAATGTGATGATATAATGATAACGAAGAGTTTCAAGTTTTCTAGCCTTATGCAAGGCTTACAGGGCCAATTTTGGTCCAGGTTTTTCTCTATTTTTGACTTCGAAATTAGCTTTACTACTCGGGAAAGTACTAGAGTTTTGTCGTTAACATATTTATGATTCAGTTAACTCCTTGTCTAATGTGAAATTTGAAATTCTTGACAGTTGTTTTGAATTTTCTGGGCTCTTTTCCTTTTACATTCTGCTTTGCGTATTTTCCAGTTTAATATAAATATGAAATTATACTACATCTAAATGCGTAGGTTGTCGATGAAAGATAAAAATAACAAATGTGTTCGAAGTTTGTTCACCATGCCAGTTTTCTTCGAGAAAAGTGTTATTACGGTTTTCAGAATCGAAAATTAAATATGAGCGGGAAATTGGAAAAGAGCCATTTCTGGATTGATGCTGAATTTGCTGACTAATTTAAAACTTATTGCTGGAAGATGTTGGTAATATGTCTGAGCAATTTCATTTGAAAAAAGTGTTGGTTTGTAATTGCGATTGATAATTCAAACTTGAAACAAGCTTTTTAAAACGATTTTAAGTGCTAATGAACGAAGTAATTTTTTTTCATGTTTTATTACGCTTACGATTAGCGAGCGTTATCAAATTGGAATTGAAACTTTTTTCGGGCTAATGATTTGTTTTAAAGAATCAATTTTGAATTACTGGATAGCGAGTGCATTCTCCATTTACATGCTGACATGCTAAAATTCTCGAAAATCTAAACTAAGCTACGTGTCTACTGCTATTAAGGTATTCTTGAGAATTTATTTAAGTATTGAAGTTTGTTCTTGGAAACATTTAATTTTCGGCATTGTTATGTGTCTGCTTTTTGTCGGCATAGTTGCCACATCGTTCAATTTTTGGTACTGAAATTGAACGCCATTTTGGTTTCTTGTTAAATAGATGCGATTATATTTAATTTTTTGTTCAGTTTTTTTGCCAAAGGTTTATTCATCATAGTTCCAGCCGTTGTATGGTCTTAAATGTTATCTTATCTTAAGTCATTTAAAGGTTAAAAATTGATTTTGATTCGTGTTTACTTCAGGTGGGGGCGATGCCAAAACTTCTGTGGTGATTATTTTTCTGACAGCAATTTTGTTTTCTGCTGAACAAGCTTCTACCTTAAGATTATCGGCCTAATTACCGCTAGATACATATTACCTAAGTGCTATTTCGACGCTTGAAATTGTTATTCATGACATACTCTTTTCAAATTTTATTCGTCCAGACATGTGAAAGACCTTTGGCAGACGTGTTTTTTCGGTTTTCGAATTATTTTTTTTCTGTTTGGCAGGTTTTGTCTGCTAGCCTACCGTGCTATGTTGGTGATTTATTGCAATTGGTGCGAAGCTTTGCTTTGCATGTGTTAAGTTTTTGACGGTTTGATTTTTCATTTTCTTTAGTTACTTCAAATACACTGAAATAGAACGCACTTACCTTGAACAAACCCGGAAAGAAACACTCATCTTGTATTTCTATGGTTTCAGAAAAATTGTTGGAATTCGTTTTGCGGTTTTGGTTTTGATTAAAAAAACGTTAAAGTATAGCGTTTATAATCCAGTAAGATTTAAATTGAGAGATCAGCTTCTAAGCAATTTTCGAAATCGAAAAATATTCAGACCAGTTTTTCTTGACATTGAGACGACTTTGATTTTTTAGAGTCCAATTCACAAACAATAGGGCTTAAATATAATACTGCACTTGATCCTTGTACGAGCTTCCCTTGAGGTAGTAGAAAAAAATAAGGAAATGGACCTTACTCTACATAGTACCTTTCCTCTCAAGAGTGGTCGTATAAAACTCAATTCTAACAGATTTGTGGAAATGCTGTATGGGGGAACTTTTCTAAATTAAACTCTTGAAAAGTAGTTAGTCAGTTTCCATGAATTCCTATTCAGTTTAGTTCCATTTGAAATAGCACAAGCAGAAATGCAACTGTTTTTGCTGAAAGTCTTGATGAAATCATTTTTTTGCAGTTGCTTTTTACCCTTGCGATAAGCAAGGGTGTTGCAATCGGGGGTGGCGTCCCTCATGCTTGAAGGACCGAATGCTTGAAATTAATTTTAGCTTACTTTCAGCCAATCAGAATTGAGTATTCAAAGTCTCAAAGTAAATCGCGAAAATTAAGAAAATAAATCCAGGCCATTAGTGTTAATATGGACCGATTAGATAATAAGCAGATGAGTTTTCAAGACTGAAAAATTCTTATGACATTGACCTCATTAATCTTGATGATTATCTGAATAGTATTGCGGTTGTAACCCGCAATTTGTAATGTTTTTGATTATTTTCCACTGATTTAATACGTTTTCTGTTAATTTTGACTTCGATTTTGGGAGAAAGGCATTTAGCCAATAGAATATCTCTGCGATTTTGATTGGTTGAAATTTTTCAAGCATTCGGTCCTTCAAGCATGAGAACCCTCCCCGCAATCGGGCACTAGAATTTTGCCTCTGTAAAAAATTTTATTTATAGGATAATTAAGTTTTGGTCATCTGCGTCCGAACTCGTGTCTGCAATTTAAATGCTGGTTCTTTTTACCCTTGCGATAAGCAAGGGTGTAATCGAAATTTGTTTATTAAAATGGTGGTAAGTTAAACAAGTCTGATTTCAGTATACCATTTTTTTTTTCATTCTTGTCTTCTTTATTCGATTTCGGTTTATAATATATCGGCTTAGAGGCTTTTTTGAGTCGTTTGAGAAGGGGAGTTTTCTAATAAATTTATTTCCCGGCGCAACGTGTCTACTCAAGAATCGTCGGTTTGTTACCGCTTTGTAACTTTTGTTTTCATGCTTAGTTGACAATCAATTGTCTTACCTGTAAGTATATTTAATCAAAGACTCTTTACTCAAGACAAAATCAAGACAAATCATGGAAATTTTTTAGCAGGTTTCATTTCGATTTTTTAAATATTTTATTTGGGTTTTTTTAATTTCTTTCATCTTTATTTCTCTCGTTTAGTTTGTCATGCTTTGTACTTGTTGTATAGATTCGCCTCTGCTTATAATTGTTCTGAAGGTACAACTAAATTGTTTTCGCAAATAATTTTTAAAGTTTTTTGATCTTTCGGTTTATCGGTCCATCTGCAAGTATTGATAGTCAATCATTTTGGTATCGCATGTGGTGCGAAGCTTGCAAGCACCACATAAGCAAGCTGTGTGAAAGTTGTTTCCGATGATTTTTTGTAGCCGAAGAGCTCTTTCTCTCGAAAAAAAACGGTTTAACTTTTTTGCATTTACCTCAGTTCGTTTGACGAATATAAGAGTGTACATTTTTCAATTTAAACCAGTAAACGTTATTAAAATTATTCAACTTTGTATTCATAAAGTCAATGGCTTTTTTATTTGCGTATTTGTGTCGTTGTTCTTAGTGAGTATGTTTTCTTTAATTCCTTTTTTCGATCTAAATTATTGCTTCTAATTATCTTGATAATCTTTCTATCATGTAAATAGGTTGCTTTAAAACTAACGGTTTCAATTTGTTTGTTGATTTATCCGAGAAACATAGTAAAATGTGTAAATTGGTAACATAAACGATGAGACTGGAACCCAATTGCTCCTTTTTAAGTTCGAGTCGGCTGTTTTACGAATGAAATATCTGCAGAAAGCTAAATAGTTGAGACAAACAGAGATGTTCCATAAAGTGTTTATTAATCCGGGCCTGACTCTGGCCCAGCCGACCGTACAATTCAACCTGAGGGGAATAAAGAGGCAAGCTAAAAATGAAAATCCGAGAAAATCATTCAAAATCTGAATTGGAAAAGTTATTGAAGTTAAAACTCCTTGACTAGAATCTCTTAGTTCATACGAATATTCACTTTGCGAATTAAATTTCCAAAGTTGCCTTTCTTTAGAAAGACGAATGAGATTTTGTCAATCTCTGTTGTCACGAAATTTCAGTATCATTCTCTTGACCGAAACGTGGATTGATGTTTCCATGCCATGCTTATCACTATTCTGCGAGCATGGTTATTCGGTTATTTGTAGAAGCGATCGACGAACGGGCATCTGGAGGAGTCCTTATAGCTGGTAGCGTAGAATTTCTTGCTAAAAGCAAGGTTTTTTCGCTGAAGCGTTCGATTTTGGAGTTTGTACTGTGATCAGTTCCAATGTTGGACTGTTCGAGTTTGTTTTATTATATCTTCCTCCACGTGGATCTCCTTATTATTTGTCACCTTCCCTTGTTGAAAAAAAAATTGAGTTCTATTGCTTCTCACATAATGTCCATTTTCAGTACGCTCTCAAAAATTTACCAACTCGAATGGCTAATTTGAAGCGACTTCAATTTTTCTTCCGTTCATTGGGATGCTATGATGTCGACCCGCTCAAATGATCAAACAATATTAGAGTATCTAACTGCAACTCTTTCAGTTAATTCATTCACCGACTCACAATTATGGGAACATTCTGGATCTTGTTTTCTTCTCGAATTGCGAATTTTGAGATTACAGAGTTTTATCATCTATCTCGTTGTCTGATCATTTTCCTATCGTATTTTCTTTTATCTCTACTATTGACCAAATAGATACTCCTTATACAGTTCAGGATTCAGTTAATACTTTTGATCAACAAAAATTTCAACGCTACCTTACTGATGCTTCTTGATAAAGTTTACTTAAGTTATGACGATAATGTCAATCAGCTCATTCTAAATCTTGACTTCCAAAAGCGTTTGATTCCTCACGTGTTTTTTTTTGCTCAACAAACTCGCTCTAATTGGTTTTAACCAAGATTTTGTCTAACTGTTTCAGTCCTACTTGGAAGGTAGAGTGCAGTGTGTTAAAGTAAATGGATGTTTACCTAGCCCATTACCAGTAACTAAAGGTCCAAGCACAGAGGGAAGTGTGCTTGGACCTTTGCTGTTCATCATTTTCACACATGACATTCTCGATTTGCCGATAAACTCAGCCTGTTTTTTTCGATGATACAAAGCTGAATACATCTCTCGCTCCTCTCTATTCCAACTTGCAGGATGACTTAGATGTCCTTAAACTTTGGGCGACTGATCATGAGCTTAGTTTTAATTTACATAAATGTGTTGTTTTACCAATTGTGGGATCAAGAATTTTGCACCCATCTTACTGGGAAATAGTGAGCCCCAAATTATCGAGCTAAAATTTCTGACTTAGTAATAGAAACTACTTGTAATTTAAAATGGGTTTATCATGCAAGAAATAAAGTACAGAAGGCGCGAAGAGTTTTCGGTCATCTACGGCATTGTACTCCATGACACATTCCTGCAGGTGTGAAATATAATTTTTTCCAAGGGCTTGCAATTTTATCCTACAATATTCTCATCCCTTGGTTTCTGGATATAAACAATATTGAGACAATTCAAATAGTTCAATTACTCTGGTCTTAAATAATGTTACGGCGCTTAAAATTATCATGATTTGCTGTTCCTATCAAATACGCTGCCGATAGCTCACCAATTGATTAAACGAGAGATACGATTCTTCATCAGTGTTCCTCTCGGAGCCAATTGTTTAAATTTTGTTTAGTTTTTTGAAATCCTGGAACCAAATCGAAATCTCAGGCACTCTTCATATTTCAACTTGGAACCTCGCAAAGTCTCTCAAGTCCTGGCATCGAAATCGTTTTTCCACGGGATCGTGAATATTGTCAACGACTACATTTAGATATCGGGTCAAAACATTATCCAACAATCAAATATGTTTTTTTTGCGCAAATTTCTCAGTGAGTTATGTTCTTCAAAATATAACTTTTTATGTCATGTGCATGCTCGCTGAAATGCCGTTGTTCGTTCTTATATAATTTCATAACAGTGTTGTTTGACTTATATAAATTCCTCACGGGGTAAATTGTCTTTTACTACTGCTACTACTACTACTACAATTTGTTTAAAAAAATTTGTTGCCTTGTTATACTTTGTAAATTTTTTTGGTTGCGATTGATGCTAAGTTTATCTCTACTTCTGTGAGATAATTTTGAATTAGATAAAGTAATATAATAATGGATTTTGTAAAGTTTACTGTCATGTTCTGCATAATCGAACAAATTCCACAATTTTTCCAAATTTTAACCAACGGAGAATATAATGTTTTCTTCCATAAGATCAAAAGCGTATACACGCTAGAAAAAATGCAGCGCTTGTTCGGTGCATATCATTTGCAATGTTTTAAGCATGGCATTGCTCTGTGGTGTGGAACGGAGAACTCTCTGCATTCTTTCAGAAATTAGGCTGATTAATCTTATGACTATTCTAGTATGGGAATGTAGCGAGCGGACTATTGAAGGCTGAGTATGGTATTGCAGAGTTGGGTTGCTCAATTTCGCATCAATAGAACAGTCATATTTTTTTTAAAAAAAGTACAAATTGGTCATAAAAGGGGGGTTATGCTGTCCGATTTGATACCCGATTTTACGGACGGTTTTTTGCCCGAGAGGGCTGGGCAAAAAAGTTTCGGTTTTTTCCCTCTTTATATCTAAATCGGTATGATTACCTTTTTAATGAATGCTACTACGGATAGGAATGTTCACCATTAGGGTAGGCGCTAAGTGGGTTCGTCCAACCCTTCGCCTATGCTCGCTGTAAATTAATTGTCAAATTATTTTGTCGTTTGTTATGTTTGAACGTTTTTTCTGTCGATGAAAATTTTTTTGTGTGTTAGCGGAATTAATTCCTCTTCTCGTAATGAAGCAAGATATTAACACTTCATATAGAATACAATGAACTATTGTTTTTACAGTTCTTTGTACATAGTTATGAGTTCAAAGCGGAAGCCAGGTAGAAACATCATTTTTGACTTGAGAAGTTGAGTGCTCTCAATTTGGAATCAGTTCTTTTTGTAGAATTGAATTGCAGGGGCCATATCTGCGTTTGTCGTGAGCTTGATACTTGGGAGATTTGTTCTCCTTACGAGTTCTTCGTCCGTGTCGAGTAGTTTCTTTGCTAGGCCACTTCTTCGTGCGTTTCCCGCCACTCGCATCATATAAAGTTCAGCCGAATTCGATTCGTGTTTTGACAACGCGAGAGTGCCCATTATCTTTTCACTGCTGTCAAAACAAATAAAAAACTAGTTGAAATCCTCATCAAAATGATCCTTGAATGCAGTGCTTAGAACAAAAAAAAGACTCGAAAGGTGACCGAAATCACGAAATAGATTTGCTACATTTGGTAAAAGAACGTATTTGCGTTTTTCGATTCAATTTTCGCTGATTGCTTTTTTTACTATATGCTTATGCTAACTGAAACTCAGAATGCGATGGGGACGCAATGTCTGAACTTTTTATCTAGAGCAACGTATAAGAATGTCGGCATCATAAAGTTGAAGAAAATTTCAAAGTGACCATCAGACGCAGCGTTTAGGAAAGAGTATCGTGGAAATTTTAATTAGGGTAGAACATTAAAGTAATCTGTGAACAAACTTAACTTTATTCAAAGTCAGGGCTAGATTGTCCTGCAGGTTTTGTATGAATTATTTAGTTTAGCGTGAAGATGCACTTTTCTGAAACGAACCAACTAACAACAGCCTTCTCTTTCATAGAGTTTGATTCAAGATGAAAATGCGGTAAAATCCTGTCGAGACAAGACCAGGCTGAGACAGGATTCTACTGCCATTTAGTGGAGACTTCGAATTTGTTTTATATCTCATGACAGAAGTCATCAGCAGCGCAGATAGCGCAGAGGATTCTCAACGGCAGGAAAAACGAGCTAGTTATGGTCGAAATTGTCTCGTGCATTGTTTGGTTGCCTAACATCAAAACATCAGAAAAAAATAACATATTTTTTTCTGAAGTGTTACTATCTGCATTAGTGGTAAAGAGTTGATATTATTGTCTCTCTACCTGTGAAAATTGGTTCAAATCTTGAGCACACCACAAAACCATACAAGTTTTAAGAACTTATTTGTCCATAGATGTTGAAAACCTAGGTTGGAGCTTCGCAAATTTCTCAAGTGAGATTCTTGGAAACATCTTGGGGAGTCACTTGCTTGAAATTCAGTTTCTTTGCTTAAAAGCATGCTTGCGAATCAATTCAAGATATCATAAAATTTTGGAATATTGATCACTCGATTGCTGTGTCCAATTTTCGTTGCTGATTAGCTTGCCTCAAAAAGGTTTGATTTAATAGCGACCCAATTTGAGCCATCAAAGCAAGTTTAAATTTTTTCTAAGTAACATCGATTGATAGCATGCTTCAACAATTTTGAGACTACCAATTGGTCTCACAAATTAACTTAATGTTTAAAGTTTCATCGAATGAAATTTTTGATTCAAAATTTAAAACGTATGCCCAATCATATCAAGCTATCAAAGCAACTTGAAAGATTTTATAGTATCATCGCTTGATAGCATGCTTCAGAAACTTTTACTGTTAATGTTTCAATGTTTCGCTGCTTAATAGATTGTTTCAGAAAAACGTTAAAATCGCTGCCTAATGTTTCGCTGCTAAATAGATAGTTTCAGAAAAACTCTTGAAAAGCTTGAATGATTGCTAATCGATTCACGCTTTGAGTATATACGTGAGGTGTTCCATTTTTAGTTGAATAGATCAAGCTATCAATACAAAATAACTATTTCGAAATTTCATTTGAAGAGGAATCTTTCTAACAAATGAGTAAGATGAGTTTGTTTTAGTATAAAACCTCAGTACTTCTAGACATGAACTTTTCCTACTTGGTCTAGTGGTAACGCGCGTGCTTTGAGATCATAAGTTTTGAGTTTATAGTCCCGGCCGAATCTTTTTTTGCGTTATGTAAGGAAATTGAATTTTTCCTGGCTATCGTGTCTGCTGTTTTGTGGGTTTATAGTCCAAAGCAGACAAATTTTCAGTGATTTAAGTTTTGTTTTTAATTGAAAGTCGTTCTATAATTTGCAAGCTTACAATTTAAGTTTTTGTGTCTTCCTATAAATAAAAGTTTGTGCATATTTAGCCCTAATGGTTTCAGGCTTTGTTTTTATCGGCTCAGTTTTCTGCCTTTGTGTATTTCAGGAGGGATAGGGAGTAAAATTTTGTTCCAAACTTTATCTCGAAATTTATGACAACACTTTAATTATAATTTTTGCGCAGTTATAAAGACATTAGACTTGGGGGTTCGAATCCTGTAGAGGGCGTTTTTTTTCCCAATCTCAGGTACTTATTTTTGAGCACATCCCAAAGTTCACATTTATCATTTCTTTTGCTTTGGTTTTTGAAGTGTTACGTAGCTTTTGTTTATATTTTGTACTTATGTTCCTCTTTCTTCAGGTAGTAAAATGAGTGTTTTGGATTTGACAGTTGATATTTTGCGACCCAGTTTGAAGAACACCATTCACTCAAACGGGCACACCTTCGTTGATTTCGAGGAATCCACCACCTCTCTGATCACTTGCAACACTTCAGACAATGAGTGCTACATTCTGAAGCCAGGAGACATTGAGACAGGTGAGCCGAAGTGTCAGTCGTTTGGAGATGACTCGTCCATGAATGTGTCGTTTGTGAAAGTAGCAGAACAGATGGCATTTGTTGGGCTGAATAATTCCACGGTAAGTTCACGCAGTTGGTGGAATCGGATTTGAAGTTTAAAAGCACAATATGAAGCACAGTGTGTTTTTTTTTGTTCGTTATTACCATAGTTTCAGTCAATTTTAAATCTTTGTTGTGGGTTGTTTTGTATTTTACTGCTAGGAAAACTTACAAACTTCTCTATACAGACATTTTGTTTAAGTCATTTATAATAGAAACTTTTCAAATTTTGTTCCCGAAATTGAATGCTTACGCATGTCATTGAAGAAATTGAGTTGAACAAAGAATAAGCCGGGAATTATAGATGTTATATTTCGTGTGCAGGTGCAAATTTTCAGCTACCCTCAGTTTGAGAAAGAAGGACTTTTAGTGCGTTTTGAGTCCACCCCGCTTTGTGTTGACCTCAACCAGGACAAGTCTTTTGCTGCCATCGGAACTGCAGATGGAACAGTGAAGACTGTCGAACTCTCTTCACCTCACAGATTCAAGACGTTCGAAGGTTGTTTACTAGAGAATTCAGTTCATTCAAGCTCCTCGCTTTATTATGAATCATAGCTATTCTTTCAATAAAGTATTTCTGCTTAGTCATTATGCATGTCAATTAAACAGTGCATTGGTCTGATCTATCAGTCTGCTCCTAAAGTTCTGAAGCTTTTCAACTTTCCTTTACCGTTGTCTCCAAATAAGATACGTTGGTTTTGATTCTTATGAGTGGCAATATTTTGCAGTATCATGCTTGCTTCTAGATTAATGCAGAGGATAACAGCCGTGACGAGGGGGGATTTAAAGGGGAGGCGCCCCCCCCCCTCCTCAGGAATTCGACTCCCTGCCGACCCAAAAGGCCCCTTTTGTACTATTTCGGGTAATAGACCACCCTAAAACTTTTCTAAAGGCGCCTTGGGCGCCAATTTATACTAATTTTGAGGGGGGAGCGCGCGCCGAAAAAAACACGATTTTTTGGTCGAAATTTTCCATAAATTGCCTAAAAACCCCTTTTTCTGTCTGTTTTTTTGAAAAGTTTTGCCAAAACAGGGTCTTTGTAGTGCTTTGGGAGGGCTCCGAAAATCAATCTGGTCGACCTAAAAAAAACCAACACAGTTTCCTAAATGTGAGATCTGTATCGGCCGACTTTTTTCAGGACACCTGGGTCCAATCTTGAGTGTCTGCTACGATCCCTCCGAGGACTATCTGGTGACGTCATCTTGTGATGGAACTGTTAAAGTGTGGAAATGTGGGGATCGAAAGTGCATCAAAACGTGGGAGTGTGTTCCAAAGAGCAATGACGTAGAAAACTCGAAGGTTCTCGCCAAGTGCTGTTGGCAGCCCAACTGTGGAACTTATCTTGCAGTGCCTGGCGATAAGTGTGTGAAATTCTACGACAGACGCCACCAGAACTTTCTTGAAGCCCCAAAATTTTCGTTCACCCATGATTTGATGCAAGACTACGTATCGATGGTATGCTGGCACGGGAGAGAAACAGATATCTCTAATAACTCAAACACGAAAGAAGACAATACTTTAATAGCATTTGTTCTGCAAAATACGAACGTAATGATGGTCGAGTTTGTAGCAAATCAGTGCAACATTTTGAGATGTATTCAAGGAAAACAGAGTAAAGTGACTTCGTTTTTGTGGATGCCGAATTCGGTTGATTTTGTGGTTGCAGATGACATTGGAATGGTATACCTCTATGCGAACTGTCTTCCAAATAAAGCTAAGCGAACTGCAGCAATCTCTGAAGCCAAGAATGCTAAATCTGATGCCAATCAAACTGTGAAAGGTATTTTAGTAATCGTTCCTTTTTACGCAGTGGACTATTGAGTGTGATTAATTGAATGACAAGCTGCAAACTAGCACAAAATGTCAAAGAAAATTTAGTAGCACAACTTAAAAAAGAAATTCTAAAATATAGAAGTTTTTCTAAAAGAATCGAAAGACTCTATTGAACAGTTTTTCAGCTAAATTTGGCATTAATTGCATCGGTGGTGATGGTGCCCAGCAATCACATGATTGCGTGTTCAAATCGCGTGCGCTGCAATTTACAAGGTGATCTCTTGTAAGATAGCTATAGTTTAGTTAACCTTAAATGATTAACCTTCGGGTTAGGCCTCTGGCTGGTTAACTAAAAAAAATGGTCGACTTTATTGCTTACGATTTTTTCTAATTTCAGTTTCATGAAAGAGTTGCAGAGTTTTATAAAAGTGTTTGTTAAGTTTCTTGATCGAAGTGCTTTTTCGATAGTTTCTAAATTTTCTCAAAATTTTTAAAATCTGGTTTGGTCACGTGTCTTCAATTCGCTTTTCTATAGTTTTTTGTTCTCATTGGCTAGTTCATAGCTTCGGTTTTATCTGTTTTGAGAATATCGAATTCACTATACATGATAGTGTGAGTGGATATGGAAAACCATTTTCTCATTGGGTAAGAAATCAAAATTGAAAACTGCGTTGAAATTTGGATTTTTTGATAATCTTTATCTTTAAATTTTTTTAATGTTATCCATGATGACCATCAAGAAATATATCTAAACCCTTTTCTCAGCAGTTTTATTGATAAACAGCATGTTAGTTTTGCAAGTTGTTTATTTGAGTGTAAGTTTTGAAAGTTTTTCACTTACGTTAGCAAGTGTATCTTGTAATTGTGAATTAGACTTTCCCCTGTAAATAAGAGTAATGAACGTAGTGAGTACTCCTATATAGGTCTTGCTGATTTTTTTTCAGGAATTTTGTTCAAGCTCTATTTTGATTTTTCGCGGTTCGACTCGTGATTTCTTTTTAAGTTCAGTTCTTTTCTATTGTTAAAAGGAAGGCAAACTCCACGAACTCCATTGTAAATAAAGGTCACGAAAAACATGAAAGACTTCTAATTTCGAAAATTAATTATCAGATTTCCCAGCGAAATAAAAGTTTTACCTATTGATCCAGTTTTCTCAAATTGCGTCAATTTTAACAAAAAATGTCCATCATAAATTTTTCAGCAAATTCAAAGAGCTTTAAGGCCATCGAATTTTTTCTTCGAAATTCAAAAGTTGAAGATTTTTGAAAAAAACAAGTCGTTTTTTTTTCAGTTTCCTTGCGTTCATTACTCTTTTCCAAATGTCTGTTAGCTATGTTTAATTTATTCCAAAGCTGTAAGAGTTTTCTGCTGCCTTATTGTAGAAACTAAACCTGTGTTAGTGCCGTTCTCATTTTTAATGAGTTAAATCAACCATTTTTGGATTATTAGGTCTAAGGTTCGAGTCCCGATCGGGCCTTGTTTTTCTTTTGTGTGGAAATTGATTTTGTTTCGGGGATTTTTCTCGCTGTAGTTTGATTTTTCGCGGTTTGACTTTTGATTATTGTAAGGAAGGCGAACTCCACTATCGAACAGCAAAAATCTAAAGGTCACGAAAAACGTTATCGACTTCTTATTTGAAAGTGGATTTTGTTTTTCAATTTTCTCAGCGGAATAAAAGTTTTTCCCATTGATCCAGTTTTCTCAAAATGGGTTGATTTTATCAAAAAAGTTTCGAACATAATCTGTTCTTGAAATTCAAAAGGCTCTAAGGCCATGCACTGTTTCTTTGAATTTCGAAAGTTGAATTGAATTTAATTATCAGATTTCACAGCGACATAAAAATTTAAGCTATTGATCCAGCTTTCTCAACTTGGGTTAATCTTAGTGAAAAAGTGTCTATCAGAAATTGTTTTAGAAGTTCAAAGAGCTTAAAGGTCATCTATTTTTTTGGAAATCTGAAAGTTGATATTTTTTCAAGAAACAAGTCAGTATTTTTTCTGTTTACTTGTTTTCATTGACTGTTTTATACTGTCTGTTTTCTATGTTTTTTTATCTCCTTGCACTTATTGACACTTTTGCAAATTTCTGTTTGCTATTTTTTTTGTAGCTCATAAATCAAAAATTTACTCGCAGTTTAATGTAATTATAGTATTTCTCTTAAATTTGAGTCTGTTCCCAGGAGCGGACGACATTCTGAATGAAATGGTGAAATCTCGGCATCAGGCAGAGGGATCTGGGGGGACTAATAAAGACAATGACGATGAAGATGACGGAAGTATCTCCCTAGACCAGATCAAACAGTCCTACACTATGACCGTAGAGAGAGGCTTGGATGCGGAGGGGGAAGAGGCAAATGACATTGACATGATGGGAGCAGGCGAAGAGGTGTGTGTATGTTTGCGCGTGTTTGTATGCAAGCGTGTGTGTAAAAGTGCAATGTGTTTATTTAATTTATAAGGTGTCCACTTATAAAACTCGCGTTGATTTAAAAAAAAAATTTTCAGCTTCATGCCGGAAAGTCTTCCAAATAACACATTTTCAAGATTTTTTGGTTTTTTTTTGAAAATCAATTCAAACTGTTTGCTTCAAGAAAGGCAGATTATGCGCTTTCATTACAAATGTGCAAATGGCGCGAAAAAAAGTGATTGAATTTAAGTCTCGAAAGTATATTTTAATTTTTCAGTTTACAAGCTGAATTAAATATTTATCACGTGATCAGGTTTTCTCAAATTAGGGTTGCTTTTTAAGAATCGATCAATGCATTAAAGTGTCTTGTTTAGGTCGTGATGATTTTCCTAAGAGTCGATGAATGTAGTTCAGGCTCGTATATTGGTGGTGATGATTTGTTCTCTTTTTAGTTTGTTTTGGCTAATATTTGTTTTTTCGCGGTTTGATTAGATTTTACTATAATTTCAGTTCAGTTCTTTTCCTTCGATGAAAGAAAGGCAAACTCTATTATCGTTTTTAAAGCGGAATTCAATTTTCAGAGTTCCCAGCGAAATAGAAATTTTACCTAATGTTTTTCCAAAATTTGGTTAATATTGTGTAAAAAGTTTCAATCATGAGTTCCAAAAGCTTTAAAAGTTAAATGGCCGGACAAATGGGATCGTGAAATGGATAAAGTGCAGGAACCAATTAGCCATAAAATTATTGATGCTACTGTTAACTTTTTACTTTCTAATGTACGATCATTAAAAAAACACCATGAAGATGTGGAAGCACTTCTAAGTAGTCTCGAGTCTCCGATACATTTACTATGTCTTACAGAAACGTGGCTTAGGGAAATTGATGATGTTAACTTGTTTATAATCACAGGTTTCCATACCATCATAACTAATACCAGAAAAACTAGAGGTGGGGGAACTATGATACAGCTAGGCGATATGGTTAACTTATTAGAACAGCTTGAGAGTGGCATTCCAGAATCCTTATCAATCCTTGTTGAAGTTAGTGGTAAACAATTTATAGTTGTGTTGGCATATGTACCCCCACGATATGATAAAATTAAATTTGCCGATGAGCTCGATAAAGAACTAGAGCGTCTTGCTCAGTATAAAGTACCGATAATTCTAACGGGAGATATCAACATCGATACACTACAGAAAAATAAGTTACAGCAATCATATCTGAACACAATAACAGCAAATGGGTTCGAACTTTTGAGTAAATCTGCAACTCGAATTAGTGACACATCTGAAACTTGTATAGACCATTTTATAATCAGGAATTTAGAAAATCCAACCATTGAAGTATTAGATAATGAATGCTTTTCTGATCACTATCTCATAATATTGAAATCTAATTTTGGCTTTAAAGGTGATTTATCAAGTTATTCATATCGTGATATGTCATTCTTAACAAAATAAAATAAAATGAAGAATTTTTTTGTCGAGTTTGAAACAAAACTTAGAAGATGCAAACCTGATCAGCGATAATAACATAGACCTTGCGTATAAAAAGTTCAATCACAGCTTAATGAAATCCCTAAACCTTTTTACACCATTACGTAATATGATACACAAAAGCAAAACTAATGCTCCTTGGTTCGCTAAAGGCTTGAAGAATTCGTTTATAAAAAGAAATCGCTTATACAAATTGTGGAAGTCAGACAAATTGAAATCTCTTAAAAAAGTTAACTTTCTTAACCAACGTCAAAAAGTCGAAAAACTTATAAGAATCGTGATAAAAGATCATTACTATCAAAAATTTAATAAATGTATTGGAGACTCGAGACAAGTATTTAAAGTTTTGAATGAAATAAATGGCAAGACGGCAAAATCATCAAAAGTGTCAGCTCTTTTAATCAATAACAATAAATTATCTGACCCCGTTCTAATATCTAACGCTTTTAATGATTATTTCGCTTCGGTAGGAACCAAGTTAGCAAGCTAAATTGACCACGTGGAGCCAGTAATTAAAATAGAAGACGTAAGCCATTCTATGTATCTCTTTAATAGTACAATTTGTGAGATAATTGATGTGATAGAGCGTCTGAAGTCCAAGCATAGTTGTGGCATCGATGAAATTAGTAACCTTTTTTTAGTTAAAAGCAAGTATGTGTTAGCACCTTATTTAACATACTTAACTAATCTCTCATTTTGCTCCGGTATGTTTCCTCAAAGCCTCAAGTGTGCTCGGGTTTTACCTCTTCATAAAGCTGATAGCAAAATAATTATGAGCAATTACCGTCCAATATCACTTTTAAGTAGCTGCAGCAAAGTTATTGAGAAAATCATGCACTCTCGATATACAACTATCTTGAAAAGTTTGAATTACTGTATCATCGTCAGTTTGGGTTCAGGGACAAGTTTGCCACAGTTGATGCATTAGCTGAATTGACTGAAAGATTGAGACTAGGTGTTGATAAAAACATTAAGTTTGATACCCTGGACCATAAAATTCTTTTGAGGAAACTAGAATGCTATGGAGTACGTGGAAATTGCTACAAATGGTTCGAAAGCAATCTATCCAATAGGTATCAATGTGTACATGTAAACAACTGTTCATTTGATTGGTTGCAAGTAAACACGGGAATACCTCAAGGCTCTGTTTTAGGCCCTATCTTGTTTCTTGTTTATATTAACGACATACAGCACGCAGTTTGCAATTCAAATGTGTTTCTGTTTGCAGATGATACAAACATATCATGTCAAACATCTATCTATGAAGATTACCAGTTAGATTTGACCAACATTCCTTCCTGGCTTTGTTCAAATAAATTAACCTTAAACTCAGATAAAACTACTTGAATTAATTTTACTAAGGATAGAAGTGCTTCCAATCTATTTTTTTGACATACTTGATTTTACTTTTCAGCCGAAACCTTTTTACAAATACCTAGGTGTCATTGTAGATGATAAGCTTAAATTTTTTCACCATATACAGAATGTTCAATCAAAACTAGGTCGTCACTGTGGTGTAATATCAAAAATGAGACATTATGTACCAAGATCCATCCTACTGAAATACTATATGTCGAATATCAAGCCAATAATACAATATGGCTCGCTCGTCTACGGCGGCACGAGTTTTTCTTTTTTAAACCCAATTTTGAATATGCAACGAAAAATTGTTCGCATGATCTGCTTCAAAAGGAAATTTGATACCGTTACTAAATTCTTTTCTGATAACAAAATACTAACAGTTCATGAGCTATATGTAAACGATTTGATGAAGTTTTGTTTACGATCACTAAATCAAAAACATCCAACTTGTTTTCTCAATTCTTTGCTTACTTTTAAAAATTTTGCCTATAATACGCGAATTTCAGAAGGTCGAATATTTGTTCCACTATTCTGTAAGAATAAGGTAAAATCATGTTCTTTGACTAATAGGGGTTCAAACTTATTGAATATTATGAGTATAAATGAGCTTTTTTTTGAAAATTTTGGATTTATGTCAAAAAATGAAGAATACAGTTTCGTCCATAAATTTAAAGATAATTTCATATGTGGAAATTACGAGTTGGTGCAAAACATATTTCTTTGAATTTTTTATTTTTAAAAAATGGTACCCGCTGGCTAAATGCTATCAAACAACCATTCTAGGGTTGCGATTCTATGCTGAAAATATGACTCTCCAAATCCTTGTATTTTTCTAGATATCGTATTTTTTAGAAAATTTAAAAAAAAAGAAAAAACTGCGCCTTTTGTCTATCCCCTCCATTTTGTTGGCTTAATAATTTAAATAAATTGATGCTTGTATTATCAACTATGGAGAAATAAATTCTTCTTCTTCTTTTTAAAGGCATCAATTTTTTGTCGAAATTCGAAAGTTGAGATTTTTTCAAAAACAAGTCAGTTTTTTCCTCTTTACTCGCTTTTATCGACTCATTTCAAACTGTCAGTTGGCTATGTTATGAAAAAAGTTTTCCAATTAGAGAAGTTTCTTGAATTTTGAAAGCATTCGATTGATATAAACTTTTTCTTGTCTCAGAAATTGAGAAGTTGAAAATGTCAAAAGTAACTTTTTAGTTTTTTTGGTTTTGTTGAATTGATTTGCCTTTTCCAGCTGTCTCTTGGCTGCCTTCATCTGCTGAATAATGGAATTAGGAATAGTTCTACGTTTTGAATTGTTCAAAGTCAATGAGATTGTTTTCCCACAATTGCTGTTTTTTATTAAGAGTAATGAACGTAGTTCATTACTCCTAATTTTTGGATTATTAGGTCTAATTTTTGGATTATTAGAGTAAGACCTAATTTTTGGATTATTAGGTCTAAGGTTCGAGTCCCGATCGGGCCTGGTTTTTCTTTTGTGTGGAAATTGATTTTGTTTCGGGGATTTTTCTCGCTGTAGTTTGATTTTTCGCGGTTTGACTTTTGATTATTGTAAGGAAGGCAACTCCACTATCGAACAGCAAAAATCTGAAGGTCACGAAAAACGTTATCGACTTCTTATTTGAAAGTGGATTTTGTTTTTCAATTTTCTCAGCGGAATAAAAGTTTTTCCCATTGATCCAGTTTTCTCAAAATGGGTTGATTTTATCAAAAAAGTTTCGAACATAATCTGTTCTTGAAATTCAAAAGGCTCTAAGGCCATGCACTGTTTCTTTGAATTTCGAAAGTTGAATTGAATTTAATTATCAGATTCCACAGCGACATAAAAATTTAAGCTATTGATCCAGCTTTCTCAACTTGGGTTAATCTTAGTGAAAAAGCTTAAAGGTCATCTATTTTTTTGGAAATCTGAAAGTTGATATTTTTTCAAGAAACAAGTCAGTATTTTTTTCTATTTACTTGTTTTCATTGACTGTTTTATACTGTCTGTTTGCTATGTTTTTTTATCTCCTTGCACTTATTGACACTTTTGCAAATTTCTGTTTGCTATTTTTTGTAGCTCATAAATCAAAACTTTACTCGCAGTTTAATATAATTATAGTATTTCTCTTAAATTTGAGTCTGTTCCCAGGAGCGGACGACATTCTGAATGAAATGGTGAAATCTCGGCATCAGGCAGAGGGATCTGGGGGGATTAATAAAGACAATGACGATGAAGATGATGGAAGTATCTCCCTAGACCAGATCAAACAGTCCTACTCTTTGACCGTAGAGAGAGGCTTGGATGCGGAGGGGGAAGAGGCAAATGACATTGACATGATGGGAGCAGGCGAAGAGGTGTGTGTATGTTTGCGCGTGTTTGTATGCAAGCGTGTGTGTAAAAGTGTAATGTGTTTATTTAATTTATAAGGTGTCCACTTATAAAACTCGCGTTGATTTAAAAAAAAAATTTTCAGCTTCATGCCGGAAAGTCTTCCAAATAACACATTTTCAAGATTTTTTGGGTTTTTTTTGAAAATCAATTCAAACTGTTTGCTTCAAGAAAGGCAGATTATGCGCTTTCATTACAAATGTGCAATTGGCGCGAAAAAAAGTGATTGAATTTAAGTCTCGAAAGTAGATTTTAATTTTTCAGTTTACAAGCTGAATTAAATATTTATCACGTGATCAGGTTTTCTCAAATTAGGGTTGCTTTTTAAGAATCGATCAATGCATTAAAGTGTCTTATTTAGGTCGTGATGATTTTCCTAAGAGTCGATGAATGTAGTTCAGGCTCGTATATTGGTGGTGATGATTTGTTCTCTTTTTAGTTTGTTTTGGCTAATATTTGTTTTTTTCGCGGTTTGACTTGATTTTACTATAATTTCAGTTCAGTTCTTTTCCTTCGATGAAAGAAAGGCAAACTCTATTATCGTTTTTAAAGTGGAATTCAATTTTCAGAGTTCCCAGCGAAATAGAAATTTTACCTAATGTTTTTCCAAAATTTGGTTAATATTGTGTAAAAAGTTTCAATCATGAGTTCCAAAAGCTTTAAAAGTCAAATGGCCGGACAAATGGGATCGTGAAATGGATAAAGTGCAGGAACCAATTAGCCATAAAATTATTGATGCTACTGTTAACTTTTTACTTTCTAATGTACGATCATTAAAAAAACACCATGAAGATGTGGAAGCACTTCTAAGTAGTCTCGAGTCTCCGATACATTTACTATGTCTTACAGAAACGTGGCTTAGGGAAATTGATGATGTTAACTTGTTTAAAATCACAGGTTTCCATACCATCATAACTAATACCAGAAAAACTAGAGGTGGGGGAACTATGATACAGCTAGGCGATATGGTTAACTTATTAGAACAGCTTGAGAGTGGCATTCCAGAATCCTTATCAATCCTTGTTGAAGTTAGTGGTAAACAATTTATAGTTGTGTTGGCATATGTACCCCCACGATATGATAAAATTAAATTTGCCGATGAGCTCGATAAAGAACTAGAGCGTCTTGCTCAGTATAAAGTACCGATAATTCTAACGGGAGATATCAACATCGATACACTACAGAAAAATAAGTTACAGCAATCATATCTGAACACAATAACAGCAAATGGGTTCGAACTTTTGAGTAAATCTGCAACTCGAATTAGTGACACATCTGAAACTTGTATAGACCATTTTATAATCAGGAATTTAGAAAATCCAACCATTGAAGTATTAGATAATGAATGCTTTTCTGATCACTATCTCATAATATTGAAATCTAATTTTGGCTTTAAAGGTGATTTATCAAGTTATTCATATCGTGATATGTCATTCTTAACAAAATAAAATAAAATGAAGAATTTTTTTGTTGAGTTTGAAACAAAACTTAGAAGATGCAAACCTGATCAGCGATAATAATATAGACCTTGCGTATAAAAAGTTCAATCACAGCTTAATGAAATCCCTAAACCTTTTTACACCATTACGTAATATGATACACAAAAGCAAAACTAATGCTCCTTGGTTCGCTAAAGGCTTGAAGAATTCGTTTATAAAAAGAAATCGCTTATACAAATTGTGGAAGTCAGACAAATTGAATTCTCTTAAAAAAGTCGAAAAATTTATAAGAATCGCGAAAAAAGATCATTACTATCAAAAATTTAATAAATGTATTAGAGACTCGAGACAAGTATTTAAAGTTTTAAATGAAATAAATGGCAAGACCGCAAAATCATCAAAAGTGTCAGCTCTTTTAATCAATAACAATAAATTATCTGACCCCGTTCTAATATCTAACGCTTTTAATGATTATTTCGCTTCGGTAGGAACCAAGTTAGCAAGCTAAATTGACCACGTGGAGCCAGTGATTAAATTAGAAGACGTAAGCCAATCTATGTATCTCTTTAATAGTACAATTTGTGAGATAGTTAATGTGATAGAGCGTCTGAAGTCCAAGCATAGTTGTGGCATCGATGAAATTAGTAACCTTTTTTTTTAGTTAAAAGCAAGTATGTGTTAGCACCCTATTTAACATACTTAACTAATCTCTCATTTTGCTCCGGTATGTTTCCTCAAAGCCTCAAGTGTGCTCGGGTTTTACCTCTTCATAAAGCTGATAGCAAAATAATTATGAGCAATTACCGTCAAATATCACTTTTAAGTAGCTGCAGCAAAGTTATTGAAAAAATCATGCACTCTCGATATACAACTATCTTGAAAAGTTTGAATTACTGTATCATCGTCAGTTTGGGTTCAGGGAGAAGTTTGCCACAGTTGATGCATTAGCCGAATTGACTGAAAGATTGAGACTAGGTGTTGATAAAAACATTAAATGTAGCTTCTTCTTTGATTTAAAAAAGGCATTTGATACGCTGGACCATAAAATTCTTTTGAGGAAACTAGAATGCTATGGAGTACGTGGAAATTGCTACAAATGGTTCGAAAGCTATCTATCCAATAGGTATCAATGTGTACATGTAAACAACTGTTCATTTGATTGGTTGCAAGTAAACACGGGAATACCTCAAGGCTCTGTTTTAGGCCCTCTCTTGTTTCTTGTTTATATTAACGACATACAGCACGCAGTTTGCAATTCAAATGTGTTTCTGTTTGCAGATGATACAAACATATCATGTCAAACATCTATCTATGAAGATTACCAGTTAGATTTGACCAACATTCCTTCCTGGCTTTGTTCAAATAAATTAACCTTAAACTCAGATAAAACTACTTTAATTAATTTTACTAAGGATAGAAGTGCTTCCAATCTATTTTCTTGACATACTTGATTTTACTTTTCAGCCGAAACCTTTTTACAAATACCTAGGTGTCATTGTAGATGATAAGCTTAAATTTTTTCACCATATACAGAATGTTCAATCAAAACTAGGTCGTCACTGTGGTGTAATATCAAAAATGGGACATTATGTACCAAGATCCATCCTACTGAAATACTATATGTCGAATATCAAGCCAATAATACAATATGGCTCGCTCGTCTACGGCGGCACGAGTTTTTTCTTTTTTAAACCCAATTTTGAATATGCAACGAAAAATTGTTCGCATGATCTGCTTCAAAAGGAAATTTGATACCGTTACTAAATTCTTTTCTGATAACAAAATACTAACAGTTCATGAGCTATATGTGTACGATTTGATGAAGTTTTGTTTACGATCACTAAATCAAAAACATCCAACTTGTTTTCTCAATTCTTTGCTTACTTTTAAAAATTTTGCCTATAATACGCGAATTTCAGAAGGTCGAATATTTGTTCCACTATTCTGTAAGAATAAGGTGAAATCATGTTCTTTGACTAATAGGGGTTCACAGTTATTGAATATTATGAGTATAAATGAGCTTTTTTTGAAAATATTGGATTGTTGTCAAAAAATGAAGAATACAGTTTCGTCCATAAATTCAAAGATAATTTCATATGTGGCAATTACGAGTTGGTGCAAAACATATTTCTTTGAATTTTTTAATTTTAAAAAATGGTACCCGCTGGCTAAATGCTATAAAACAACCATTCTAGGGTTGCGATTCTATGCTGAAAATATGACTCTCCAAATCCTTGTATTTTTCTAGATATCGCATTTTTTAGAAAATTAAAAAAAAAAGAAAAAACTTAATTTTTTTTCCATACTATTTCTCATATTCTTATTTCGTCAGCTGGAATGAGAAGAGAACTGGCCGAAATGACAGGACTAGATGTAATAATTATTCCTTTATGAGGGCTTAATTTAAGGGGAAAATAAGTTTTTCCCCACAATCCTATTTTTATTCGAGTATAAATTTATCTTTATTACTTAGTTGCAATCCTAATTTGTTTAACGGGTAGACGTCAAGTAAGCACATACTGCGCCTTTTGTCTATCCCCTCCATTTTGTTGGTTTAATAATTTAAATAAAATGATGCTTGTATTATCAACTATGGAGAAATAAATTCTTCTTCTTTTTAAAGGCATCAATTTTTTGTCGAAATTCGAAAGTTGAGATTTTTTCAAAAACAAGTCAGTTTTTTCCTCTTTACTTGCTTTTATCGACTCATTTCAAACTGTCAGTTGGCTATGTTATGAAAAAAGTTTCCAATTAGAGAAGTTTCTTGAATTTTGAAAGCATTCGATTGATATAAACTTTTTCTTGTCTCAGAAATTGAGAAGTTGAAAATGTCGAAGTAACTTTTTAGTTTTTTGGTTTTGTTGAATTGATTTGCCTTTTCCAGCTGTCTCTTGGCTGCCTTCATCTGCTTAATAATGGAATTAGGAATAGTTCTACGTTTTGAATTGTTCAAAGTCAATGAGATTGTTTTGCCACAATTGCTGTTTTTTATTAAGAGTAATGAACGTAGTGATTTTTTTTTAGGAAAAAGTCTTAAAATGCTCTAATAACTACAGATCTGCATTCATACATATCAATGCATTTATGAAAGCGCGTAGGTATTTATGCACTTTTTGATTGAAATTCATCTGCTGAAAGTGACGTAAACAGCACTCTCCAAATCCGAACGTGGAAATGGCGCAAAAAAACGTAAACGATTTCTAGTTTCGAAAGTGAAATTCAATTTTTGGAATTACGGTGGATCCAGTTTTCTCAAATTGGGTTCATATTATCAAAAGAGTGCTAATCATAAATCGTTCTAGAAATTCAAAGAGCTTAAAGGGCATCGAATTTTTTGAAATTCAAAAGATGAGGTTTTTTAACAAAGTCTGTTTTTTTTCTGTTTCCAGTTGTCAGTTGGCTATGTTTCAGCAGTTTACACGAGCTGCACTCGGTTTTTTTAAATTTGCTGAATATTTTTTCCCTGACATTTATTGACCGCAAATGTTCTCCTTACAGGGAAAAAGCTTCAATTTCTACGGCACTAATAATGCCCAAAATCAGGGACAGCAAGCAGTTGCGGGACCCAAAGTGGAGATAATCAACTACCAGACACCCTTTCAACCAGCATCTTCACCTGCTTCATTGAGTTCAAGGTATATGAAGTGGAACCTGATTGGCATTGTGAGAAGGGAAGAGCACTCGCAGAATGAAGATGTGGAGGATAATGAAAATGGCGCTTCGATCACTGTGGAGTTCCACGACAGTACTTTTCATCACGCCATGCATCTCATTGACGATCATGGTAATTCACTCCGAAGTTCTACAACATTTTTGAAGTAGTGGTTATTTACAAGGTTGGGGAGTAGCATGTGACCAAGTACATGAGTGTGCTGAGTTTCATTTATCGTTCAATTAGCAACGGTATTGCAGCTGGTCTTTTGACTTCTTCTCATAACGTTTTTATAGACTAATTGTTGTTGAAAAACTTTTAAAGGTGAACTATACAATGTTGATGTACTATTACGATAGTCTGCAATGTTTTCTAAAATCTGCTTACTTAGAGGTTTTTGAAAACAAATTGTCTTTTTATTTCTGCTTAAGTTTTTTCTTCAACTATCTAACGCGCGCTTATTTGAAAAAGCATGATGGAAACTCGCAACGTTAACTGGTAGTCTTGAATCTCTGATTATTATGTTATGCAACTGTAGGTCAACGCTGCCTGATAGATACAGTTGAAATCTGCACGTTGTAGCAGGTTTTTATTCCTTTTTAATATAATAGGACAACGCGAGGAAGAGGTGTTATGGTACAATTGGATAAAAACGTAAATGTTTTTGATTAGCCCAAAATCCTTAAGGGCAAACTACTCTCTTGAACAGCTAAAGTGTAAAGGTCTCGAAAACAATGACCGATTATTGAAGTGGATTTAGATTAGATTTCCCAGCGGAATAAAAACTTAACCTATCGATCCAGTTATCTCAAATTGGGTTATTTTATGCTAAATAGTTTTTCTTGAAATTCGAAGAGCTATACATCCATTTTTTAAGTTTGAATTTCGAAAGTTGAAGTTTTTCAAAAATTCGTTTTTTTTGATACCTTACGTTCATTTACTTTTTTCCAACTCTCTGTTGGCTGTTTACAAATGTGCAAATTGCGCGAAAAAAAAGATGAATGAATTTAAATTTCGAAATTTAATTTTAATTTTCCCTACGGAAATAAAAATTTGTTTATTGATACATTTTTCTCCAATTAGAGTTGTTTATGAAGAAATATTAGTCAGGAAATGTTCTTGAAATTTTAAAAGCTTTCGTGTGATCTGTTTCTCGCCCTTCTCACAATTCAAAAGTTTAAAAAGCTGAATATATAATTCAGGGGCGGACTCCATGGATTCGACTCCATGCCTCAGGGATTCGACCCCATGCCGGCCCAAAGGGTCCCCCAATTGTACTATCTTGAGATATCCATTTTTGGCCGGCCGGCCCCTTTAGTTTTCTAAAGGCGCCAAAATATACTAATTTTGAGGGGGGAGTGCGCGCCGAAAAAAAAACGTTTCATAAAAGTGGCTGAAAACGCATTTTTTTCAATTTTTTTCCTTAACTACAGATTGAAACTATTATCGTTGGTTTATTAGGCAAATTGGTTAATTAGGCAAAATATGAATCCGGTTGTTCCAGAATTTAATTGGGAAGTAAAAGGGATAACGAGAAGAACTTGTTGCCGAGATGAACAAAATTATTTAACAAAATTAGTCAAATAAACATTTCATCATTAAGTTCAATTAAGATATCGGAGACCCGAGAAACATTTTCAAACTTGTGAGTGAACTCTTTGGTAAACATGTGCATGTACAGGGAAAGTAGGGCTATTCGTAAATGAAGAAATTGTTGCTGAACCTTTTTTTTTAAATTTTAGAATAAATGAGGCTCAACAACTCATGAGTTTTTCTTGTCGTTGGATTCTTTTTTGCTTTTCCATAAACATTTAGCTTTTCTATTTTGCACGCATTATTTTTTGCCTAATAAATGAGAGTTCCTTTGAAACCGTGATGTTGGTGCTTGATATCATTGGTTTGGCACAAGTATTTAGGGCATTTTAGATGTGCACTTATGCAGATGATACATATATATAGTAGCATGAAATTCACTTCAAGGCAAATTTTGGTCTGAGTGTTTTGGTGTATCCGGTAGGGGAGGTAGAACGTTAAATTGTAGTTTGAAATTATTGTTGATAAAAAAAATTTCATAACAACTTTTGTTTTTCTAATCAACGATATTTGATTACTGGTGATAAGAAAAAGGTGCATGTAATTTGGAATGCGATAGTTTTCCTTGTTTTTGTTCAGGATATACATTGGCTGATTTGAGCGAGGAAGCCCTACTTCTAGCCTCCCCCTCAAGCACAACTCTGGAGAATAAAGCTAGTGTAATAACATGCAACACCTTCTCATTCTGGGACCACAGTAACCAATGGACCACTCAGCTACCCCACGGTGAAAAGGCCATAGCGCTATGCCTCGGAACTATGTCATGGCTCGCAGTGGCCACTAATCATGGGTACTTGAGAGTGTTCTCAGTCTCAGGTCTGCAGTTGTCAGTGATAGTGCTACCGGGTCATTTGGTGTCCATTTCAGGCGGCGCCGAGGATTTGTTGCATGTGTATCAGCCCTCGCAGACATTACAAAGAGATCGGTTTTATTCTGCGGCGATTTATAAAGTGACAGGTTTCGAAGTGAGTTTGGCAATGACGGAACAGTTCCCTATGTGTCAAGGTTAGTTACTCATAGAATGCTCACTGTAAGATCTCAAGCAGCAGAGGATATAGTTCACATATCAAGCATTTTGTGCTAGATTTTAAATGTCATCCTATAGGGTTATTAAGCTCCTGTGATTTTCTTGTGCCCCAACCGAAATTGATGCATCGCGATGTTAAGTTTTGACTTTTTGTACATCGATGCAAAGTTTTCATCATTAATGAGATGATTCCAGTTTTTTTCGATACCTTGAAGACAGAACTGAAATCAACAATAAATGCTATGGTGACGGATGCAGTACAAAATGCTAGGTCTGAAACTGGTATGAAGTAAAAGCGAATATAGATTTTGTTGGAACTAAAGATTGCCTGAAGTCACCGGCGGAAGCTGAGCAACTGGAATGCCACAATAGAAGGGAGAATATCAGAATAATTGGTATGTAAGAATATGCTAGCGAGGACTATAATGTAACGATGGGAAAAGTGTTGAAAATAGCGAACGCATTATGCGCAGAAGTTTCCCAGACAGATTTGTCAATAGCGCACCGGCTTCCATCTAAAGGAAATGGACCCAAGCCTATAATTGCTCGATTCTCCAGAAGAGTGGCCAAAATAAATATCCTCAAGGAAAAGAAATTTATGGCTCAAAATTAAAGCTAAAGAACGTTCAAATATTCGAATACTTGCCAATTTCGAGGGTAAGCTTCTTCCACATGATGAAAAAAGATGATCGAATTGCAGACGTTTGGACACGAGATGGAGTTATAAATACAGTTGGAAAGCTGATGGATTAATATACAAAATACACAATTTGTATGACGGAGGAGTTTTTCTCATATACAACATGTGTTGAGTTGTTTTGGTAAAAAGGTGTTTTTCCAGGGGCCAGTCAACCTGATGACACATGAGCCTTCCGTGACAAAACTATGTCAGATTGATCCAACTTCAGTGATAGAACCCGCTGAAAACTCAAATATTAGAATCATACTGTCTAATGTTCGCTCTGTAAAAAAAAATCTTGAAGATCTGAAAGCACTTCTAAGTAGCCTCGAGTCCCAATAAATAAACTTTGTATAACAGAAACATGGTTGAAGGAAACCAATAATAATGAAATGTATAAAGTCAGCGGATTTCACACCACTCACACAAACAAGAGAATAACCAGAGGAGGCGGGACTATGATTCAATTAGGATATAAAACTACATTAATTGGTAAACCTGAAACTGGTCTACCAGAAGCGGTGGCTACGATAGTAGAATTTCTAGGGGAAAATGATCATTTTTGTCTGCTATGTACCACCCCGCTATGAAAAAACAAATTTGTTGAAGAATTACACAGAATTAGAATCACTAGCCAAACTCAAATTACCTATTGTTGTTGTAAGAGATATCAATATTGACATCCATACAAAAGTTATTCTACAACATTCATATCCTAATACTATAGAGGCAAATGGATTCCAAATTTTAGATGGCAGCGCTACTCGTGTTTGCGATAATACGGAGACTTGCATTGATCATGTAATTACCAAGGATGTCATTGACCCAAATGTTGACGTGCTCGATCAGCAGTGGTTTTCGGACCACTTCCCTTTGTTAATAAAATTCAAATCCAACCAAAATTTTGCTATAAACAACAATGAATATAGAGACATGTCATTTCTGACAAACATTTAAACATTTTTTGTCCATTTTAAAAGGAAAGTTAGTCTACTAACAATCAAATTTAGTAGGTGATAATGATGTGAATTTGGCCTATAATAAATTTGGCTATTCCTTAATGGATACAATAAAATAGTTTGCCCCAATTCGAAAACGAATATTTAAAGCGAAAGCGCCATGGTTTCAAAAAACACTTAAAAATGCTATATCAAAAACAAATATTTTGTATAAAAACTGGAATTGTGATAAGGGAAATACAAACAAGAAGCATAACTTTCTTTTGGAACGTAAAAAGGTGGATGTCCTCATTAGGAAGAGTAAAAAAGATTATTTTTATCATAATTTTTAAAATTGGATAGGAGACTCGAGGCAAGTTTTTAAATGACTTAAGTGAAAAAGCCGAAAGCTACGAATATTGCAGCTCTAAATATTAGCTGGGAAACAGTATCGGAGCCAATGGTAATGTCTGCTGCCCTTAATGATTATTATGGAACAATCGGTTCGCAACATTAGGTATTTTACAACAATAGGTTCTTTGCAACAATAGGTTTTTTGCAACAATAGGTTCTTGCGGAAAGTATCATGAACACTAATCAATGCAATGATATGGAACCTAGTAACCACTCAATGTATTTTTTCAATGTTCACGCTCAAATTTGATTTGTAGTGGCTTGACTTCTGTTTTTTTTTTTAAATTCCTATCGAATTCTTTTGCTAAAAGGAAAGAAAATTACGTGCTCGAGTAACAAAATGCAAGTTACGCGAAAAAAATTGAGTGAATTTTAGTTTTGAAAGTTGATTTTAATTTGGAGATTTCTCGGGGGAACTGCAAAATATCTATTTATCCTGTTTTCTCAAGTTATCTATGGAAAAATTGCCTATAATAAAAGGTTGAAGCTCAAAGAGCTTAAAAATGAAAAATTGTCCAATGAAAGTAGATAAATTTTTTCAATCTCCTTGAGTTCCTTGGCACTTTTCCAGCTGTCTGTTGGCTATTTTCGGTTTTAAAATTTTATCCAGAACTTGTTTGTTTTTTATTTAGCTGAAGACAGTATAATCTGGACTGGGTTCTCACAAGATAACGATGCAGTTGTCTCCTTTGCAAATGGACCAGTGTATCTCCTGAAACGAAGCTCATCTGACAACTCAGGTCATTGTTGGATGCCAGTGTTCAACTGCAAGCAATTCCTGAACTCGAAGTCAGACAGAATCTGGATTGTGGGAGTCACGGGGAAGCAGCTGCGAGCTATCTACTGCAAGGTAACTATACGTCCGCTTTTCTGAAGACCGTTTTGAAACCTATTTTTGATGCGATAAACATTTTGTATATTTTAGTTGTAATGTTATATGGTATATATCAAAATATACCAATATAAAACGAAGGTTCTATAAGTCGTTAAGTTATAATGATTTAGATGAGTTTGTTTCTATGTAGGTCATGTGGTTTTAATTCGTTCTTTTTCACGATAATGTTCACACTCAAACTTTTGTTTTTTGGCAGTTCTTTAAGTTTCCTTCAATTTAAATTACACCACAACAAAATTGCAATTAGCAAAAAAATCAAGATTTTTTTTTACTTTAGAAGTTGTTTACGCTCAAGTTATGGTCAAAATGCCAATTAAAAATGAGTTTTTGAATGCTAAAAGTTTTACATTTTCCGTTTTACTAGAGTTGGCTGTATCGGCTCTTTTTCCTTTTCCCCCCCACCTGCAAATTTTTACAAGAAATTTTGTTGACCACATTGTCCGATTGTTATTAAAATTGACACATAGACTAATTAGGCCATGACAAACATATTTAGTCTTCATAATCAACCTCGTAAAACCACTTGTTACACTAAAAAATTGAAGCTCGTCTGAGGTGGGGGGAAAAGGAAAAAGAGCCGCTGTATCTTTTCCAAGTGTATGTTTGGGCTCTTTGCCAGTTCCCCCCCTTTCGAATTCAATTTTGAAAAGTCTATTTAACGTTGTCATAATGCAATGAAATTTGGCGTGGTGAACAAATCGACAATTCTGAACAGATTTGTTCTTCATTTTTTACAGCGTAACATCACGCATTTAGACGTAATAACACGTAAAACAAACATAAAACTCGGTATTTTGAAAGGGGGGGAAACTGGAAAAGAGCCTATGTTGGCTATGTTACTAAATTGAAAATGTTTAATTATTTCGTTGCGTTTTTGCTATAATCACGATCTGTAAAATTGGTAGTTTCATAGCATCTGTTCTCTTCTTTGTTTGTGGCTAGTGATTGGTAAATATTAAGATTCCGTGGACGAGTGGTTAGTATGTGAGTCTTCTAAGTTCTATGTTGCAGGTTCGATTCTCAGAGGCTGACGTTTTTTTTTAAAACTAATTCGAGACTTATTTCTAATTTTTATTCCTGCACTTTATAAAGCTGCTTTTTTCGTGTTCTTGCATGTATTTGCGAAACGAAGCTTGGCTCTTTTTCCTTCCCCCCCCCCCCCCCCCCCCACCTCACACAAACATGAATTTTATGGTCTAACGAGTGGTTTTACAAGGTTAATTATGAAGACCAAATATGCGACAATCGGACAAAGTGAACAGTAACTTCAAATATAAAAATTTGCAGGTGGGGAAAAAGGAAAAAGAGCCCGAAGCTTCACCTCTGTGTTAATGCTTTTTCTTGTCTCTGCGAAGTGAAGCTTCGCTGTCTAAATATTGTGAAATTCAAAGAGAGTTAAGATAATTTTTTTCCCGACCATTGAAATTGGGGAGAAACTTTGTTTTTGAGTGTCTTCGTTTTTTTTGCTTTCAAAATCAGGCAACACAAATAATCATCAGAATGTGTCGAGTCATATATCATACTAAATCCCTTTCAGTCGTGATTCAAAAAATTCTCCCAGTGTCTAGAAAAATTGGTTTGAAATTTTTTAGATTTAGTCTAATTTCGAGTGAGTGACGCTTGTTATATGAAATTTTTATTATTTCAGTCTTTTAGGATGAAGAAGCTTGATTTCACTATAAATAAAACTAGTTTAGCGCTCATTTGGCAAAAAAGAGGTTTTTTAAAAAAATTAAAATTACTGCAGAAAGATTAACACACAAAAAATGACAAAATTTTGTCATTTTTTCTGTGTAATTCTTTTTTTGATGATAAATGTCGATCATGCCTAATTCCCTAATTTTGTACGCGATGGTATAGTTCTCGAATCACATCACCCCTTTTGAATTTTTTTTCTATTTTTGTGAATATCGTTGGAACATTCTGCGGTTCTTGCACAGCAACCGGCTCTTCTTGTATTTGTTTAATGTTTTTCATTACTTTGTTACTGACTCTGGAGTCCACTTTAACAATTGTCAGTTCGCTTTATTCGCAAAATGTTGATGTACGATCAAGATCGTCCAGCGTTTTAATTATTTTGGTGTTCAAATGAGTAGTGTTAGTATTGATGTTGGAATGATTGATTTATGCAGGCATCCAAATTCCCAGCTCAACTTCCTCGCCCCATAGTCCTCACATACACGCTTGGTCTACCCCTGTGCAACATAGAGTCGGAGCAGTCTCAGATGGAACTGGAACTGCAGAACCAGAGAGTGTTCAGTACCCTTTCAGTCCAGGAGGTCCAGTCCGCGTTTCTGAAGATGTTCGCACTTGCATGCAGGACTGACAGGGATTGTAGGGCGGTGGATATCTGCAACTTGATGCCCAATGAAGAAACGGTTAGTTGGAGGCAACAAAATTTTAATCCAATGATTTGAATCAGATAAATTAAACGAAACTCACACCGATTATTTCTTGTCTTAATAGTTATTACGATATATTTACGTTTATTATTAAGCTAGCGAGCAGCTAGTGTTTTAGTACGAACCTTCTTTTTCTTCCAACCTAACTCGAAAATAAAAGTGTTCATTGTTGTGTTGGCGGAAGTTGTGTTCATGAGAAACGGTATGTATGTTCACAATCGTACGCAAAAGCCATTTGAAATAGTTTTCCGAGGAAGTGATTCTGCACTTCAACAATCCCAACAGGTGGTGTGGCGTGTAGCTCAAGATTGTTTGTTGGTTTCGTTTCAGTATTTGAATTGAGCAGCCCAGAAGGCCAACTCTCGCATCCCCTCGCTCAAATATGGAAAAGATAGCTCATTTCGGCCATTTACGTAACCAATTGGTTGAACTTACCCGGCCGCTCGTAAGCTTGCCTGTTCTTACTCCCTCGGGGAGAGGGTATACCTTGGTGCAAATAGCAGTTTGAATATTGGAAAAAGGCAGAGCTAATTTTTGAGTTTCTTAAGCCAAGATAGCCCGACCGGTAGAAAGCGAGGCGATACAGTCTAAGGCCTAGGTTCGAAGTCGTTCGCATTGCCTGGTTATACATAGTTTTTATGTAGTAACTTTCTGGAAAATTGTGAAATTAATCCCCCCTCAGATTGTTTTTCTGCTTACGTCCTTTTTCGGTTCTAAATTTGGATTATCTTTGACCAATCTTGATTGCTATGTTATTTAGCTAATATTGTAGACTGCTACCGTCGTTTGCAAAATTCTCATCGTCGGTTAAAAAGACAATGCTCATTGAACTGTAAAAAGTTATGATCGGCGTTTCAGAATACGCTACCATTTCAATGAGCGGTTTAATATTTTCCCCGTTATGACAGTTGTACGAAATGGCATAAAACAATACAATATTCAAAAAATTTGAACTTAAAGGTGATGTATTTCCAAAAAAAGTAATAATTTTGGTCTCCTTGAGTTCCATGACATTTTCTAAATGTCCGTTTGCTCAATTTTTTTAAAAAAGAATCTAGGCTAGCTCTCTGATTACACAAGTGAGGCGTAGTGTTTTATTATGAAGATTTTTTTTTGTCTAATCTAAGTCGCAAAAAAAAGTGCTCATTTGATGGCACTTTTGGTATATTTCAGTTTAATCATTTTTAGGCCTATTTACGCATAGGCAATTTTATAGCAGTTGTTGTTGCTTTATTTCTGTCTAGTGTTAGGTCCTGTTTGAACAAACAGGAAATATGAAAATGCATTATATTTGTTGTTTTTTTTATATTTGTTTTTTTAAAGAAGTTTTTATCACTATTTCGAAAATTACAATATAAATTTGATGTGAAGGGTTCAATCTAAAAATCGGGGCGTGTCTCCCCTGCATAGGAATTTTTCTAATCGATAAGAAGAGAAAACTTATGGATTAAGGAAAAGTCATTTTTTTGATTTCTTGATCGTTTTTTGGAATTTTTTCAGTTGTTTCGAAAACTACCCAGCCACATCTGAGATGAAGCATTCAAATGAAAGAACGAAAGCGAGTTGAAGTTTTTCTCCTTTAAATAAGCAGCTAATCTCCTAATTACGCAGTGAAGTTACTAGGGTTTTGCTTAAAGTTCGTTTTTTGAATTATTGAAAATTATGCTTTTCAGTATCAGTACAACATATGATTAAAAATATGAAAACAGGTACATCCAGCATTAGCTGGGCTACTAGCTTACTTCCAAGTGACCGTGGCGCAGATGCGAGAACGTGAGTGACACTCCTAATTATCAGGTCGGAGATTTAAATCCGGAGCATTGAAATAGTTTGTTTCTTTGTTCGAATTTTTGCTGCTTTATTGGTGGCTAATGTGTAGAGTATTTTTTTAACAATCTCCTCGCTAAGCTAATGCCTCTGTGTAAAAGTGCAATGGACAAATTGGTTGTTTATTTTAATTGATCGAACGTAATTTCGTTCAACAGGTTATTCTGGCAATCAAATACGCGACCAAATTGAAGAAGCTGACACTAGCCAAGAAACTATCGGCCATCGCACATGAGAAGGCCTCTATGAAACCAGGAGCAGTGCTGGAACACCAATCTAGCTTCAATGCGTTCGAAGATGACAACAGTAGAGCTCTGTTTAATAGTCAGTCTGTGGACTCTTCTTCTGTAGCTCTACAGGACGACAGTAGAAGTGCATTCTTGTCAGAGACTGAGAACCCGATTCTGAGAAGAGCGAATATTGGGAAGATATCGAAGAGTAATACTATCAACGATGACTCAAGGTATGAAAATGAGCAGACATGTTTTAATCAATTTGAATTCCAATTGGGTCTACAAAACTAGGTACATTTTTTGCGATTTACGATCTTGTTTTTTTTTGTGAATGAGGCTTTTTTGGTGGAAGTTACTGTGACACATATTGAATGGCCAATGATTTTTGAATTGATTGTTAGCTTGAATTTATCTCCGATCACTGTTTCCAATCGTAAATCTGTTTTTGTATCAAGTGTCAGAGAGCGTAGTTTTAATGTTTCTTTTCCCACGAAAGTTTTGAAATTAGTTCACGAAAGTTTTTTTTTTCGCAGTTTGACCTTTGATTTTGTTTCAAGTTCAACTCAATTTCATTAGCAGAAGGAAGGCATTGTATCATTTTAATATGGAAGCAGGGTGTCGAACAGGTCGGTTTTAACCGACTTGTCGGTTTTGGTCTGTGGTTGGTAGTTTTTTTGTCTGACGTCGGTTTAAGTCGTTTTTTTTTGGATTTAATTTTTAAAGATAAGTTTTAATTGACGTTTCTCACTCCAACTAATCTTACAAGTTTCCTTAAGGCTCATTCGGCGCCGATGGATACTAATTTTGAAGTGGAGCGCGTGCCGTTAAAATGCGTTTTCTGTCAAAATTTTCTAAAAAGTGCCCAAAAACGGCATTTTTGACCTATTTTCTCAAAATTTTGCCTGCAGTGCTGAGAATTTGGTCAAAACACGGTCTTTCAGCATTAAAGGATAGCTCAGATCTCAATAATCTAATTTTTATGAGTAAAACTATCAGGTCGTTTTTTTTTCGAAATCTCATTGAGCACCCTGAATGGTATTGATGTGTTTTAGCGCTAGTGATGGTAGTCTTCTATCTCCCTCAATATCAATGATGGAAGAAAAACGACGCAAGAACCCATTTATTAATGAGGTTACCTCGTCCACCCTTTCATCAACTAAAATGAACACATCTGACTTACACCGAAGCCCCTCGATGGGTTCTTCAGTATTCGACAATCTGAAGCTTCTCAAACCCGAGAAGCTGAGAGTCGGACCAGATACGAAAGCAATGCCGAGACGCAAGTCAGTCTTAACCTCTTCGCAGAAACAAACGAGTTCCGTTGGAGAACAAGAAAACAAAACCACTTCGAGTTTGACTTTGGCTGGGGTGAAGAATATGACACCGTTTCAAATCTTCTTTGAAAAAATTAAACCACAACTGCAAGGCGAATTTCCAGAAGAAGAGGCAAATGAGAAGCTTCTTTCGGTTGCAATGAAGCGATGGAAACTACTCAGTTCAGAGGAAAAGTCATTGGAGTCTCTCAGTGAAATAAGCTCATCTTCCGCAGACAGCAGAAGGTTGAAAAGGAAATCAGAGAGCAGTGAACAAATTAAAGAAAATCAAGAAAACGGTACTGAAGTCGTGAAGAAAAAGAAGTTTGACAGCGCTGTGCTTGAACAGTTTTCATTTAACTGAAATTAATTGCGACAGTTTGTGAATATTATCTTTGTTTTTGAATAAATAAATGTTGGTGTGAATAATAACTTTGTTTTTTGAGTAAATAAATGTTGCTGAATTGAATTTTTGACTTTCAAGTTTTAAAAGTGTGAGATAAATGCTGGTATCTATTGTTCAAACCCGGTTGCTTCTTTAAGTTGATAACAAGTCGATGAACGTAATGAAGATTCTTATATAGCTCGTGGTAATTTTTTCCGGAAAAGTATTCACATTTTTTGGCTCAAATTTGATTCAAATGAATGTCAAACAAAAAAATATTAAAAACAATTAAAGTTAAAAAAAAACTTTTTCTTATTTATTAAACACATTTTTTAATTTTTTTAAAGAAAACTTTTATTACCAAGGAAGCGGTAAATGAGTTTTCCAAAAGTAGTTTTGTTATTAAAATTAAGTTTGTTTGGCTAAAACTTAATTAAAAGTTAAATTTTCGGATAACGAACGTTACTCGATTTCTTTTTTCGCTCGAAATGAAAGTAAAACTCATAAAATTTGTGCCATTCTTTGACACTGCTACAAATTTTTAAGGTGGTTCAAATCGCGAGTGAAAGGCTTATCTTTCGATATATATCAGTCGACCTAATCCGATGATTATTTGTGGTACCTGAGTTTGCGTAGAAAAAAAAAACACAATCGAAAACAAAGTTATCTCTATTTTTGATGGTCGGAACAACAAGGATAGCTTGTGTCCTTGCAAGTAGCACATAATGTTCCGATCATGGTATTTTAATAAAAGAAACCAAACATAAAGACATATTTTCACTAAAATTGGAGGACTGATTTAGGTGAAAACTGCATGACTGAGAAATATTGATATCTAGAATAATGATTAACTTCGAGTAGAGTGAAGACGAAGAAGTCAGCTTTTGAGCAAGTTTTGTCTAATGTTGTCAAAATTTTGAAAACAGTCAGAAAAGTTTGTCTCGACACAGTGAAGACTTCAAGAAGTTCTTAGAATTCGAATCAGGATTAGTAGGTTTTTAAAATGAAACAACAATTCAACCCGTACGTGTTTTCCTTGAGTCAAAGTTGACTGGAAATTTAAAGAAACGTACCCTATGCGACATATACATTAGTCCGCAAGAAAATTTAAAGCGAAAAACGGCGAGTTTTTTATTTGTTAAAAAATCGAAAGTATTTTTTTTTTGCTTAAAATTTTCGATTATTTGTTGAATCGTTTTAACCGTTCTTGTGCTGATATATGCCCGAAAGTCTTATCGCACAGTTTAGTTTCTGACTTAGTACACCGTCGGCTTGTAACGCTATCTACTTTAGGATAGATTTGTTTGTGCATTTCCCATGTCCAATACTTGAGCTTAGTCCCACTCCTAATTTCCATAGTCTTAATAGATCTGGAAAACACTGGTAAAATCGAGCTTAGGTGGAGATCAACTTTGTTTTCAATCAGCTTATAAAGTGGTCTGATCAATTAATTTGGCCAAACTACAATGTCGATTTTTTACACATGCATAGCTTGTGTTATTGTATGAACTATCTTTTTTTTCCAACCTAAGTCGCAAATATTGTTGCGATAAAATGTGTTCATTTTGAGAAAGTTCATTTTGATCAATAACCAGCTTTTTAGTACAGCCAATGCTAAGGCTAATAACACCGACTATTTTTGTTCCCGCTTTCGTAACGAAAATAACGGAATATTTGTGCTCGCGGTGGTTTTTGTTCTTTAGACAAATTCCGACTTTTTAACTAGCCATTTTTGACGTATTTTTTTTCTTCATATGATTCAAAAGTTATTGTTGTCCTGCGCTTTGATTTGAAAAAATGTTTCACTTGTGATCATTTTTGTAAATTTATAGGGTTAAAAAAATTATCGTTAGTTTTGCTCCAAGGACCTTAAAAGACAGTCAGAACATTCAGGGCTTCGCCCTGATACGACCAGTTTTGTGTTACAAATAGTTCTTTAGCTTCAAGGTATCAGGGACCTGAAGCGTAGAGGTAGGGAGGAGAACCGCAACCATATCAGAGGGTCAAACTTGGGCAGGGTCAGATTTTTCTAAAGAACTTTTTCGTATATTAGCTAAAATGCGTCCGATCTACAAAATGAGGCACTTGCAATTGGTAAATTTCTTTCTTTTAAAAGTGACTGGTACTGCTAATGCGTCGTAATTGGCTTGCGCCCCTTAAATTTCGTAGACTCAAAGTTATTGGTCATATTTTTGCTTGTGTATGCGAAGTTAAACTTCGCCTCTGTGTTAAAATCTTGATTGGTTACTTTTTACGCTTGCGATTAGAAACTAGAATGTAGACTTTTTTCTAGTTTACAACTAGTTTAACTAAATTAGTTGAATCAGTTAGCTCGGCTGTTAACAGATAAGCTCGGCTGTCAACAGCTGGGCTGTCAAATTTACGGAATGCCTGTCAACAGTTTTTTTGTCTGAAATGTCTGCATTTTAAATGGCCGTTCCATTCGATTTTATTGTTAGTTGTAAATTAACTCTTGTTTTAAGTTTTCTTTTTTCGCCTTTTTCTTCGCTTTTTTTCACTTAAAGGTTTGTCCCCTTTTAAATGGTTGCGGCGGATGCATATCTGTTTAAATGCCTGAGAATTCAGTTTGAAGCACCAAATTTTTAAACTTGCTTCTGTGCTTAAGGATAGGTGGCGGCTGTGGGTGGTGAGCGAAAAAGTTGGGCATTTTTTTTTCAAAATGTTTTGCTGCTCAATTTTGCTTTTTTTGGATCAACAGTCGTCTCTGAAGTTTTGTCTGCCCAGTATCCGCTTAATTAACCTTGCGATAAGCAAGAGTTTTGCAATCGGGTTCTAGACTTTTTTCCCGTAAACAATTTCGTTTACCTGACTCATTGGATTCCTGGTGGTTCCTTGGTTCATAAAGAATTCAAATTTTGCAGTGTCTCTTGCACAATAAGCCTGGTGGTAAAGAATACGCCCATAGGTCCAAGATTTGAATCTGACCGGGATCAGTTTTTTTTTTTCACACGGAAAACATTCCGGTTCAAAAAATTTTCGGTCTATAATTTATCTGCTTGTTTTTTCAGCTTTGTGGCCACATCTAACAATCGTTTATTTTAGCTGAACACAAGTTTCACTGCAGTTGCTTATAGTTTTTTAGGAATCCGGACGAATTGAAATTTGCTGTTCGCATTGGTTGTAACTTTACCAGCTCTTTTGTTAAAATTTCAATTTTTTGTTTTTATTTGGTCTTCTTTATTGGCTTAATAATTTTGGCATAGTTAATATCACTTTTGTGGTTTCTTATTGCATCGTTATGACCGGAAAAAAATTTCGTGCGCGTGTTTGTGTTCTGTGGGGAAACGGGACTTAACACTTTTATAACTTCTTTCGGCATAAAGGGTTTTTGCTCAGAAATTGTCGCCTCTGTTACCGCTTTGCATTTATAAATTAAAATCCAATCAACCATGCAGAGCATCTGGTGTAGAAGTGAAACAACTGCTTGAGATGGCAAAGGCTTGAGATTCGAATCAACATTGGACCTTTTTTATTTCGTGGGGTAGAAAGTTGTCCCCCATTTTGCAGCAGCTGGTGGCAGCTTCAGTAGGTGGATGCCACTGGGACCCTTCCAGCCATGACAGACGCGGGAGTCGAACCCACTGCCTTTGTTTTAAAGACCGCGCGTCTGAGCCACTCGGGCACGCTATACCAGTACAGTTATTTTCAAAGTTTGTCAATCAGGTACTTTCATCTTTTGCGAGGACTCTATTTCGAATCATCATTCTTGAGCTTTCACTGGTTTTTCTGATTTAGTCTGCACTTAGAGTTGTAATAGCTTGCTTTGTTGCCAGTCTGATCAAACGAATTTCTGAGACAATGAAATCATTTGTAGTCGAAAACGTTTGTAATTGATTTTGTTATTTTTTCCGGAAGCTGAAATTAGTTTAGTTGCTTAGAATTAAGCTATTCGAAAAAATTGCGCTCTTTTAGGGCATAACTTAACAGAGTTACAGGCGAGCCCGGTGTTTAATCGTATCATTCGGTTATCTAGTATGTCATTTCTAATTTTTCCTTGGATATTTTGGTGATGATTAATAGATCAAGTGTGAATTATCGAATGTCTTGGCTTTATTCAAAAGAATAAATTATGTGGTTTTGGGTATTTACACTTGCGAAGCGAGTATAATAGTACGAACCTTTTTTCGAGCCTTAGTCGCAAATATTGGTGCCACTTTTGAGGCACCCTTACAGCTTTTTCATAGCATGCGCTTTGACATTCGAATAGCAATAAGTTGACACATTTTATGCATTTTTAGTTCATCAATTGAACCGAAAAAAGCTGTTTGTTTCAAACAACATAACAATTATAAAAACTCGATTTCAACAATTTTCTAACTCAATATATCTTGCAATTTTTTGAAATGCATAATTTATACATAATGTGGCTTTCTGCTTTCCGATTTGTTACTTGCAAAGGTAGTACGGATGACTTTAGTTTGTTATAATCCAAATTATTACTTGCAAAGTTGTGTCTGTTTGTATTTGGTGCCAATTTTGCTAAATCGCATTAGAAATTCATTAGCATCAGTAGCTGCTTTGTTGGTGACTATAGTTTGTCAGTGGTTAAGCGTACGTGGCTGAGTGTCTAGTGCGTGAGACACAAAATGTCTTGATTGCAGTAGGTCGCAGATCGAATCCTAGACCTAGCCGAATTTTTGCTAATTCGAAGCTCATTTCTATTTTTTCCTTTTGCACTTCCTAGAGTTGCTTTTTGTCGTGTTCTCGCATGCCGTTCTATCTGATATTCATGTCTTATCTGAAGCTTTAAAAAGCATGTGGTTTTGTGGGTGCCAAACTGAGATGTAGCTAGTCTTCAAATTAAATTGCTCCGTTTGATGTTTCAAAAAAAAAATCTTTCAAGCGCAGTTCACTTAGTTTGATATCTTAGTTTTGATAATTGGACATAAAAATTTAAATTAAGCATAATTTGCAAAACTTTTGTGCAATAAATTGTCTCCGATATTTTGAGTTTTCGTAGACTTTGTTTAAGATCTGCGTATTTCATTCTACGAATATTGCATCTCATTGCATGAAAACTATTTTTAAACCAAATAGATTGAGATGTTGGCTGATTTCTGGTGATTTTTTTTTTGACTTTTTTCAAAAATTTTTGGCTGGGTGTTTCTGTATCATTTCCTTCTAGCTTGCCATCCAATGTGTGATACATCGCTAGTTTTGCAAAACTCTGATTGGCTTCTCTGTAGAAAGTCGATATTTGCGAGCGAATACTTTATCCTAAGTTTTTCAAAGTTTTTTCCAGTAATTTTTCAAGTCTGAGGAAAAAATTTTGATTTGAAATAATTTAGTTTAGAAAGTTATGTTAAATTTTAATGCCAAAATTTAATGAAAGGCGTGCATCCTGTTACTCGTCTGTTACACTAGCACTCTGTATCCTCGTGGCTTATTCAGGGATGGATTTAGGGGGGGGCGGACGCCCCCTTTCAGGGGTTTGACCTACTGTCGACCCAAAGGGTTCCCCTTTGGTATTTTTTAAGAAATCCATTTTTGGCCGACCGACCTTCAAATTTTTCTAAAGGCGCCTTCGGCGCCAATATATACTAACTTTCAATGTAATTTTTCGCTCAAAATTTTTCAAAAAGTTCCCAAATTTTTCAAAATTGTTCAAATAGGGTCTTAACAGTGTTCTGGGACCGCTCGCAAACTCAATTTTCAACAAAAAAGGTCGACAAATTTTCGAAAATCCGCACCACCCCCCCCCCCTTCGAGAAAATCCTATATCCTCCCCTGAGCTTATTACAGCCTACTACTTAACCAAATTCTCCAGGTATTTAACTAATTTCTAACTAAGTTTGATTCATGCAAATATCTGGTAACGAATTACAATGCTATATTCTAGTTCTATCAAGACTGAGCAGGCTATTTATAAATCAAGCAAGAAATTGTGAATCCAAGCACATGTTTGATTTATAACACATATACCATAGTATTGTTCTGCTCAAAGCAAATGGCTCTTTCTTACCAGCCTTAGCTCTGTTTCTCGAATATCATTAAAGTGAACTAACTAATTGAAATTTTTATGATTTGAATGAGTTATTTTCCAGAACTATTGCTGTGGTTTCACAAGATAGTTCAAGTTTTAAATTAATTATTTCCAAATTGTAGCCAGTTTTTTTCCATACTGTTCGTACTTCGTGTATTCGGTTTCCATTCCATTAGGTTCCCATATTTCTTGAATGGACACTCCAGAGTCGAACCAGATAGCCGACCAATGCTCTAGCAGCAGCAATAGCAGTGGTAGCAGTGAAATCGTGTCTTCAAATGAACAAATTCAGGGCAAAAAGATGCATTTGTATGAGACGACAAATCACACGAACAAAGACGAAGAAGTGGGCGCGTTGTCGTGTTCAGACTTGAATGACATCAGTGATGATGTGGACACTTCGCAGTCTGAGTTGATGAGGGATGAGAACCAGTTGGCTGGTGAAGAGGTTAGCAGAGCTGGAAAGCTGTAAAATTTTTCATAATTAATAGTTTTTATTTGGTGATTTTTTTCAGGAAGTGTTAAATTTTTGTTCATGCTCCAAAATGATATTTAGTGGTTTGACTTTTGCTTTATGTCTAAAATCACTTCATTTCCTTTGTTAAAAGAATGGTTAACTCCTCTAACAAACAGCAACAATGTAAAGGTCACGATGGAATAACAGTGTAAATATGAAAGTGATATCAATGGTATTACCATAATTTGCTTCCATTTCTGGTTGCCGTGTTTTTCGATGAGAGTTTAGTTTATGGTGTCTAATCTTATGTTAATTTTTTTTGTCGTAATTCGAGCGAATAAAGCAAGCGAGCAGGCTTAGAACAGCTGCTTTATGCCTAATTTAATACCTTGAAACTTAATTTTAAGCAAGTAAAATTAGTTTTGGAGTTTGTTAGCTTAATTTTGAATTTTTTTATCAATTTTTCTAGTCATTTTTCTACAAAAAATTTTGTCCAATTTGCCTATATTACTATGACTGTCTAATAGGCCTAAATTTTTTTTTTACGTCTAATCCTTTTTATCACACCAAGAAGAAAAACTTCATTAAAATGGAAAAAAAACTTTCTAAGCCGTAGTTTTCTAAAGACTATGGTCGGAACATTCTGTGCTACTTGCACAGTAACCGGCTATCTTTGTTGGCTTATGCCGTTGTTGTACTTATTCGATAAATTGTTATTGTACGATAATACAGTTGTTGTGCTTGTACGATAATATCGTTTATCGATATACCTCAAAATTGTCAAACTGTCGAAAAACTTGATAAATAGCTAGATGGGGGCTAGAAAATTAAACGATACACAAATTAGACGGCTCCAATAAAACGGAATTTAGACGGCAAGTTTTTTTTGTAAAACTAGTATTTTAGACGGAAAGCAAAGGGCTAATAATAATTTTTTTTTGCTTAAATTAAAACTTCACAAATACAAGAAGAGTATATAATTCCATTGCATATCAAAATTGTTCATTATAAATGATTTTTAAAACAGTAATCCAAAAATTATAAACTATTTTTGAAACACATAAATTGTTCATTGTCTCATTTCAAAAAATGACATGCACTTTAACAAGCTCGAACGAAAGTTAATTGTAGTCAGTAAACAAATTTCAATTACGAACAATACAATTACGTCTAATTTCCCATAATTGTAGTTTTAAATTCATTTTTTCTGGTCACGTCTAATTTGCTTGTCGTCTAATTTCTTAAACCCCTAGCTAGATATCCTAAATTAAAAAAAAAAACAAAAGCTCCATAAATTAAACTGAACAAAAGCTCAGTTTTCCTTTTTTCGATTTCTTATTGTTTTCATGTTTTTTATGTATCGCAAGTTGTGCGAATCTCCGCTTTGCCTGTTTGTAAACAATATGTTGATCCTTCATTTTGGTCAGATTTGGGTGTTTGCAATCGGGTACTACACTTTTTTTCCGTTAACAACTTTGTCCACAAGACTCATCTGGAAATCTGGACTCATCTCTACCTTGTTTCATAATGTATTGAGTTTGCTCAGTTTTCCCGGTTCCCGGCCAAATTAGCCTGGAGGTAACGAATATGCTTAGGACGACAAAGGTCCTGTGTTCGAATCTGACCAGGACCTGTTTTTTTCATAGGGGAATCGTTCTGTCCTAAATGAAGTTGTCGGCCGATAATTTGTCTGCGTATCTGTTTTCGGCTTAGTTGTCACATGATGGAAATGTTTTTTTCTGCGCGCTTTTTTAAACGTTGTTTTTAGTATTTGATTTACAATTACGTTTTGTAATTTTATTTACCTTTATTTCGTATTTCCTACTTTGTTTTTTTGTTTCGCTAAAAAAAGATTCCTCGGCCAAAATTGTTTCCGCCTTTTTTTCACCGGCTTTATGACCAATTTTTTTTAAATTCCACTTTATTTTTTTGTTTTGGAAATAATTTTTTCACTTATTGCTAAGTTTTAGTTTTTCTCAGAAACTTCTGATTTTCAAAAAAGGGGCATTAAGTGAATGACCGCTTACTCCTCTATGTGCATGCGTACTCCCCTACAGTCTTTTTATACTTTACCCCTCTGTCTACGGCCTTCGAAAAATTTGGCTGAATATTTAACCCATATTTTCTCAAAAACTACCCGCTCTCAAATACGAGTTTTTAGGTTCAATGAATTGAACTCTTTTTTTGAAAAACTTCACTGCATTAGCGGACACTAAGAAATAGTTTTACACTAGAATTTATTGCCCTCTGAAAATTCAAAGTTTTGACTTTTTGACCCTTTTTCTAAACGTTTTGATTATTCTCGAAAACTACGCTGCCATACTTGAGATTTTGGGTTCAATTCTCAGAACGGGTTTCGAGACGCTCATTTGCTTATGCGAGTACGCCAAAATGTTTTTGATTCCAAGTATTTTGGCCCTCGGAAAAGTAAAAATTTTGTGACCTTTTGAGAAAAGTTTTTGACTTTACGCGGTCAAAAACTACCGGTCTAGTTCTCAGATTGTGCTCAATCGATAAACTCGCCCTTGGAAATCTTCTCTGCTTAAGCGGCCATAATCTGCTTTTTGCAGAAAAATGTTATGGATTTTGGAAAGTTTTTTGAACGTTTTGTAATTTTTCGACCGTTTCTTGGAAACTTTTAGATTTTCTTATAATTTACACATTCAAATTTGAGGTGAAAATTCCATTGGAAGAACGGGTTGCTATAACTGTTTCGGCAGAAGCGGGGATTCTTTAATTTCTGAAAAGAAATTTATCTTCTGGGGAAAGTTGATTATCTCACATTTCTTACTCTTCTCACGTATTTTAGTAGAGAAACAACAAAGGTTCTAGGCAAATTCCAATTTTTGGAAATCAAACTTTTCGTGCCGCATCAGTATAGCATCCCAGAACATATTTTAAACCCATAATGCTGCTTCAAGAGCGTTAGCAAACGGATACTGCAGTTTATAATTGCAGTGTGTTGTATTGCTAGTTTACCAACCTATGCCTCACGTTTTTTGTTCCATTTCTGTGTTACGTTGCCAAAATCTTTTTTGCTGAAATGCTTTTGGACTGTGGTTATATTTATTTTAAAAAATAATTGAAAGAGTTTTCCTGATTAAAGTTTTGCTAATTTCAATGTTAGTGTGATCTTTTTGAAAAACGTTTTGCTCTCAGGTAGATTGTGGCAAACGAGTGTCCATGGAGTGCATCAAAGCCTTCCTAATAAGGAAGTGTGACCAACAACAGGTGAACAGTGACGCGAACAGTGAAAAGAGAACACAGCAGATAAGTCAACAGGAGGCGGACTGTATGCACTTGGCCATGGCAGAGATAGAGAGTATCAAGCCGAGGTCCATTCTACGCAATTGTGAACTAAAGATTGTATCTGGCGTTGAAAACGGTGAGAATTACAGATTAATCACCCGTAGTAAAAACAGCAAAGTTACCGCTTGTTAATTTTCTTTTAAAATCTTGAGTGATTAATTGCGTTGTACTTGAAGTAATATAATGTTATTTACACCAGCGTCAGCTTAGTAAATTAGTAAGAACATTCTTTTTTTCTAACCTAAGGCGCAAATATTGGCGCCATTTTTTGGAAACTTTTACAGCTTTTTGATTGCCTGTGCTTTGACCTTTGAGTAGTAATAAGTATACACAGTTTACGCATTTTTACACTAGCGTTAATTTAGAGTGTTATTACGAACCTCCTTTTTTCCTAACCTAACTGGCAAATAAAAGTGTTCACTTATTTGGAAATTGCATAGCATCTGCTCTCGGCTTTTTTATGGCTAGTATTTGATCTTCTATCTTCTGTGTAGTAGTAAGCTTCCGTGGCTGAGTGCTTAGTGTGTGCGTGACTCCTAATCTCAAGGTTGAATGTTCGAATCTCAGTCGTAGCCGATTTTTTGCTAATTCGAGGCGTATTTATACTTTTTATGGTGCTTCATAATTGTTATTTAATCAAATGAACCGGAAAAAGCTATTGAGTTCAAACCATAACTCAAAAAAAACTCGATTTCAGAAATTTTCTAACTCAATATATCGTAATTTTTTGACCTGCATAATTTATATATAATGTGGCTTTATGCTTTGCGATTTGTTACATGCAAAGTTAATGTGGATGCCTTCAGTTTGTTATATTCCAAAATATTACTTGCAAAATTGTGTCTGTTTGTATTTGGTGCCACTTTTGCAGAATGGCATTGGCAGTTTATAAGCATCAGTAGCTGCTTTGTTGGTGACTTAGTGTTTGTCGGTGGTTAAGCGTGCGTGGCTGAGTGGTTAGTGCGTGAGACACAAAATCTCTTGATTGCAGTAAGTCGCAGATCGAATGCTAGACCTAACCGAATATTCGCTAATTTGAAGCTTATTTCTATTTTTTCTTATTGATCTTTCTAGAGCTGCTTTTTGTCGTGTTCTCACTAGTGTTTACGAAGCGAAGCTTCACCTCTGTGTTATTTGTTAAATTTGTACCTATTTTAATTATGTGAGCCTAAAATTGATTTATGGTCAGTTTTTTGGATTCAAATTAAAACAAAAACTGCCGAGTAAATTTTGTATAGTTTTCCTATTTAAGCTAACTATGTTTCATATGTGAAAACTATATCTTAAAATCAACGGAAAAAATATTCTCAAACAAAAATTAGTCAAACTGTTCAGTGAAAACAGCTTTTATTCCGTGAAAACAGCTGTAAATTACTTTAAAAAATATTAAGAACAAAGAGGGAGTTCTTGCGTGATTTTGAACCAAATTGATATACCCAAAAAGAACTCGTTTGTAGGATGAGATTTTGGGTCTGAATTCTGCAAAGCAAATTGCACCAAATTAATTTAGCTTTGCCTACATAATTTAAATGAACACTGTATCTTAACCAGGCAAATGTTGAAGCCAAAAAGCTTATAAAACAATCGATTTAAAAATGATGGCGCAAAGTTTCGTAAAAAAAAACAGGTTTTTGTTGAAAATTTAAGCTTCTGGGCTGAGAAATGTTGTATTACTCTTCCAAGCAAGGAACACGAATCGTGTTTCGCCTCAAACCTTTAATATTGTTAATAAGAACGCGGAAGTCTTATTGCTTCATAAATATTCAAAACAACAATTCGAAAACCAACATGGATATGGAAAAAGCATGACTGGATTGGGCCTGGGAGTCTCATTTATGATTTATTAAAACACTTAGATTGGTTTGAATAATTCGTGAACGAAAGCCAAACAATAATCAAAAAGAATAGATTTAACCTACTGATACTTTTTAATGCATTGTGGTGTTTGATTAGCAAATATATACCCTTAGAAGAACAGAGAAGGACTATATTGGATCAAGTTTTCCATATTTTACAAATTTTAAGCATCTCTTATTCTCATCGCCTTTTTCTCTAATTTCAGCTCAGTTTGAGAAAAAAGCGACATATGTTTCCAATTTTGTTAATTTTGACAGAATTATCAAATCAACGCTTGTTTTCCTGTAGGTTGTAACCCGGTGTTTGTATCTGGAAAGAAGACCAACAAGTTCCTAGTGTTCGGTCGCGGCAGTGGTGCTTCTCCTGAGTTCGTGACTCACAGCTGTGGAGTGGTCGGCAGGAGACACTACTGGGGAAGTGTGAGGTACCTGGAATGGCTGCAGGTGTTCCAAGTCATACTCAGTGCAGTCGCTTTTCTCTGGGTCGTGTTCTACGACATGGACCAGGTACACAATTATTCACTTGTTAACAAAAAATTATTAGCTTAATAACAAAAAATGATGTTAGAATCTGTTAGTGCCACTATATCAATTTTCCAAGGTTATCGATTTCGAAAGCAAGTATCAAAACAAGAATAATTTTTTCTTAAATCAGAACAATTGTAATTGCGGCGTTGCACTTTAACGGGCGAAAGCAAGTGTACTTTTTTGATTAATCAAATTTCCTTACAATCCAGTAGGACACTGGCCTTGCTTTATAATGAAAACTCATAAACTTCAGAATTCCCCCAAGCCCGCGCGGGTCTGTGTTTTTGTAAATTGAAACTTTATTTTTGGGAAAAAGAATTGTCAACCTATTGTTTGTCTTCTTTTATTCGGCTTAGTTTTCCATTTGATTATCTTTTACTGTCATTTGAGAAGAAAAAAAGATATTATGCTTTTGTGTTCCAGGATGGATATAGCACGAAATTCTTTTCATACTTTATACCTGTTTTTTATGGCAAAACTTTTGTTTTAGGCTCAACGGGCGTCAATCCAATTATTGTTTGTTTAATTTCTGCTCGGTAAATGTTTATGAATGCATGCTTAGTGTTGGTGATTGTGTTTTTCGGCAGCTTTTTCTCAAGCCGAGCATCATTCGACACAAAAAACTGAAACTTTGTAAGTGTCGTTTTTTCTAAGTTTTTCTCTTAAAATGTTTTTTTTTTCAAGTTAGTGGATCTCATTTTCATTCCGCTAGCTTGCAAAGCTAAGTTTCTGTCGTGCCGCAAGTAATGCGAAGCTGCGCTTTGCCGGTGTTCCTCCGTGGTCAGGTTCAGGAAGTTTTTGTTCCATGTTGCTAGTATTTTTCAGGACTTATTGCCTTTGCGATAAGCAAGGGTGTTGCAACTGGGTACTAGACCTTTGTTCCCGTAAACAACTTTGTTCACAGGATGATTTCCATTTTCAAGATCTTATTTTTCAGCACTTTTAATGCGTTAACGCGTGTAACACCTCGAGTTATTGATCCTAGCGTTACTGGATCTACTGTTAAAAAAAATTCATATGTGAAATTTTTTTTTGTAGGCTTAACTGATTTCGTTCCAGTTTTTGTCGGCTTATATGCCAAGTCTTTTTTTAAAAATTCTATTCAATTGATTCTTAAATTTAAATTGAAGAAAGTAACAGGATGAAACACGCTTTTTTATGCACGCTAAAACTTTCAGAAGAAAGAAAAAAGCTCAAAGCGATTTTTTATTATTTTTATTTAAATCTATTTTCAGTGTTTATAACATCAAATTCACTCAACAATGGGGCGCATGTGTCGTTGAGGTAACACACTTGTTTGAGGCGGCAAAAACCTGTGGTTTGAATTCGACCGGGACCTGTTTTTTGCAAAATTAATTTTTGGTGCTTTTTCGGGCTATCGTCCGTCTGCCTATTTTGGTCGGCTTGATTCACGTAGTCCCTTTTTTTTTTCAAGTTTCAATTTTCTTCCAAGCTGCTGCTCCATCCATGCTTGAGACGACACGTTTCCTTGCAAATTGAGACGGGACCTGTTTCCTTGCAAATTGAAAATGGTGCGAAGCTCAACTTCGCCTCTGTGTATGAAAACTTGAAAAAAATGGTTCAACTAAATGGCTTGAGTGAGTCTTAAGCCTGGTAAAATAGCCTGGTTGAAAGCCTGGTTGAAATTTGAAAATTCTCAAAAAAATTGATACCACTGGTTGCTTTTGATGCTACTGTTGAAATTCTAAATCCACAAGTTGTGATTAAAAAACCTCTTTTGAGATCATTAAAAAAATTTTAAAAAAAGGTGTTGATGAAAGTTTTTTTTTCACTTACTTGCAAAATTTGAGAGCGACACTTTTTTCCAGTCAATAAACTTTTCAATTTTTAAAGCAGGCATGATTCCGACATTCAATTACGAAACTTTTATTCAGAGCAAGAAACTCTAACAAGGTTGAACAAAACTGCATCCAAGACTTAACACAGGGGCGAAGCTGCGCTTCGCAAACTCCGGGTAGAACACGACCAATAAGGAGCTCTATCAAGTGACATAAGGAAAAGTAGAAGTAAGCCTCGAGTTTGCAAAAACTCGAGCCTAAGCAAAAACCCAAATTAGCAAAAAACTGCCATCTAGGAAGTTTTAGACTCACGCACAGGGCTTTTCAAAAATTAATTGAGATCAAAACAATTAAATTGCAGTTAATTGGATGTTCAGCAATTAATTATCAAATAACTGAAAAAAAAACAAAAGTTAAACTGCAATTAATTGCAATTATCAATGAAAAGTTCAGATGTCGCTATCGAGACTGTCCACGGTTGACTCGTTCCAGAATCTGTGATTGACTTTGAGGAAAAGTTGCATTTCGAGATTTATTGGTAGTAGACTTTTGCGAAGATCGTTGTAGGCGTATCCAGCTACGCTAAAAAAACGTTCTATGAGATCTGAAGTTGGAAGAAGAAATGTCGGATCCATGTATTCACTTCGTGAATTTTTCATCTCTAACTTGCGAATTTTCAGAAGACCCGACGCAAAGTCGTCTTCGTCGACATTCACCGCATGTGTTACTTCGACAACTGGCAGTTTCAGAGACTCAACAGCGGCCTTTTCTTCGATTGTTAAATCAGCTTCTTTGTGTTTCAACAATTTAATAATTGCTTTCTGGAAAACTGGCACATGAACTAAATCGCCATCTTCAGACAAGTATTTCGCAAATTCTTCTTCTTTGTACTCATCCAAAATTCCATCAAAAAGAATGCGTGCATCCGACATGTCAATGTTTTCGCGTTGAAGCGCTTTTGTGACAGATATAAGTTTTGGAAGAGTTTCTTGCAGTTCTTTGAGTTCACTGTTTTCTCTTGCACTAGGAAAGTAATCAACCAGTTTAGAGAAACTTGGCAAATTCTCCACAAAACCTTTCATCTCAAAATATCTGTCGATCATGTTCATGGTACTCAACCATCTGGTCTTGTTCCGGAGAACAGGTTTCAGATTGGTGAGTTGCCTCAGTTCACCCGCCATTTTCGGAAAACGCAATTTGCCCATCAAAACGGCAATTTTTTCCAGAATTTCACTTTTTCTATCCAAGTACTTACTCACAGCGAGGTTAAACTTGTGTGAGTGACACCCGATAAGTGGAATAATCAACAGGTTGGCCAGGCATCTGTTAACTTCAGCATTGTCACCGGTAATTGCTATCAAATTAATAACGGATTTTCCATACACCCCCAAAACGTATTCGATAAAATCCAGGTGATCATGAGCTGTGAAAGAAGTTTCATTTGCTAGAGGCGAAAACGCAAGCATTGCTGTGGAATAGCCTTGGACGGAGGAATAAGATGCGAACAAACCAACGAAGTGTGTAGAACTGCAAGTCCAGCCGTCTATGATAAGCGAAATTTTCTCCGGAAGCTCCTTAGCAATGTTAATTTCAACTTGTTTCGTAAGTTTTTCCATGTATTTAAGGAGGGTGTTGCGCGAAATGGACGTTAACTTGCTGTACTTCCGGGTTAACTCCTTCTCCACAAACGAAAATGGTAACAAATCAACACAAATCCAATCAATCCAACCGTATAAATTGAGTCCAGTTCGGGTAAATGACGGCCCGGGTTGGAAAAATGTCGATACTGGCGCTTGCGAATGGTTGTCGTGTTCTGGATGCTGACTTTTCAAATGGTTCATTAAATAAGTCCAGCCAGTGCCTTTCTTCTGCAATAACTTTCTTCCACATTTACACTTCCATTCGTTTTCCTCCAACGCCGTGAAGTATTTATGCACTATTTGTTCGTTATTCCGTGGCATGATGCTGATGGATGATTCACAAAACAAAGTGAATTTTGCATCAACAGCGACGAAAATCCAATAATTAAATCTGAAAGCAACTCTCTATGACGGCCAATTACATCAACCGCCAGATGTAATTCGTTGCTCAACAACCAACGCTTAACAAACGAACTTGCTTCTGTTCAACAACAATTAATTGCAATTAATTGCAGTTAACTGGGCATGAGAAAATTTTAATTGAAATAATTGCATGCCCAACAATTAGTTAAAAATTCAATTAATTGCAATTAATTTAAAATTCAATTAATTTTTGAAAAGCCCTGCTCACGCACGAACCATTCAACCACGGATGCTTAAAACCCCTAAAAACTAGTCACTAATAATGCAGCTACATATGCTCATAAATTGCCAACTCGATGCAGCAAAATTAGCACCAAATACAAAAAGATACAAATTTGCATGTAGTAAATTGCAAATCATTAAGATACATGATGTACAATTTATACATTTCAAAAAATTGGGAGAATTATTGAGTTAGAAAATTTCTGAAATCGAGATTTTATTATTGTTATGTTGTTTGAAACAAATAGCTTTCTTCGGTTCACTTGATGAATTAAAAATGCATCAACTGTGTAAACTTATATCTATTCGAATGTCAGAGCACATGTTATAAATTAGCTGTAAAGGTGTAACATATTGCCAATCATTTTGTTTTGCCAATTCCATGCAGCGCATTGACCGGCAAATTCAAAGATATAACGTAATTTGCAACACATTTGAGACAATTGGATGTTTTTACATTTTCAAGGTCTGGAACAAAATGAATCCCACCCGTTTTGACCAGAAATCAAATTCCCAATCCCGTCTAGACTACAATTTTAGCAATAAAATTGACGAAATTACGACCTTGACTACATTATGCACCATAATGCAGTACATGCACGTTTTTTAAATTTTCAAGATTTCATGCATGTAAGTGGCCAAAGTTATTGGAATAAATTATAGCGTAGTTAGAAAGCACAATAAGCCATCAGAACTGGTAGAAAGACTTCAGGGGCTGTCTGAGGAGTCTGTAAAACTGCCATTATCAGGAACACACGACAAATTTAAAGCCAGACTTCGTGACTGGTTGCGTTTTTTATGCATTAAAGGTGACAGACATTTGAATAAAGATAACACCCCCTACTTACAAAGTAGTGCGCTTGCAGATAACAAACCTATCGATTCAGAGACAACCAGACATCCCCAGTTGGCCTCTAGTCAGGCCAACACTCTTAACTCTTCTCTCCTTGATGAGGTGGAGCTGAGGACCGAATTTAAGTCCATTCGTTGATTTTATTTGCACCTCAACCATGGTGGTTGAGGTGCGCCTAAATCACTCCTGACTTATTTCAAAGTAAACAAAACTATTAGGCAGCTAAAGCTGAAAATTGGTGAAATATCCACTGATATTGATGCAGTTTGAGCGAATATTTGGTTTTTTATTCTAATATTTACAATAAAAACGTTTCTGAAGCCGATTACGCACACAGGGAGAAGTTTTGATTGTTGTCAAGCTGCACAATTTAGAACGAATAAAGAAAATTACCAAAATGTTCAATAGTTCGCCAATAAGTGAAGGGGAAGTGAAGCATGTTATAATTAAACTGAATAAAAATAGCGCGCCTGGATCTGATGGCAAGTTCAATCAAGCACTCAAAATTGTGGCCTATGTCAATAATATTAGTGATTTCATTAAACGTGCTTGTATCGGAAATTTAATTGATGAAATCAATCATTTCAATTTGGTATCAAAGCTTGCTATAAAAGTCGACAAAACCAAAGTTCTGAGTTTAGGTTTCGTGCCTAAACATTTGAAAAAAAGTATCAGCTCTTAAATTATTAGGCATACGTTTAAGTTTGAATGAACCATTGAAAATTAAAACCAAGGTATTGGAAGATACGGTTAATAACTCAGCTAAAATTAGCTTAAAGTGCATGACTCTCCGGGTGCGAAGCCTCAATATTGAAATTTTTGTGATATCAAAGCTCGTATATGTGATAAGACACTTGGAGTTGAAAAATTTTTTATTGATAAGTTAGAAATGAAATTTATTAACAAGGTATGGCTTGGAGGAAAACATTCAATCAACCAGCAGATCTTATACCTTCCATTTAATAATGGAGGTGTTGGTTTCAAAAACTTAAATTTTTATATTGCGGTGGCAAAAATTTTTGATATGGTATCCCTACTCGATACCTTAGGTACTAACAAACAAGTCCTCTTTTTCAGAAAAATGTAAAACTTTCAATTCCTTTAAGTGTTTGTAAATCAAAAAGAACACTTACTTTCTCGAGTTCGCTCGAGATAATTTTAAGCTATTTCAAAATGGAAAAGTGATTGATCTAATGAAGATGAACATTTCTAGCCTTTATGTAGAGCTGATGCTTCCAAAATTTGAAAACCAGGTTATAGCTCAAAAAAATTGTGAGCTTCTACCCGGATCTCAATCTTTCAGACAATCTTTGATTTTTCAATTCCTAACCAAAATATGGAAACACAAAAAATTCACCCCTCTAGATAAAAAGCTCCTATATTTATTTTTCTTAAATAGTTACCTGAATAAGACCAGAAAAGGGATTAAAATTTTTGTGGACCACCCCCTTTGTTACTCCTTAAAAAGAGTTCGAAAACATGCAGCATTTGCTTTACGTTTGTGAAAACTGCTTTATCTTTAAAGAAAAATTTGATTTCAATTCAATAGAAGATCTGCTTGTTGAAAGGAACGTAATAGGCATGAAATACCTTGTAGCTAAGCTGATATCATCATGGTGTCAGGATACATCTGAATATCTCAAAAAAACTTGGTTCCATTCCATAAAATGATTACTTTCATGGTGAATATGTTACATTTGATGGTGTATATTATCTGCTAACTGTAACTAAATATGTGTAACTAATTGCTTTCCCTCATAGTAATTTGTAATAACAATCCTGAATAATTTAGTTGAAAGCCAATTCCATGCAGCAATAATTGTTGCTGTAAGTCGCAACAAAAGTAGCAAAATATTTGCGACTTAGTTTGGAAAAAAAAAGTTTGTAGTATAACACATTGCTTCGCAAGTTTAATAATTAGAGGATTTGATCTAATCAATTATTTTTGTGTTCTTGAATTACTTTTTGCCGAATTGAGATCAAGCAAAAATGAAAATGTTTTCTCCAATTTTTTGTTATGAACTGTATCAGGAGAAAAACTGAAGCTAACTGCAAGCTTGAAACGTTCGACAAAAGCTACACAAGAAGCTATGAGTTGTATAGGCTTTTAATAACTTCAGACACTGATTTGATACCTATTGAACTGCTGAGGGTGGTTTGAGGACTGTTAAGAGATGATTTGCGGTTTAAACATTGCTAGTTCGCCGGACTAAAAGATATGGCTAATTTTGCATTTACCTATGACGCTCAACGCATAAGTGCGACTTAGTTTAGCGCGGCTAATTAGTGAAACTGCTCAAATGGTCTGTCCACACTGAACTGTGGCCATTTAATTGGATTCAAAAATGTCCCTAGTAATCTTAAGCAATACTTTTCAACAGGGGCGAATCTCCAGGATTTTCTCGAGAGGGGGAGGCGGATTTTCAAAAAAAAAAAACTGAAAATGTTGTCGAACTTTTTTTAGGTCGACCAAATTGATTTTCCGAGCACTCCCAAATCACCATAAAAACCCTCTTTGACCAAATTTTCTGCAGCACAGGCAAATTTTTGAAAAAACAGGCCAAAAGTGCGTTTTAGACACTTTTTGGAAAATTTCGACAAAAAACTTGCGTTCTTTCGGCGCGCGCTCCCCCACCCCCCCCCCCCCACTCAAAATTATTTTATTTTGGCACCCTTAGAAAAATTTTAGGGCCACTCAGCCAAAAATTGATATCTCAAAACAGTACAAACGGAGGACCATTTGGGTCGGAGGGGGTCGAATCCCTGAAGGGGGGCGGGGGGCGTCCGCCCCCGCCGCTCCTTCCCTAAATCTGCTACTGTTTTTTGTACTTGTGAATGATTTAGATGACGACATTTATTATTTTCGAGAAAATACTCAAAAATTTTTCTTGCCCATTTTTTTGCTATTTGGCTTGCTTCTGTATTTTTTAAATTCAAATGAAACTCATTTGCTTAATGGAACGCAAATTACGCTCTCCTATTATCCTAAAAAATTAGCATATTTTTAGTGTGCAAGCGCAATGTAAGCGGGTTCCAACTCAAGTTAGTCCAATGATTGTCGATTTCAAGGCAGAATGGATCAGAATTTCTAAGTGAAATCTACGGCGCTGAAATTTGCAGGTTTTGCTGTAGTCCTTACCATTGTTTGGGAATCGAGCTGTGAAATCTAAAACGAAATTTGTTCATTGATTTAGTCTCATTGTCTGTTGTCTAGAGTCACGTTTTGAAGTTTATTTTCTTTGAAGACATTTTTCTGTGTTTTCTTGCATTTTACTTGTGTTCGTAGAGCTATTTTCTGCCTTTTTGCAAGCCCTTGCGAAGTTCAGTTTAGCCTACTTGTCCATTAGATCTCGAAAGTTGATTGATATCTATATGAATTTCTAGCTAGCCATCTTCTTTTCTGTCTCCAGGATAACTTCAAAAATATTGCTCGAGACATATTGGTTTTTAGTTTGCTTGCAGCTAGTAAAGTAATTCAAAAATTTCGTGATCGGGGTTTGTTCAGGATTTTTCAATCGCATGGTGCAATGCTTGCAAACGGTTTCCTATGCGGGTGTTGTAGATGCCATTTTTTGCTTTAAATTGTTTCAATTAATTCAAGTATTTACCATTGCATATTAATCCAAGCATGCCAATGTTTTAGCTTCACCTGGACATGCCAGTAGACGGATGTCTGGACATCAAAGTCAAGATGTTCAGCGCCCTCACTTCGTCCAGTCCGTACAACTACCAGTCTTACTGTGGAGCCCCCCAAGACTCATCCTCAATTAGTGAACCACTCATGAGTTTCATTGGAGGGGGAGATGAAGCGACCTCTTCTGATGTCCTTGGAGACCCCGACTCATTTCTGTCGAAGGCCAATGACTTTTTCAATCAACTCGGACAGATGACTCCAAAATAGCTGATATTTCTTTGCCTTTGTCTTTTATGGTTGCTTCGTTGTGATTATCGAGTTTTTTTCGCTAATTCAGCATTAGATTTCCAATTTAGTATGTTTTCATTAAAAATTGTTTTCACGTACAGGTTTTCACGTAAAAATTACCCAGGTAGCGGAAATGTTTCCTAAGAAGAGATTTTCTTTAACGGTTTTTGGTTTCAATCTTCATTTGCGGGTATCTTTCCCAAAAAAATTTGAAACATTTTCCTTGATCAGATGTAAGAACAGATGTAACAGCCGTCAGGCGATTTTTTTTTATCAGCATGGCCATCGTCCCATCATGGTTTTTTCTCATACTTTTACCAGAGCATCAGGTTTACTTATATGAAGTACCTCGCTCATCAAAAAACAATTTTTATCATAAATCAAAACGTTGTAGTCCTCTTTTACACTCATAACCATTGTGGTACCAGCTCTACTTGTAATAATCATAATAAATTGTTTCCAAAACACATCTAACATCACTTTTTATATATTCCTTTTACAAAATCCAGATCATTTTGGTAGATCGCGATTAGAAACATTTTCTGTTTTCAGGCGTCGAGCGTTTTAGAGTTTCGTATTGCCAATTTCAATTTTTTTTAAATCTTCAAAGTTTATACACAAATTTAATTTTCGACTCCAATTTGTATGATGACTTACAAAAACCAGATTTTTCTTTACTCTTTTTCTAGATGTCATTGGGTTGATTAAAATATTTTCAATAATAATTGAAAAAAATTGTTATGTATATCTTTATATAAGTATAATTAAGGTTTTAATTAATATCAAAATGCGAACCGAGCAAAAATGAAGCATAGTTTGGAGACTATTTGTCAATTTCGTTAATTATTTCATCATCACGTAAAATTTAATTATCTAAAAACATGTGGTTGAATATGTCCAACTCAGTATGACTAGCATTTTGTAAAAAAAAAAAACTTGGGAAATCTGAGCTATAGGAGGACTAAAAACTTGAAAAGTCTTCGTATTTTAGCCCAAAGCAAAAACTTTGAATGTTTATTGCAATCTATGGCAAGTGTTTAGCTTTCAGTCTCCGAGTCTTCATCTTAATAATTTCAGCATGATTGAATTAATTGTTGATGAATTCTGAAGAGCATTCTTTTCTGGGCACTTTACCTGATAGTTTCAGTAGTTCATAAACATATAAAGTCGTTTTTGAGTTCTTATTTGTTTAATTGACTGATTGCGTTTCTTGAAATAGCAAAATTTTATTACTATATTCATAGCAATTTGCAATGAACTTAGTTTGCTTTTATTCGTAGCTGCATAAACAAATACGCCCTTATATGCTCAACGCTTTCTTTTTTCTTTTCTATTTTTAACTTTTTACGGTATTTAATTTTTGAGAAGAACATTGTGTTTGTTTTGTCTGTGTTTAATAAAAATTGACTCAGTATGGATCCTTGTGGTACACCAAATTTGACTAACTGGGTGGTAGGTTTATTTTGATTTGCATCTTTATAATAAGTTTTATTTGAAAAATTAAAATTTTATAAATTCAAACACCAGCCCTCTTAACCCAAAAGGGTAATAATTTTTCATCTAAATTTTTGTGGTTTGCAGTATCAAAAGCTTTGTGCTAGTCCAGGAATGTGCATTGTGTTTCATTTGATTGAGAATCCAAATAATACCGAGTTTCTTCAAATAACGAAACTATTGCAACAATAGTTTCACGTTTGCTTCGGAGCCCATATTGCGCACTGTTAAGAATTCGATGTTTTTTAAGAAATTCTCTCAGCCTGTTATATAAAGCCCTCTCTACAGTTTTTCCTATTCGGCATTTACGATATCTTTTCCGTCGATAGTTTGTTGGATTGCATTTTCATCATCTTTGTAGATGGGTATTATTTTTGCTATCTTTAGTCAATTTTAAAAATTGTGCGTGTCAAAAACTTTTTGGAATTATATGAACTTCTTTTTAACATGAACTCGACCTTGCGAGACAAAATGGGTACCAAAGACATTGATTGCAACTGTTTTTTAAAAATTTTGGTTCTCCGAAAAAACGCTAATTTTCCGATCTAGTTTTTCGCCTACAGTGCTAAGGAGCATATTGAAATTTCTAATTTCTTCTGCGTCCAAATTATCAGTTTTTGATTGCTGATGGTTCCCTTTAGCAATCTCATCACATAATTGGAAAAACTTTTTACTGTTTTTTAGCGTCATGTTGTATTTTGTCGTGAAAGAATTTCATTTTTTTTTGCTGATTGACTAATCTTTTCCAAAAATCAGCTTGATGTTTATGTTTTTTTTCGGGCTTTTGTTGTTTTGATTTGACAATTTTTTGTCTAAGTAAATTCTTTTCAGCAGCTGCATTTCTTATTCGATTCGTTAGCCAGTGCTTCTTTTTTGTTTTTTTTTACAGATTTTCCTGGTCAGATTTTTATCAAGTTAGCATGCAGTACCTCATGAAATTTCACTAAAGCTTCGTCTATTGTATAATCGTCACTTCTGGTTTTCAAAGTTTGTAAATTTTTTTGGATGGATTCATTAACCCTGTTAGTGATTGTTTTGTTTAAGAGCTTATAACATGCTCTTGTTTGGTGGTATACAAACTCTCGCCCATCTTCACGGTCCCCCGTATCATTTTGTACACTGTAGTGATCTGATATTCATGTTTTTAGGACTTAAGCATACGTTGTTTGAATTGAGAAAAATACATCAATGAAGGACTTTGTTTTTACTGTTTCTCTTATTACTTTCAGTATGTTCCTAAGTTCCAGGCTATTTCCCAGTAAACACGTTTTTTGTTCTAAGCTTTTCCTAGTTTTGCTCAAAATATACCATTTAAATCACCGCAAACAATATGTGTATCAGGTTGCATAATCAACGTGACAAGAAAAGCGGTTAAAACGTCAAAAGTTTGGCAGTTAACGGCACTGGGTGGTATGTATACTGCAGAGAGCAACAATGAACAACGCTCGTTTTCAAAAATACGCTCAGTATTTGAACATAATTCGAGATGTTTCCGTGACGAATTCATGGTCTATATCCTCTCGGATATAAATTGCAACTCCATCTCCTTGTTTTGTTCTACTGCTTTTCACAATACACTTATTTCCAGGAATTTGGAAGACTTCAGTATTAGAACTTGGCTTCAGCCATGTTTCTTTCAGAAAGATAGCAATAGATTTAGTCTTTGGCTGATCAATCTTTACTAAAATTTCGTCGATTTTTTTTTGCTATGGATCGTATACTTTGTAATAAAATAGACTCTATTTGAGAAAAACCCACAGTTTCTGTTTTCTATATCTTTGATGAAAACCCGTCTCATATCTCTATCAGGAAAACAAAAATTAATTGTGAAAGAAACTGTAACAATCATTATCAAGGAAAACAGATCCGCAATTCAGACATGAAGTCGAGACATCACAACCCCTTCCAAAAAATTACTTGAGAAATCACAAGCTCGCGGAGTTATTTTCAATTAGATTTGAGTAAGAAATAAGGACCAAATGACACATCAATTCCACTACCAGACAAATAGTTGAGAAATAACAACGTCGTCACGGTCGCCGGAGAAATCACAGGCTCGCGAAATATAATCTTTTCAAGAAGTGGTATTCTGAAAAAAAAAGGTTATAACTGGTTTGATTTGAGAACAAGGAGTAAAAACAGTACTTTTTTATTTTCATTTCATCCGAAATATCACTTTAACATATCGCTTTGGTGTCAAATATAATGGTTTTGAGACTTTCCATTTTTTTGATTGCAATACAATTCTTTTACAGAAAGCAAAAAACAAAAAGATAATAATGCGCACGCCTTTAGTGATTTGAGTTCAGTCACACATTTTAGCTTTTAATGTTGGCCATGTTTTTTTTAGTTTTCGGGAGATACGTTGTCGCCACGGAATTTCGCCTCTTCCGTGTTTAAATCATGATATTTTCGCTTAACTGATTTTTTTTCCAATTGTTTCAAGTCTTCTTTGTTTTTGACTTCCAAAAATCTTTGTAGCATTGTCTCCTGACTTCACCAACACGGAAACCACACAATTGTTCCTAACGGTGGCCTATCTCATTACTGCCGTGGCCCTAGTGTCCATTTCGTTTTTTCAAATACCGTGTTGTTTTTATTCTGCTTGGCATGTTTTTCTGGTAAGAAAAAAATAAATACGGGCCTGTTTTCTATTATATAATTATTTAAAATTCTTTAAAAAATTTCTTTCACCTGAATATCAAAGGTGAAAAAAATCTGATTTTCTCCTTTTTTACACGTGGGGTATTAGTTCAAATATGAAATGAATTTTTTATTTCAATACAAGAAAATAGTAGAAGAATGGATTAGGATAGCTACTGAAAATGTTCTGAAAAAAAATGAGCTTATTGCAGTTTTTAGCATATTAATTATTTGCCATTTGTATAAATTAACTCTGAGATACAATTCTGTATCTCAAAACAATAAACTGAACAAAGCGAGAATGATCTTTGAACCTCAGGGCCAGTTGGTAGTTTTTTTTCCACTGCTGTTTCTTAAAAATGAAATCAACTTTCGCGATGCAAATCAAATGCGTTACTAATGAAACTGATTTTTTTTGTTATTGGAGAAAGAAGTTGCCTTCAAAGAATGTAATAGCAGCTCGAAACACATAGCCGAAGCAGAACTTCGCGTCATTTGTGATACACTCAAAAAAATTCTGCTGAGCCTATAAAAAATTTGAAAAATTAAGGTCTATCAAAAATTACCTCCAAACTTGCTGAAAAAAAAATATTTTGGAAAAAAATATATGCCAGGACAATGACACGACGTTAACTTATCGAGAGAACATGAAGCTAAAAATGCTTGATCAGAATCACTTCAACCTGAAAAAAAATCAGAAGACTTTACGACTACTACAAACTTTTGAGTCCCTTTTACCCTCAAAACACAGACAGACAAACTAACGAATTTTTTCCGTCAATATTTGACGCAACATGAGGCCACTAGAACGATATGCAATGGACCGAATTCGAAACAAAATTTTTTTTTTTACACTGAGGCAAAGTTGCATTTCGTATACACAAGCAAAATATGACCGATAACGCTACTGGGAAAAACTGATTGAGTAAAACTTTAAGTCTTCAAAATTTCTTAAGTGGCCCACACAATTTATGACGCATAAGCAGCAGTCAATTTGAAAAAAAAAACAGTTTTACCAACTATTATATCTTTCATTCCTAGTAACAAATCAATTGTGGCAAATAAGCTTCCTTCAACCTATTTGGAACGATTTCTATGACGGACTAAAACTCCGCTTACGCGTTAATTTCACGTGATATATCGCGCGTTAATTGTCCCAAATTGGCCAAAATGGCAATTTTTAAACCCCATAACTTTACGAAAAGTGATCACAGGTAAAATAGTTTTCCAAATTTAAGCTCAGGATAATAACAATTTTTGAATTCTATAAAAAAATCCCGTCAAAAATGGCTAGTTAAAAAGTTGAAATTTGTCTGGATAAAAAAAACCACTGCGAGCACAAATATTCCGTTATTTTCGTTCCGAAAGTCAAAAACAATAACAGTCTGTGTTAAAATACTTATCACTGGCTGCACTTAATAGCTAGTATTGATCAAAATGAAGGCTTTCAAAGTGAACACATTTTATTGCAACATTATTTGCGACCTAGGTTGAACAAAAAGATAGTTTATACTATAACGTAAGCTTTTCTTGTGTAAATAGGAAGTTCTACCAAGAGTAGAATAGAAGCTGCGCTTCACAAACACCAAATACAAAGGACAGAAAAGCAACCCCTTAAAGTGAATTGAGAAAAAGTAGAAATAAGCCTGGATTTATCAAACTTATGATATGTGTCGAATTTGAACCTCGTGCCCTTCACTAGCCAGACACACTAGCCATTCACAAATCCATGAGAAAAATTTCCAATGTTACAGATCGTGATTATAGCAAAAGTGTCACCGACTAATCCCTTTTACTTTCGAGTTAGGTAGGAAAAAACAGGGTCATAGAAATACTCTAAGCTCACTAGCTCGCGAGTGTCATCAAATGCCAACGTGCTCAAAATGTGTCTGTCCCAGTATTTTAGCAAAAGGGACCAGGAATTGAGTCCTGTGATCAAAACTATTAACGGGAAAAAGTCTAAAACCCGGTTGCAGCAAATAGTAACAATGAAAACCGCCAAATCTGATTAGCATGAGCAAGTTTTTAGGTTTTATCATGAACAACATTTTGCTCTTAAATTTGAAATCAAGCCTTAAAAAGGGAGTTTCTCGCCTTAGGGGAACGACTCTCAAACTGTGGCTTCGTTTTAAACACATTACTAAGGCTACTAATAAATCTAATTACGTCTATTACCTTCGTCTTTTGCGCACATTTTACTAAACTTAGCCAACAGACAATTGAAGAGAATCAATGATCGCATAGAACCAGATAAAGAAATGGTTGTCTTTTGACTTGTTTTGATAAAGTTTATCTAATTCGAGAACACTAGATCATTAAGTAAATGTTTTCATAGCGCACCGAAATGTGAAAAAAAACTTTTGAAACTAGAAGTAGACCACGTTTCTAGTGATCTTTACACTTTTGATGTTTGATAGTGAAGTTGCTTTTGTTTTAACAAAGGAACTGCAGTGAACTTAGATAGAAATCAACAGTCAGACTGAAAACTCAATTTTGATCTCGAACAAATTTTCACGCAGTGAATACTCTTAAATAGGTCTTGTAAAATTTTTTCAAATTGTTTTTCTTCAGGAAAAAGGTTTTAAGTTTGTTCAGACTACAATGTTAGTTTTCGCTGTTGACATTTGATTTCTTTCTAAGTTCAGTTCATTTCTTTTGTTAAAAGGAAAGCAAACTCCAATATCGAACAGCAGAAGTCACAAAAAAACGTGATCGACTCATTTTCGAAAAAGGGAATCAATTCACAGATTTCCCAGCAAAAAAGTATAAATCAAAGTATTTTAGAAAATTTTAAGGCGACGTAATTTTTCTTCGTAATTCGAAAGGTGAGAATTCGAAAACAATTCGGTATTTTCTTGTTTAATTTTTGTTGTGTTCTGTAATTAATCGCCACCTGTTGCGCTGACTCGAGGAGTTTTTGTGCTTCCAAGTGTAGTATCCTGCATTTTGAAACTAATGAAGTTTAAACTTACTTAAGAAATTAAACTTAAATATTGCTTACTCATCCGGAACAATTGTCTTCAGAAAAGTGTTGGTATTATTCTGATCAACTAATGTACCTAAATAGGTTAGAGTCTGTATAAGATCAGCTTTCCATTTTTCTTTTTGAGATAAAAAAAAACACTTGTGAAAAGACTACTCTAAATTCTATAATTGTTAATCGAAATTCAAATTGGGTCAAGTTATATAATGATGATTTTACAACCTGTGGATGATACAAATTCAAAGCTGTTAGTAGATTCAAATTAAATAGCAACAATGGACATCAAAATGGCAAATTTTTTCTTCAACTACATTTCAAGACAATATTTGCACTTTTACAAATTTCAATTCGGGGACGTTTGGAAAAAATATTGCATGTGTCTACCGCGACAAATTTTTCTTTCACTAAATAAAAATGTTTGTTCCGGTTTCGAGTGATTTTACAAACAATATACATCACCAGTTGGCAAAAAGGAGGAACATACGGAAATATTTAAGAGCAACTTTTTTAATTGCCTTACTTCAGAAAGCAATTTTGTGAACGCAAAATCTAGATATTTAGGACGAAGACGCCACAAGTTCGCCTGAAAATTCAAGTTTCAAAATTGACAGATTCCTTTTCTTAATTAATTTTGTCTGTTCCAATTTTTTGCACATCTCTAGTATTGTTTTCTCTAGTATCTGTTTGTGAGCATTTGTTGGTTTCGCATTGCCATGGACTGTTCGTATCTTTGCTGTTGGTCGTAGTTGTAGTTCCTTTCTCTCTTCAGGGAACTGCTGTAGTCTACACCATGTCCCCCTTCATGACGAGATGGCGCGGGACTCCTCGAATATCCACGCCTAAAACATGCCACAAACCAATTCATTTTAGATCAAAGTGACTTCCCCCTCGGCCTCAACCTTTTCTTTCTTATTGGAACAATCGAAGATGCCCCGTCTACAATTTGGATTAAATTTGCAAAGAGCTGCGAACAACTTTTAGATTCGGATTGACTGAAAATTGAACCCAAACAATCACTGCAGCTCAACCGGTCTGAAGGGAGGAAATATGGCTACTTTTCTTAGATGTTTTGTGACTACGTTGAAAACGGTATATCGCCCAAGAACATGGCCAACAGACAGTTTGGAAATAGTTAATGAATGAAAAACGGGAAAAAAAAACTTTTTGAAAAAAAAATCGTTTCAAAGTATAAAGTAGAAGAAATTGCGAGAAAATGAAAACAATTATGAAAATTTGGATCACTGACATTGAAGCTCTTTGAATTTCAGGAACAGTTTATGATTGACCCTTGTTTCATACAAAATTGGATCAATTAGTAAAGTTTTCATTCCGCTAGGATATCTGAAAATAAAAATCCACTTTCGAAATTACGTTTTTTTTAGCGCCAGTCCATCACGTTTTTTGCGCCAATTCCACTTTCGTAGTTAGAACAGGCAGTTAGCCTAACTTTTACCAGATGAATTTGAACTGAACTCAAAAAAGCTTATTTACCTTAGTGCATTCATAAAAGCATTAATATGTAGGAACGCACTTCTGTAGTTACTTAAGCATTTGAAGACTTAAAAAAAAAAAATCACCAAGACCTAAACAAGATTCTTCACTCGGTTCAACGAATGTTAATTATTTTCGGGGCTTGAGTAGAGAAGAATAGGTATAAAGAGAAAGATATACTGGACTTAATTGTTGGGTTAATTCTGAGCGGTTCATACCTAATTTACACGCAGATTTTATGACGTTTCTAAACCAAAAAGCCTGGTCAAAAATAGGATCACACATAAATTGACAGCAAATTGACATGCATATGAATCAAAGTGCTTTTTTGTATTGTTATACGCATGAAAAGTCTATTTTGATCAAAAATTTGCGAGAAAACGAAAACAAATATGAAAATTTATATCACTGACAAAAATGTCACTTTCAGAGGTTTATTTATTTTGTCAAACTTGAGCTCTGTGATTTCATCTGTTAGATTTCAGAAATTTCTTCTCTGGCAAACAATTCATTTGAAGTCACCAACAGCGATGCTAGCGTATGACTGAAATCTATGCAGCATCCTAAAATAGTCAAAGACACCGCGCCTCCTGATGTTTACCAACAGTAACCGCTGTTGCAATCGCAAAAACTAATTAAATTATTTAATTTGTTTGATTCAACCTCAATAAAAGTCAGATCAGTTTTTTCGGTCAGAAAAAAACGAAAAACCTTCGGACGACCGAAGACAGTGGAAGCAAAGAATCTTTTATTGTTCCTTTTATTATTCCAAGCACTCAATATTTTTGGGTCTCATTTTTTTCAAGGTAAAATCAGGTACCACAATTAACACAGAGGCAAAGCTGAGCTTCGCACCACTTGCGATGCAACACTCGAAAACAAATGGTCGAAAAAGTCGAAAAAAATAATCGAAAAAAAACTAAGTCGAAAAAATTAGATCTACTCTAGAAACCAAAAATTAATAATACAACCATCTTAAAACTTAACAAGCGGTAAAAAAAACGTCTGAGCAGAAACTCTTAAAGCCGAAAAATAAACTTTCAAAATTCGGAAAAAAATCCAAAAATATAAAAAATTGTTAAAACTCATCACCTTCAAAACTCAAAACGCACATTAAAAAAGTTGTGGCCACTAAGACGATATAAAATATGCGAAACCTATTAAGCTGAAAAAATAAAAGGAAAAAAGTTATAACAATGCGAGTTGATAAAATTACAACCAATATAAAAAATATTTTAAAAAAAACAGATTTCGAATAGGCCACATGTTCGAAATGCTAACATGCTCAAAAAAACTCTGTTGCATCAAAAAGGCATAGTGGATGAATGAGTCCAGGAGATGAGTCCTGAGCCTTAAGTTATTTACGGGAAAAAGTCTAGCATATGATTGAATACCCTTGCTTATTGCAAAGGGTAATCATTAGAATGGGTCGATTTATAAATCATAATTAATCCTAAATAGTAATACATCATATACGTAATCTGAAAAACATTTGGAAATAGTTTTGGGTGTATAAAAATATTGTATGTATAAACGGTATCAAGTAATCTTAATTAAAAAATGTGAATTACTTGTTCAAACCACGTACTCTAACCAAGAAGCGACTCAAATTGAAAAAAAGCAATTCAATTGAAACAAAAACAAAAAATGTAAACATAACAAGGATAACTGGTTACTGTGCCAGTAGCACAGAATGTTCCGACCTGTGCAAATTAGTGTCATTTTTTCTGCATAGTGTGAAAAGAGGATCTGAACAAAAAAAACTTCAACTTAGGCATATTCGTCGGTTATAGTAAAGCAGGCAAACTGGACATTAGTTTTTTAAGAAAAATGACTAGAAAAATCAAAAACAAATCATTAAAATAATTCAAATTAAAATTCGTTTCAGTTTCTTCTTGCAAAAACTTTTAGTTTTTGATTCACAATATCGCGTTTAAAAAACTCCAAAAATTAATGATATTCGAGTCAAAATAAAATTAGCATGAATAACCTATTGCGAATGACCTAATATAAGCATAAATAAGCATGCTTGCTTGCTTTAGCTTTAATCTCTCGAAATTAGAAGAAAAAAAATCAAACTTGTTTTTCTCACAGGAAAAAAATTTTGGAATTTTTTAAATGTCGTTCGAATCACGACTGGAAGGGCTTTAATAAGATATATCACTCGATCCATCCGAAAATAATTTGTGATACCTTGTTTTGCAAGGAAAAAGTAAGAAAAAACTAAAACACAGGAATACGAAGTTACTGAAAACCATACCTTGGAACAATATTGCTTTACAAAAAAATCTTAACAATGGGACTCGAACTTGCATCAAATCGGGCAAGATCCAATTGCATCAAACACTTCGCCACATCTTCACGTCGCATTCTTCTTTCAGCTGCATTTTAGTCTTAGATATCAGGCAATAAAAAAATTGCTTCAATAGATTGAAATAGCTAGATTGTGATTATTGATTAAATCGTATACTTTGAATAGAATCTTGTCTTTAAAAGTTCGACTTCTCTTGGAAGAAATATGACGGCTAATCTTACATCACTACGCTCGCTGAATCGCTCGTTTTAATTAAAATTCAAACATGTAGTAGAGTCTTTGCTCCAGAGAGAGCTTAACTAATCTTGGGTTTTCTATATGAATTAGAACGTGAACTTAAAGTCTTAATTCAAAGCGACAAAGCATGGACTTCAGTATTAACAGAAAGACATTTTCCTTGAAAAACGAAAATTAAACGACCTAAACGAGTGTGAATTTGAACTTCAAACACAGGGGCGAAGTTGCACTTTGCATACACAAGCAAAAATATGACCGATACCGCTACTGGGAAAAACTGAATTAGTAAAACTTCGAGTCTACAAAAGTGACGCACGCCAATTTTGAGTCTACATAATAGCTAAGTGACGCAAGCCAATTATGACGCATATACCAGTCAATTTGAAAAAAGGGAGTTAATCAACTAACATGCCTCAATTTATGGAGCGGGCGCATTTCAGCTAGTATCCGAAAAAGTTCATTGAAAACATCCGACCTTGCCCAGGTTCGAAATCTCTTATGTTGTTGCTGGTCTCAATCCCTACCTCTACGCTACAGATCCATGATACCGTGAAGCTAAAGTGCTATTTGTAATATAATAGTCTGTGTTAATATCCTTAGCATTGGCTGTACTTAATAGCTGATTATTGATCAAAATGAAAACTTTCAAAATTAACACAATTAGTCAGGCGTCGCAGCAATATTTGCAACTTACGTTGGAAAAAAAGAGAGTTCATACTATAACACAAGCTTTGCTTGGGTAAATATTGCCGACAGGAGGCTGCAAATGTGCCAATGAGCTCAAGGAAATTGGAAAAAAAAACTTGATTATTTTCTTAAAATTTTCGAATTTCGAAGAAAATGTATCAGGTTCAAGCTCTTTAAATTTCAATAATAATTTCTGGTAGACACTTACTTACTTTTTTCATCTAGTTAGAGAAAAATGGGTCAATGGATAAACTTTTTGCCGCTGAGAAATCGAATAATAAAAAATCAAACTCAAATCTAAAAGTGATTCACGTTTTTCGCGCCATTTGCGCTCTCTAATATGGAGATCGTAATCAGTCTTCCTTTTAGCATATCGATTCGAAATCAATTAAAAAAGAGCTCAAAAGTTTTTTCCTGAAAAATCACACGACCTTTTCCTGAAAAATCACACGACCTCAATAAAATTTTCAATACGTTCATTGACACTTCAAAAAATATACAAGTTTTAGATAAATGAAATCATGCGAATTGGTTATCCCCTAAATGAAGGTAAACTTAATGACTCCGACCCCTTATTTGACACTCATCTGAATATTCTTCTCAATTGATTTAGCCTAACAATCACTCACCCTCATTATTTGTCCGCTTTTTACTTTCAGTTCTGGACATGAATATAAATTCCTTTTCAACGCACCTGGACGGCTGTCGCTGGGGTGGGACGACTCCCAGGGCGTGTCTATGCTCCCTGGCTATCCGGCGGTCACTCCTACTGTCCCCATGCTCCACTGAGCCGCCTCCTCCCCTCTCGGCCTCAAGTCTCTCTGCCAGACCTCCTCCTGCAAGAAAAATATACACAACTGACGTTGACATGGTCGACTGATTGGTTAATTATAGGGAAAAATAAACATGCACCAAGTTGGACAATAGGATAATTACCAGAGCCTTTTTATAGGAAATCATGCTACGTCAAATAATTTTTAACATAAAAGACCATTGAGTGTAAACATAATGATGAGCCTACATGATAGTGCGAAACAAAAAAAAATAGAAACTGCGAAACAGTTCCAAACAAATTTTCACCAAGATTTTCAAATTAAGCTTTTCTCAAATTAGAGTACATGAAACCTTAGAAAGTCAAGTTTTCAAGAGAGCCCTCCCTCATTGTAGAAGTTACAATATTACGTCACCATTGATTCGATCAGTGAAACCAAGATAGAAATCATACTCTCTGGCAAAGATATTTGACAATTCAATACAACAAGCTGCAAAAATTTGAGGACAACGATTTGGCAATAATTTTAGGAGAAAATTCCCTCACCAAAAAGCGACAACACAGTTCATTTGATTTGCGTCATATACGTACTCATACTCATATTAGAAGGCCAACGTCCGATTACATTCGGCGCATATGGCGCCTGGTTTCTCATTTCGAAGCCAGGATATCTTTGGTAGCTTTGCATTTGAAACGATGCCCTATACACTGGGCGTACAGTATAAGTTCTAGGCCTCTGGAGACTTGATTCATTTATGGGAACTCTGGGCATTAGCCTGGGTCGGTTGAACGAGGAGCTGGGGTTCAGACTTCGTGCAAAACTGGGGTTGTACGATCTCGGATTTGCATAATGTTGCGGCGGAGGTCTATATGCCAGATTTGACATGGAACGACTTGGTTGTCCAATAGAATTGAAAGGTGGTTGGTTATTAGCATATGCTGGAAAGATATAACTATGATTGCGATTGTTGAAATCAGACTCCATGTCCTCGTCAATGAAATTAGCTGGGTTGTATTGAGCTCTTGGAAGACGTGCAGACACACCGTTTTGATTTTGGAACTCATTAAGTCTTAAATCTCTTTCTACTATTTCACTTTGAGCTCTTCTTTGGTTTCTCTGCTTTAACACTGAGGCATCTTTAGGCTCTTTCAGCTGTATCGTATGATGCATCTCAACTTCAGTAGTTTCATCTCTGCGCTTTTCTTTATAGCTTTCAGCTTTGATTTCCTTCGTTTCCTTATTTGAAATCGAAGGAGGAGTTCCTATTTCTGATTCTATGGATCTCGGACTCAGTACATCCATCGTGTCTTTATGTCGGTTCAAATCGGATTCAGCAGGACTAGCCGTGTGTTCCTCTTTGTTCGGAGGTGGTCGTCTGGTCGAGGCCTCCGACATAGCTGCTGCGACTTTATCAACGAATTCCAGAATTATTCAAATTTTATAATATGACAATACGGTAACGGTTTCTCGTGAAAGTTAGGTTCTAGTCTTTATGAAATTGCGCTAGCACTTTCTAACATATCAACAACCCTCAGTAAATCGATTATCAGTAAACTTTGAATTGAGAATTTCTGTTTGAAATTCAACTCGTGCTTAAACCTAAAACGATCATCTCTCCCAATTGCAAATGTACGAAACTCCATGTCGGCTTTTAATTTCATGCAATTCAAAAGTTGAATTTTACTAAGCATTCAAGAGACGCAAGCATTCAAGGAACGCAAGAAAACTGATAGATATAGATTATTTTGCGAAAACTTCGGCGAAAACAATATATCACGTTTAAGCTCTTTGAATTTCAAAAAATTTTTGATAATGACACTTTTTTGAAACTAAACCAACTATAGAGAAATTGCTTAATAGGTTACTTTTTTATTCCGCTGGGAGTTCTGACAACTAATATTCACTTTCGAAACAAAAATTCATAGAGTAGTAAGTCAAATCGCAAAAAAAAACTAATAAAATTTAGCAATAACAAATTAAATACTTTGTCCTTTAAACAAACAAAATAACAACAAGACCTAAACTAGTAATCAAACACTGCAAGTAACTAATAACCTGCTCTTATTGAAAATAAGCCAACAGACAGTTTGAAAAAGAACAGTTTCAATGAAGGCAAGTAAACAGAAAAAAAACTGACTTATTTTTTGGATCAATTGAGCAATCTCCCCCCCCCCGTAATTACCAATTGGGCTATCTCCCCCAAGCAAAAACTTAGACGCTACAAAAAGACGTCAACAAACGCAAGTAGATGATTGATGTGTACATTATATGAGTATCGAGAAAAAATTTGAAAATAATAGAACAAAAAATGTGCAAATTTTTGTGTGGGCGATCATTGCTTCTCATTGAGGAAAACGAGTTATCAGGGTTGTTGCTCTAGCCTTGTATCTGAATACCAAAAACTGTTCTCCTCCTTTTTGCGGTCAGCTACATTCGGAAACATGAACTTTTCAAATTCGATGCGCCTGCGTACAATACTAGGAAAACTTTAGATTTGATGAAAATACCTAATTTGAAAAAGCAAAGTTCAACGATCGTTGCTTAGTTACCGTGGAACAAAGCTTTATAATTTACTTCGAGAGAATTAACTTCCCACCAAATTTGCTGTTTTTTTTTTTCAATCCAATGTTCAACAGACTGCTCACCAAGTGCGCGATCTATTCATATTGAGCAATGAAGAACTGATCAAATTTATTTGTTGTTATTGAATTGTATTTTAACTAAACTGATATGTGAACAAGTTCAAATTTTCTCATGCAACCGAGTAAAGGTGCCTACGACTAGCGAATTTTCAAATTTTACCGTTTTTTTATGATACAGTAAAGCTAATGTCATTCAAATCGAACCATCTATTGTTCAGTAGATGCACAACTTGTAGAGATTGTGCCACTTGTATTTTTTATATATTTGATTATTCGTGTCTCTAAGTTTTCTTATCTATTGTATCTAAATTGATTTCAATCAAATTCAGGGCAGCACTTGGCAACGCTTATGGGTTCGTTAACTTAATAAAAAAATCAAAATTCAAACCGCAAAAAAAAAAAAAAATTTAAGCCTGAACAAATTTAAAGACTGCCTGAAAAAATAGACAAAATCATCATGACCTATATAAGAGTCTGAACTACGTTGATTGACTCTTAATTACTAATAACCATAAAAATTGAATGTCACAAATTATTCCTAGTTAGCAAGGGAATACAAATACGAATCGATACTCACTTAATCTCTCTCCTCTCCTCTGTTCAATTGCATCTGCCCTGCTTATGGATTGACCCCCCACAGTAGTCGAGCTGGGGTTAGGGCGCCTGGGGGGAATATTGTGGGTGGGCAGGGGTGGGTGTGTCGCTCTCCAGTAGGCCTCCAAGAAGACGTAGAGGGTCTCACAGGCGTCCTCTAATTGATTCTCGTCCAGCACAACGTCAAACATGTCCTAAGAAGATGGACCGAATGCGTAGACCGAGAAACAAGATTAATAATCTTTCCAAAAACCATCATCTTCCTCCAGAGGCGTGAGGTGACAATTCACAACAGCCGACAATTCGTTAAAGTATATTAAGCTGGGAGCACCGGATGTAACCCCAGTGGAACAAGCGTATTCACCTTGCCAATGCCTTGTTACGAATTGTCGCTAATTACTAATTGTCGCTTGTTACAAACTGTCGCCTATTACGAATTGTCGCCCTACTCTCAAGAGGTGAGAAGGAATTATGGCCGAGAAATTAATTTTTAGATGCCTAAAACATTTAAATGGATCCCTGAAAATTGTATGAGGATCCATATTATTATAATATTAACTAACTTGCAGTCGCAATTCGAATTCCGAAAATATTCTGAAAAAATATATTTACATTTTCAGGCTATTGACATTTTTTCTGGCGGTTACATTCGATTGACTTACCGGAGAACACTGAGCGAGTTTGTCTGCTGCAACCAACTGTACGTTCAAATGACGACTCTGAGATTTGCCACGAGACTTGACCAGTCGCTGCAAAACCTGAATACAGTCAAAGCATTAAACTTTCATCTACAGAACGAAAACTTTTATAAGCAAATCTACCAATCATTTAGCAAACATTAACTATGATCAACAATTAACATTTATCTGATTTCAATTAGGATTCTTTCAAAGCAGTACCGATATCTACTCAACCTTTTTCTCTGAATAGTAGCATATCATCAAACGATAGAAAACCGAAAGCGAAGGGAGGCATAGTTTTTGCAAATGATAATGCTAGGAAGATAGGGAGCAGATCCCGCGGTTTTAATAGAAAGAGACTCTTAGTTTCTGCAGAGATTGATAAAACTCACTGGATGCAAATGAATGCACTTCAAACCAATCCAAGTTACCTTTTTATTCGCACCGCCCTAATTTTCAAACAACTCAAATAAGGTCAGTCAGAAAGTAACCAGAACAAAATGAAAACTAACAGATTACAAAGCTTTTCCCCCAACCTGTTAAGACAAATTATCAAAGACAAACAAAGTGGTTCAGAAGGATAACCCTTTCAAACCCCAAAAATATAATTAATCAATTATCTAATTCATACAATTGCTTCATCAGCAATATATTCCTAAAATTTCACTGAAATGAAGCTTTAAAAACAACGAAATACAATTTGCTTCTTAAAATCTCTCCCGATCAATAGTAGTTGTTAGTTTATCAGAAAAATATGCTTCAATTAATGTGATCAACTCAATGATCAACTCATGCAATTCATGAGAACAACTTCAACTTGATCACTGAATTGCAATCTCAATAGATACCTTGGGAGAAGCCACTTTGATGTAGACAATGATGGGAGCAAGGGATGTCTTGGCCAGTTGGGAGGGGTGGTTGATGGTGTCACAGTCCAACACTATCAGCTGAAGAGATCTGGCCAGCTCAAAGATCCTCTCTATTTCTGCCTGCACGTCAGCTAAAACAAAACACAATCGCAACTTTAACAATAAATTTCCACTAGTAGCCTTCAATAACACCAGAAAATTGCCAGCTCGGCTTGGCTTTTTCAAATTGAGCTCTTAACAACTACAGTTCTTAGTCTTTAATTACGGTACCGTAGATTGCTAAAGGCTGTTTCTGAAAGAGCGCGTTGTTTTGTAGTTTAATTACAAATGACGCGGAGCTCTCTGAATAAGTTTCATTACCTAAAATTTATTTACTTTTGTAGTATAGATAGATTTTTTACTGGATGAGACTGATGGGATAATAGGTTGGGCTGGAAGGGAGGTGGGGAAGCTGCACAAACTAGCAAAACAACACAGAGGCGAAGGGGAGCTTCGCCCCACTTGCGATGCAACACAAAGACAACATTACAACTAGCCGACAGAAAAGGAGACGAATGCCGCTAAGTCAAAACGTTGAAAAAAACTAGCTCCAGCACAATTTTCACACGTTTGTCTTAATTTATTTTGTATAAAGTTAATTTTTATGAAAAACAAGCCAAAAGGGATAATTGAATGTTATAATAGCATCGAAAAAAAACTTTCGAAGTGGTCACAAAGTCGACAATTCTTGAGCAGACGCCCGCTAAGCCGAAAAAAGTGTTTTCGTATAATAACAAAAAGCCCTCCTCTCTAGTCTAGAAACTTTTTTGCTCATCAAACGAGGATATATAGACCACGAAGCCCATATAAAACACGCCAACGCAAAACAAATCGAAAAAATGACATGTAGAGCTCAGACAGGCTCAAAATATGTCTGTTGGAAAAAAGTTATTTTCTGCAGAAAAAGTCGAGCGCCTACAGGAAAAGTCGATCATGCTTAACAACATTCCTACTTTAAATAACCTAAATTCAGTTGTTTGAGCTATTGCGGCGTATTCATGCATGCATTCCGCCAAAGAAGATTCAGTCAAAATCAGAAGTCAATAAGAAGCTGAAGTGGTGAACTCAAATGCAAAACCACGATTCGATTAAAAACATACGGTTTAATTGGCTTGATGGTTTTCTTTATCCATTAAGGACGCGGCCTTTACGGATTGGAATTGCTTGCTATGTAAAACAGCAAGCACTTCCAATGTCTGAACTCGTGAAAAATAATTCAAGCTTGATTGGAAACAACAGTAGTCGGTTGCTGTATACTCGGACTTCCGCGAAACCTCTTGATCAAGCAAACTGATAATAACATTTGTAATTCAACCGGTTACAAAAATGAAAGTTCCGCTCTGATGATCATTTGTGGTATCTGGATTTCATGAAAAAAAAATGAATAGCGAAATCCAAATCCAAAAAAATGATCTGAAAGTTTTTCAAATTTTGTTTAAAATAATTAGTTAGCATTTTGTAGAAAAACCGTTAATGTCTAATGCGCTAAATGAAGCTAAGAAAACGAGCTTTCCTAGAAAATTTTCTTAGAATAACACCTACGGAATTGCTTTACTCGCTCGAAATTAGACTGCGAAACAAAGCTCTTGATCAAGCAAACTGATAATAACATTTGTAATTCAACCGGTTACAAAAATGAAAGTTCCGCTCTGATGATCATTTGTGGTATCTGGATTTCATGAAAAAAAAAATTGAATAGCGAAATCCAAATCCAAAAAAAAATGATCTGAAAGTTTTTCAAATTTTGTTTAAAATAATTAGTTAGCATTTTGTAGAAAAACCGTTTATGTCTAATGCGCTAAATGAAGCTAAGAAAACGAGCTTGACTGGAAAATTTTCTTACAATAACACCTACGGAATTGCTTTATAACATTTGTAATTCAACCGGTTACAAAAATGAAAGTTCCGCTCTGATGATCATTAGTGGTATCTGGATTTCATGAAAAAAAAATTGAATAGCGAAATCCAAATCCAAAAAAAATGATCTGAAAGTTTTTCAAATTTTGTTTAGAATAATTAGTTAGCATTTTGTAGAAAAACCGTTAATGTCTAATGCGCTAAATGAAGCTAAGAAAACGAGCTTTCAATAACTTGACTAGAAAGTTTTCTTACAATAACACCTACGGAATTGCTTTACCCGCTCGAAATTAGACTGCGAAACAAAGCTTTGAGGGTCATCACAAAACGATATATCACTCGGCCCATTCTGATCAGTACCTGCAGCACCTTATTTGGCGCAGAAAAATTTAAACAATGGTAACTATAAAACACTGAAACACACCCTGCCTGAAAATCCTTCCCCTTTCAGTGGTCGGAACAAAAAACCAGACCACCAGAAGACCATAATAACACTAGAAAATTTTCTTACAATAACACCTACGGAATTGCTTTACTCGCTCGAAATTAGACTGCGAAACAAAGCTTTGAGGGTCATCACAAAACGATATATCACTCGGCCCATTCTGATCAGTACCTGCAGCACCTGATTTGGCGCAGAAAAAAAATTAAACAATGGTAACTATAAAACACTGAAACACACCCTGCCTGAAAATACTTCCCCTTTCAGTGGTCGGAACAAAAAACTAGACCACCTGAAGACAAAGCTACATGCTAATAAAAAGCCAATGCAATGCAGCAGAAGTAAAACCAAATAGAAAGAGACACAAACATTGCATTAAATAAGTTGGAACATAAAACAAGGGCAACAGAAGTCAATGAAAACAGGTAAACGAAAAAAAAAACTGACTTGTTTTTTGAGATCTCTAACAGTCTATCTTTGAAAACACTATTTTGATAACAAAATTAACTCACTTTGAGAAATGGATCAATGAGTAAAATTTTTATTTCGATGGGAAATCTGAAAATTGAATTCCACTTTCGAAACTAGAAGTCGATCATGTTTTTCGTGACCTTTACATTTTTGCTGTTCGACAGTGGAGTTTGCCCTCCTTGCAAGAAAAAAAATGAACTGAACTTGAAAACAAATCAAAATTCACACCACGAAAAAGTAAATTTGAGCCTGAACAAATTTTAAGACTTTTCCTCAGAAAAAAAATCATCGCGACCTATATAAACTACGCTCACGGACTCTTAAACACTGGAGGCATTCACACTAGCTAGCAAAACGCCAAATTATGTACAAATTATGCATTTCGAAAAAAAATGCGAGATATATTGAGAAGGAAAATTTCTGAAATTGAGTTTTTCTTATTGTACTGTTGTTTGAAACAAAGAGATTTTTCTGTTCATCAGAGGAATTAAAAATGCATCAACTGTGTTAGCTTATTACTAATCAAATATCCAAGCACACTATCAGAAAGCCGTAAAGGTTCCACCAAAAAGGACACCAATATTTGCGACTTAGGTTGGAAAAAAGTAACTAACAAAAAACGCATACGTCATCTCAGATATCAAGCTGATAATATTCGTTGTAGACAAATGAGCACTGATTCTAATTATTTTGGTTGGACAAAAAGTAATCGCAATCTCGCTTTTGAAAATACACGCATAAATTCGGCGAGACTGAGACGTCATATTCTCACAACTCAGAAAAAAGTATTATATAATTTTCACAAAGAGGCGAAGCTACGCTTTGCAAACACTAGCGAGAACACGACAAAAAGCACCTCTAGAGGTCTAAAAAACGGAATAAAAAAGTAAACATAAGCCTCGAATTAGTAAAAATTCGGCGACGTCTCGTACTCGAACCTACCACCTGCTGCGACCTAGAAAATATGATTCTCATGCACTAACCACTCAGCCCCGGACACTTAGTCCATCGCAAACACTAGCCACAATTAAAGCCGAGAACAGATGCTATGAAATTTCCAATGCTACAGATCGTGATTGTAGCAAAAAAAGGCACACAGGTGAACACTTTTAATGATCTCTTATTTGCGAGTTGGGTTAAAAAAAAGGTTCGTACTAAAACACTGGCCGCTCGCTAGCGTAAAAAGCACTGTTTATGCAATATGAGATGAGCGATGGTTAATGTATTTCTGGGGGATCTTTCCGCAATGTGTTTTTTTAATCAAATGTCAAATGATATAATCAAACTGTAATTTATTCAATCTTCAAGCAATATGACCTGAAAAACGAGCAATTCAAACCCTTCTCCTTGACGCCAGTAACCAACACTTTTTCACAAGTTCGTTCTAGCAGTACAAGTTGCGACTGAAAAAGCTTTAAAATGATGCTTTACTCAACCCTATGCAAATTTTTTGGGGTTTCTGATTATTCGCAATGCCCGAATCCTAAGTTCGCTCCCACTCCGTGAGTGGTCGCAACACAATGAATGATATTTAGTGTCTTTGAAAGAAGGGTTAGTAGCATGATGTGAAACTTACCGTAACCTGTCAGTAGTGTCATTTACTAATAAACTAAATTTCTAAGTGATAATACAAGAAGTTTTAAGAGGGGAAAACTGCTTTCAAGGATGAATTAGTGTCAGTGCTGCAACTAAATCAACTAATTCTTTAAAAAATAATTTGATTTTCTTTACATGCACTACTTCAAGCCCTCAGTTTTAATTTTATTCATAGAAGCCCGGCTAAGAAATTAATATCTGCCCGTATTATATTAACAATTAATTTCTACTTGTGTAACTATTTCGCGCATCAAATTAAGCTTTGCTGCAATTTGGCTTCTTTTTCAGAGAAGATATTATGATTTTTGTTTCTTCCTTTTTTCCCATCAAGAATTAAAATTTAAAAAATCTTTCTTATTACCAGAAAAAGCACCCTATCAATTGATGTTGCTAATTTACATCCAAACTTCGCTTCAACAGACAGGTCATCAAACATCTCTGTCAGCGTGTCCAAGCATAAACACTTCAACTTACCCAATGATGACCGCGAGTTTGCCCCTGGATTAGCCCCAGGCATGCCTGGCGACATGGCTCCCCTGTCAATCAAATTAGAGGCAGCGGTAGTTGCCCTGATTTTGGAAGAGGCAGAGCCAGATGTTGCGCCTGCCCCACTAAGCACTGATCTCTTTGCAAGAGCTAAGTCAGCTGTCACTCTTGTGATAACTACTCTCCCTTCGAATTTGTGCTTCAAGTAGTCGAACAGTGCCTTTTGCATCATATCGGTTACCTAAAAAACCGCTACTTGTAGAAATTGCAATTCGAGCTAATAATTTCAATCAGCAAGTTATACCTGGCTGTTTGAATAAGAACTTTTTTCTAGTTCTTCAAAAATAAACTTACTAGCCACTGAAAATGGGGAGGAACTTTGCATTTGGGTGTTTTAGTTTTCTACCGATGCTTTTTTCACTTTTTTCCTCACAAAAAATGTTGTCCAATGATAAATCACATTTAAGCCCTTTCAGCCGCGTCACTCATCATATTGATGATTCACTTGAAGCTTTTCTTTTTTTTTCATTATTATTTATTAATAAAACATTGGAAGTCTGCTCCAAATAAGACATTGAAAAAGGACAAATAGACAAAAATGTGATATACCGAAGAAAAAATCTAAAGTCGTTTTTTAAATCAAAGGTTAAAGAGTGATAAGTTGAATTATACAGAGTTAAGTTGCACGCCACTCTCATTGAAAAGGTAGATAGCGACTGACCTCGAATCCTTTTAAAGATGGCCCTATAAGAACTACAGGGCGCATGGATGGAACCACATCATAGGGAGGGGAATTGTCGTTCTTCTTGAAGAAGTTGTTCGCTCTTTTTTCTTTCTCCTTGTCCAATTTAGTCCCCTTAGTAGCTGAGGGCGTAGTTGCGGTGACAGGTACGGTCTCGTCGTCCGGGTCAACGACTGAAGGAATAAAATATTGTTAACAAAATATACACCAACCGAACAAAAGTTAGAAATTTTAACATTATTAAGCTTAATATTAAACAAACACAGCTTTTAGCTTTCCATAAATTTTCGTGAGCTTCGAGCAATGGACAAAAGGACAAATTTGAAACTTCAAATTAGTGTACGAACCATTTAAACTTTGTATTAATTGGAAACTCGAAGAACTACATTTTAAACTCATTTTTGATCATTGTCATCACCAAAATTTGATATATGTTACGATTACAAAAGATGATTATTGCATTGATTATTAAGATGAAAAGGCTACAAAACTGATTTTATTTTGTTTCTTCAATGGCGATGCAACGGTGATATATAAGCGATCTCACACATAGAATTAGTAAAACTGAGGCGAAGCTGAGCTTCGCATCACTTGCGATGCAAAAATGAATGTTTTTGGTTTAAAACAAACTAAAAGACAAATCAAAAATTGGGAAAAAAAGTTACATAAATTGCCAAAATTACCTGAAACATTGCAAAAAAAGAGGTCCCGACTGGAATCAAACTCCCGGTCTTTCTCATCTCAAGCATGGGTGATACCACTGCCCGAATGCTCCTTGAATTTGAAATTAACAAAGCAAGTCAAACACGTGTACCAATTTCACAAGCGAAATCTGCCAACAAAATTATTAAAGGAAAAAAAGGCTAGTACCCTGTTGCAACACCCTTGCTTATCGCAAGAGTAATTGAACTTTAACGTTAAAGGCATCAGTATCATAGTTGGTGACTTAAAATTTAAGTTCGTAATTTAAAGGTTGGTATTTTAAATTGAATCTTGAAGCCCCACAAAGCCAAAACCACAAACATGCTCAAGCTGCTTCTTGACGTTGATTTTGTTAAGCCATTTCGAAGTTAATTCATTTAACCGCGTGCGTCGACTTAGAGTTAGTTATTTTTTAATACCTGTCGGCAATGCTAGCTCTTCGGGACTCAGCACTTCGCCCGGAGAAAAGTTTCGACTGCAAAAGTCAATATCAATGTTACTTTTCTTGCATGACTTGAGGTTCGGATAAATTTATACTTTTCATGAAGTTTAAAATTTATTTTTGAAAAGTACTTAACCTTTAGATAAAACTAAAGCTAACAGCAAAAACATCAAAATTAATTCTGTCTAGGACCAACGCGAGGCTCAAAGTATTGTGACCCTCAAATATTTATTAGTTATCAACAGAGCTGACGGTTCTTTGAGTAATACACAAATCAGCTTCAATAGATTTTAAAATGTGTAAAATGATCCAAGCCATCACCACTCACTACGTTGAAAGCTAAAGCAACCCACCCCTACTCACCTTGCCCCAACCAAGCTCATCATTCGCACCCAAAACCACGACAGATACCAATTACCATAAAGAGGGTGAATCACCGGAACATTACTCCTTTAAAACTCACCAGATGATCCATTTGTGTGCGAACTCTCTCCGTGATTCATAACTCTACAGGAAATTCAGTAAGTATCTGTGATTAGAGAGAACTCTTCCAATGAATTCATCAGAATTGAATTTGAAAATTGGATAGCCAGATTATTTTGACTGCTGTTTGAATAAAATTCAACAGAGCACTAGAATGCATACTTTTTGGACTCAGAAATCCTTATGAACAATTATCTTATCAGCAAACACCTGTAGTGAATATTACATTTAACTAGCCTTTAACCACAACTACCAACTCACTCCTTGTTCTGCTGTCTCTTATGTGCCTGTATCATCTGCTGTCTTAGCTTCTCCAGACGGGCGGGGGAGGGTATGAACCCATAATCATGGTCCTCCTTCACGAGTCGCCCGATCCACCAGTCGTTGTTGAATTTCTCTTTGATGTGGAGGAAGTCTTTGGCCTCGAAGCTTATGGCCTTGCCGTAGAAAGGTGCGTCGTCATCTTGACTTCCGTCGTAATCAATGTTCGTCCGAACAGCAAAAGCCACTGGCTTCGTCTGAATAACACAAGAAATCACGAAAAAAATGTTACCACCGAATTCTCGCTTTTTCGCTCCTCTTTTTCTGCTCCTTTGCTTTTCATATCTCATTACCTAGTAACACCATGTCAACAGCAAAAATTGCTTGAGTATCAAGATCAACCATTTCGCAACAAAAAAGTAACCAGAGGGCAGATGGCGCACTTTCAGACATCACTTTATCAGAACGGCTTCTGCGAAAACTCATGACTGCATATATTTATGGCGCCCTAAATGCAAAGCAAAGTCTTGCTTATTAAACCATGGCAGATGAATTTCTCAAAAAATGTTTCTGACGATAATGATAGACATGCAGATTTGCGATTGAATCTTACCCTGGCCTTTTCGAGAGCAGCGGCTGCTTGTTTCTCTATTTCTTTCCTGTTTACTTCGTCAGTTTGGGGACTGCTCGTGATTGTACTGGTAATAGTCTTCGCATCGCCAGTTCCCTCTGAACCCGTACCCCCATTATGACTCCCCGCTTTCGGGTCAGCAGCTCCAGCCTTCCCATTCGAGCTGGAGTCCCCCTCCGAGCCCTAGATAGAACACAAAAATAGCTTTTAAAGAAATTAAGACCATTTCATATACTAGAAATATATTCAGTCATTCATTCAGCCGGAAACCTCATTCAAAACGATTGGTGGTAAATCATAACTGCATACAAAAATTTTACGATTTTACACATTGTTGAAAATTTGGCTATACGGGTTGCCGAGTAAAAATTCAGCTTTTACTAAAAACGTGTTAAAGCGGTAGGCTAGCTAGGCAACTCTCTTAACAAAATTGATTAGATAAAAGCACAAGCAAACACACCACCCCACGCATGCTTTTTTCAAAGGGGAGTATAACTTGCATAATTCTCCAATAGTGAGCGATACTAGAAATATAATGCGAAAGACTTTGCCTCCCCACTTTTCAAGTCAAGTCAGCCTCTTTTATAAAGTACAAAATGACCAAAAACTGCATGCATATCTTTCGTAATCAATAATTCAAGAGCGAGTCTCCGTTATGAGCGGGGCAGCTTGCATGTGGGTCCTGTATCTCAAACATATGATGTGGCCAAAAGATGTTCCAACGTGAAGCAACCCAATTAAGAGCCGAGTGACTTACATTAAGAAACTCTACAAATCTGCGCTCGTTGGATAAGTTAAACCAATCTTCTATCTACAGGAAAGGGTTTATTCGGTTAAATTCGGTGATTTCTCAAGACTTAACTCATTTATATAACTACTAGATGTGTCTTAGTACAATGAACTAATTTACCTTTTTCGGATCCACCGAGAGAATGTTAAGGGACATTTTGTCCTTATTTTTGCCCGCCACACTGAACTTAGTCGAAGGCATATTTGATGAGTGATACTCAAATACTCTTGAAGCAAAGCTATACTGCTGTGCTATGACTGTGAAGCTGGTAAACAAGTGAGTAAGGGTAAAAATGAAGTGCCGATGAAATGATGCTAGTGATGATATGTCAATAATGATAGGTGATAAGGGCGAAGCAGAACATGTCTATCCAACACATACGATGGGCTAATATGAAATGTGATAAAAAATTGGTGGAATGACCCTTCCTCGCCCAAAAAATAATCAAAGTATCGGAATAAAAAGGAAAACGTATTGACAGACAGCTTTGAGTAAATCAATTTGTTGCGTAGTATTTTGAATACAGTTACTTCACAACACGTGATTACTCTTCAAAAAAAGCACCGATAATAGTAAGTTTATTACATATTCTACTTTAATATAAACTAACATAAATTATTAGTTTATGACAAGTTGAATTAACTAAGATACCATTGTTTCAGAAATATACAGAACCTTCCAAGAATTTGATTTTGAAAATTGAGGATTTATGTCAAGATCATATTTTGGAATGAGTTCTGGCGATAATAACAGACAAAATAAGGTTTCTTCTTTTCTCAACCTTAAGGCTATTTGTTGATATATCAACGAAATGCCAAAACACGACCCGGCTTACTGCCGGATTCAATATTGATAAAGGATTTTTATGGGTTCAAATTTTGTTACTCGAACTAGATTATATTGGTTCTAAGGTAACGAATTCTTATGCGGTCAATATTTCCATGACAGCTTGACTCCATTTGGAAGACTTAGTCTTATTCTCAGTCTTTTGAAACGATAGAGCTAAATTAAAGAAACTAAAATTAAAGTTTTATTTCATGGACATTTAATCTTCATATACTGGAGACTGTTAAATATATCATATTAGTGTCTCTGCCGTAATTAAATATATATTGTTACGGTCACCACAAGTAGTCTCAATGTCGATAAAGCTAGTCGGAATTTTATGTTTTCCAAACTCAATTTTACGGAGGCTGATAACTATTTAAACATAGAAGACGGTTGGAAAAGAGGCAATGAACGCAAGGAAAGAAAAAATACCGACTTGATTATGAAAAACTTTTGAATTTGAGAATAATAAATAGATGGCCTTATCGCTCTTTTAATTTCTAGAACAATTTAGGGTTGGCACCTTTTCGATCAAATTAACCCAGTTTGAGAAAACTGGATTATTAGGTAAAGTTTTTGTTCAGCTGGAAAATCTACAAATTAAAATCCAATTACAAAACTAGAAGTCGATCACGTTTTTCTTGACCTTTCAACTTAACACTTTTGCTGTTCGATATTGGATTTTGCCTTACTTTTATCAGAAGAAATAAACTGAAATTACAAATCAAAACAAATCTCCTGACAATACCGATACTAGCAGGAAACTGAAGTTATTGGAAAGACCGGATACCAACCGATACAAATTATTGTTTTGACCATTGAAAATGGGGAATTATGTTTTCAGGTGTTTTAATTTTTTTTGTTTTTTTTTCTGTTTTCTACGCAAAATTAGATATCAGATAACCAACGAAAAGTGTCTAGTGAGATATTAAATTAAAGACATTTCCGTCGTGATTCGAACATTTGATGGCTTTGAAAAAAATTCTGTGTCGAGAAAAACTAGTCAAATTTCGACCAAATGAGGCAAGCGAGCAGGCTTGAAAAAGCTTATTTATGCTTAATTTAAGCGTAAAAACTTCAATTTTCTCGAGTAAGATAGTTTTTGTAATTTAATTTCGCCATTTTGGGATCAATTCTTCTGCAAAATTTCTGCAAAAAAAATGAAAACAAATTTGAAATTTTTTTGATATTTTTTTTGTTTTTCTTTTCTTTTTTTAATATAAAAACTGTTTTCCAATTTGCCTAATTTGTTATGAATGTCGAATAGTCTGAAGTACTAAAAAAATCATTTTTGTATTTTTAAGACTAAGACAATAACCGGCTATCCTTGTTTTTCTTGCATAAACATATTAATGACTTGCCCAGCCAATGTAAAGTACAAAGTTTTTCTCTTTGCAGATGATACCAGCATAAATGCAGTCAATTGTCAAATTGGGTCACTTAGGACCGATAAAAGTATCTGGCTAAATGCTGAAAATAAATGTTAAGACTTGACAAAACTGTGCAGCTGGATCTAACTACCAACGTAAAATAACTACCAACATAAAATAGAACATCAAATGTTCATGAGTGATTCTTTGGGAAAACTGTAGGCACCCTGATTCACTCTTATCGATTAAATCACATTGATTTTGATCTTCCAAGACCAGTAGAGCAAGGCTGTGTGATTTGTAAAAGAGACCTTATAAACGAAGAAAGCAATTGGATGATTGTTTTCAAAGCAACATAACTTCGAAACTTTTAACTTTTATAAAATATTGAAATTTGTTTTACCTCAGAGTGCTAGTCTTCATCCCGTAGAAATTCTTAAAAAATTATTTTCAACTCAAAATGCAAGTCGATTTAAAAGAAAATTAAAATTGTTTCTACTAAAACTGCTTCGAGTATAACAAAAAAATTTAAGGCGTTCAATTCGATTCCGCGCAATGAAGCTTTCGAATTCTCTTTTGGAACAAAATCTTTTACCTCAGAAATTTCTTCATAAACAAAGATTAAAATAACGTTGAGTTATAAGGGTGTAAAGCTTTCCTATGTCTGTAACATGGAATTGTTGAAGTATACATTCGAGGAACAAATGTTTTTCATGAGCTTTTGAAATTCACTTCCAGTTCTCTGTAGGAGAATTGGAAATTTTTTGAATTTTTTCACCAATCGCTGCTGGAAAAGCTCAGTTGGGTGTCCTCTGTCCAAAAGCCTCAAACCAATTCTAAATGTAAAATTTGGCTATAGGAAGCTGTCACAGTTAGAAGAGGCAGCAATAAGAAAGTGAACAAGTTTAAGATCAAGGTGCCTTCTCTTGCTCTGCATTGATTCCGCTTCCACTTATTTGAATCGCAACTGTTTCACAAATCCACCAAATGCAACTAATGTTAAAATACAAGGAATTTGATAACAAGAAATTTTGTGTTCAAAAACTTTTTATTCCTGGAGTGGTTTTTTGAAATAAACCTTTGAGACTTTGAAATACAATAAAATTTTACCTAGGAGCAGGGTTTTCAGAGCATCCCGGGTTTCAGACCATAAAATTCGAATATTGTTTGAAAACAGGTTGAATTTGATTTAAGCCTTGAGAAACAAAATCTTTTTTTTGGCGTGATGAGAGAACTATGCGAAACCGTAAATGATTGTTAGTAAATTGGTAGTAATCGATAACAGTTCTCTTCGAAAAACAAATAACCAATCAAAAAACACCTAAAAAAATAAGTAGAAAAAAGATTTTGGAATAATGTTTTTTTTTGCAGAATAAATTTTAATTTTTACCACAGAGCACCATTAATAAAAATATGGAAGCGCGGCGAAGGAGTAGACCAAAAACTTACAAGATTTCAAAAATTGCACCCAACCGCCTTGTATTAAGATTGTGTATAAAAAAAAAGTTTTTAGGCCCCGTCTGTATAAAGATCGAATTTCAAAAATTTTACCAACGAGCACCTTCCTAGTAGTAATGAGGAACACATGGAAGAACGTTGGATGAGTAGACTAAAAACTTGTAGAGATCTCAAAAATTGTACCAATCCATCATGTATTATGATAAGGTATAAAATTTTTCTGCCAAATTAGAGGCAGAAAACTCATGTAGGAAGAAAAACACAGGATAATCGAAGCGTTCAACACGCTCCAAAGCAAGCAAGTACATCTTGCTTGCTTAGCTGCTTTCTTTCTTGAAATCTGTTACAAAACGGTAAAAAACTATTTAATGTTAAATAGTTGGAAAAGAAGGCCAAGATTCCTGAGACAAGAGCACAGTTAAACAAGAGGCCTCAATTAACAACAAACTGAAAAAAAAACACTTTTGTTCACCATCACTTGAAGGAAAAGCACAACGAACGATGAGAAACACGACAGCGATGTTGAATAATATTAAGTAGCTGTAAAAAAACTGTGAAAAGAAAAATCACTTATCAAACACGAGTCCTTGCCGCGCAAGTTTTCTTACAGTTGATGACTGAATCTGATTTGATACCATAAACAATCATTAAAACTTGATCTCCCTGACTGTAACTTACAGGCTAATCGATTATTCCCGTTAACACAGTAAAAAGAGTTAAAACCAGTTTTTCCAGTTAAAACCAGTTTTTATCTGAATTAGTGTATATGTTTTAAGCACCCGGAAAAATTTCTTCGGAAAAAACTCAATCATTCATTTATTCGAATATGTAGACCATTGCTGTTTATTAATACCAATCAATGACAAAGTTGGGTGTCCTCTGTCCAAAAGCCTCAAACCAATTCTAAATGTAAAATTTGGCTATAGGAAGCTGTCACAGTTAGAAGAGGCAGCAATAAGAAAGTGAACAAGTTTAAGATCAAGAAACCGGATTAAGGTGCCTTCTCTTGCTCTGCATTGATTCCGCTTCCACTTATTTGAATTGCAACTGTTTCACAAATCCACCAAATGCAACTAATGTTAAAATACAAGGAATTTGATAACAAGAAATTTTGTGTTCAAAACTTTTTATTCCTGGAGTGGTTTTTTGAAATAAACCTTTGAGACTTTGAAATACAATAAAATTTTACCTTGGAGCAGGGTTTTCAGAGCATCCCGGGTTTCAGACCATAAAATTCGAATATTGTTTGAAAACAGGTTGAATTTGATTTAAGTCTTGAGAAACAAGATCTCTTTTTTTTTGGCGTGATGAGAGAACTATGCGAAGCCGTAAATGATTGTTAGTAAATTGGTAGTAATCGATAACAGTTCTCTTCGAAAAACAAATAACCAATCAAAAAACACCTAAAAAAATAAGTAGAAAAAAGATTTTGGAATAATGTTTTTTTTTTGCAGAATAAATTTTAATTTTTACCACAGAGTACCTTCCTAGCACCATTAATAAAAATATGGAAGCGCGGCGAAGGAGTAGACCAAAAACTTACAAGATTTCAAAAAATGCACCCAACCGCCTTGTATTAAGATTGTGTATTAAAAAAAAGTTTTTAGGCCCCGTCTGTATAAAGCTCGAATTTCAAAAATTTTACCAACGAGCACCTTCCTAGAAGTAATGACGAACACATGGAAGAACGGTGGATGAGTAGACTAAAAACTTGTAGAGATCTCAAAAATTGTACCAATCCATCATGTATTATGATAAGGTATAAAATTTTTCTGCCAAATTAGAGGCAGAAAACTCATGTAGGAAGAAAAACACAGGATAATCGAAGCGTTCAACACGCTCCAAAGCAAGCAAGTACATCTTGCTTGCTTAGCTGCTTTCTTTCTTGAAATCTGTTACAAAACGGTTAAAAAACTATTTAGTGTTAAATAGTTGGAAAAGAAGGCCAAGATTCCTGAGACAAGAGCACAGTTAAACAAGAGGCCTCAATTAACAACAAACTGAAAAAAAAACACTTTTGTTCACCATCACTTGAAGGAAAAGCACAACGAACGATGAGAAACACGACAGCGATGTTGAATAATATTAAGTAGCTGTAACAAAACTGTGAAAAGGAAAATCAGTTATCAAACACGAGTCCTTGCCGCGCAAGTTTTCTTACAGCTGATGACTGAATCTGATTTTGATACCATAAACAATCATTAAAACTTGGTCTCCCTGACTGTAACTTACAGGCTAATCGATTATTCCCGTTAAGACAGTAAAAAGAGTTAAAACCTGTTTTTCCAGTTAAAACCAGTTTTTATCTGAATTAGTGTATATGTTTTAAGCACCCGGAAAAATTTCTTCGGAAAAAACTCAATCATTCATTTATTCGAATATGTAGACCATTGCTGTTTATTAATACCAATCAATGACAGCTTAATACGATCTAAAAATCAAACAAATAAATATCGCTTAATAAGTTCTTCCGATCATGATCATCATTCCTCCGAACAAAAAGATACAATCCAGAAGATTAGAACTGATTCTAATATCCTTTAATGGAAGACAAGCCTAAACCGCTCGAAATGAGTGTAAGTATAAGAAACAAACCTAGCCAACAGACAATGAACATGACAATGGAAAAAAAATGCAATGAACGCAATTAAAGCAGAAAAAATTAACTTAATTTTTCAAAATTTCAAATTTCCAAAAAAATGAATGCCCGAGATAAAAAAAATAAGTTCTTTGAATTTCGAGAATATCTTATGATTGACCCCTTTTTAAAAGAAATCCACCCAGTTTAGGGAAAAGTTGGGTCAATACGAAAAATTCGCAGGGAAAGCTGAATTTAAATTCTACTTCCGAAATTAGAAGTCGATCACGTTTTTCGTGACCTTTATACTTTTGCGTTCGAAAGTGCAACTTGCTTTCCTTTTAGCAATGGAAATGAACTGAACTTAAAATAAAATCAAACCGCGATAGCACCTGAACAAATTTTACACAGAATCTGCGCTTCGCAAGCACTTGCGAGAAGACGACCAAAAAGCAGCTCTATCAAAAAAATAAGAAAAAGTAGAAATAAGCTTCGAATTAGCAAAATCTCGGCTACATGTTGAATTCGAATCTGCGACCTGGCAAATTTGAGTCTCACACACTAACCACTCAGCCACAGATGCTTAAAATCCCCAAAAACTAGCCACCAATATCGCAGCTACATATGATAAAAAAAATTGCAAATTCGATGCAGCAGCAACAAATACAAAAAGACAAACTTGCATTTAATAAATTGGAAAGCAATAAGCCAAATTATGATTAAATTATGCATTTAAAAAAAAGTTGCGAGATACATTGAGTAGGAAAATTTTTGAAATCGAGCTTTTTATCGTTGTACTGCTGTTTGAAACAACTTTTTTCGGTTCATTTGCTGAATTAAAAATGCATTTTTACTAGTCAAATGTCAAAGCACATGATATTATACTGCTATAGCAGCCTACCGATTCAAAAGTGCCACCAAAAGTAGCACTTTTATTTGCGATTTAGGTTGGAAAACAAACAAAGTTCGTACTAACTCAATTTGCTTCGCAAGTGTAAAGACTTCTGAAAAAAAAAATCATCGCGACCTATTTAAGAGTCTGAACTAGGTTCATCGACTCTTAAAACATTACTCTTGATAGTCAGTATTATGTAACCGAAGGGCAAGCAAAACCCCAAAACTTTAAAATGGAATAACACACTCAATGAAATGATACACACTGGAAATTCACCTCTCCGTTTGATCTTCATCTTACCCCAGAATGCTGGCTCTTGAAACTTTCTATTTTTGATATTGTATCCATTATCAATTAGAAGCTTGAATAAAAAATCCGATATCTAATTTGGCTAATTGAATCAAAGCTCAAAAAAACTGTACAGAATACTAGATTTTTTTCCATTTTCTTAACTATACTCGGCTTCCAGAAAAGTACATCTGGAAAAAAATATATCCAAAAAATATTTCCAAAACAAAAATCACAGTAAAACAGAGGTATTCTTGAGATAAACACCATGAAAATCCTTACTTTCGATAAAAAAAAAACTGCACTTTGCGTGATTTCAGTTATAGACGTGTATCTGTGTTTGAAATACTGAAACCCCCTTTGTCATTCACGCCCGGTTTGATAAACTTTAATATTCAATAAATTGATTTGGAACATTTATACTTGCTATCGCTATAATTTTGTCGCTTCTCTGAAGTTAGAAACAAATCTCTGAACCTGAATAAAATTATGGACTTGATGATGCTGTCTAACCTTTGTGAAATCTGATAGTCTGTAATCAGAGGGGAGCTTCGCAGTCTGGCCAATATTATTCCCAGCAGCTATTCCCGCGGCCGAAGTCTTCTGTGCACTTTTGGACTTGGGCATTCGAAATTGTGATTGTACTACTGCTTTTTAACTCCACGTTTTACTCTTGGTTGATTTCATTGAGTCATTCTGGAAAAAAATCAACAAATTTAAAAACATTAAAAGCAAAATTTCAACTGAAAGGTGCGCATAAAAATCACGGACTTAAATCCAGTTCAGAAATGAAACAAGAATATCCGGTTGCTGTTTAAGTACCGCAGAAGGTTCCGATGACATCATTATTTTGAAATCTTTTTGCAATACAACGCAGGCAGAGCATTGCAAGCTAGCGAATAGAAAATGAGACAGAATAACGGAATCGAGAAATTTTGACAAAGACGATGAAACATAAGCAGAAACCATTTAAACGTAAAAACAAATTACAAAAAAAACTTACTCAAAATCCGAGTTAGTAAATTGACGAAATAACAGGAGGACAGTCAATGAATTCTGCAAATAGAAAAAAATATGTATGCTTCGGAATTGTTCCGACCATTGAAATAGGGAGGAATTTTGTCTTCGGGCTAACTTAAGTATTTTTTTCCATAAAAATCAGGTACCACAAATAATCATCGCAATGGGTTGAGTGATATTTCAGATCAAAACCCTTTCAACCGTGATTCGAACGACAATAATTTTTTTACTAGAAGTTAATCAAGTGTCGCGAAATAACGGTTTTAAAATTTGAGTTTTTGTCCAGTTTTCAGGAACTGAAGTAACGTTCGTTATATAAAAAAATTGGCAAATTAGGCTAGAGAAGCTTGATTGACTAAATGAAAACTATTTTGGAAGCAACAATTAGCGCTTTCTTGGCAGAAAAAAATCCAAAAAAATTAAGTTATTGTGCAAATAAACAGAAAAAAAAACTTTTTTTTTTCATTTTTTTGTTATCCATATTTTTAGACTGTTGTCGATTACGCCTAATTCACTAACCGAGATTGTATAGTTCTCTCATCGCACAAAAACTGACATAACAAAAAACGAAACTAACATGAAGAACAGAGCCAACTGACAGTTGAAAAGAGTAATGAACACAAGGAAACTGGAAAAAAAATCGACTTGTTTAGTCAAAAATCGTCAATTCTGAATTTCGAAGAAAAAAATAGATGGCTTTAGAGCTCTTCGAATTTGTACAACAGTTAATGATGGACACTTTTTTGTTAAAAAAAAGACCCAATTTCAGAAAACTGGATCAAAAAGAAAAGTTTTTATTTCGCTGGGAAATTTCCATTTTCGAAACTAGAAGTCGATCACCTTTTTCGCGAACTTACAATTTTGCTGTTCAATAGTGGAGTTTGCCTTCCTTTTAACAATAGAAATGCACTGAACTTGAAAAGAAATTACTAGTCAAACCGCGAAAAATTAAAATTGAGAGTGAACAAATTTTAAGACTTTTTCCTGCAAAAAAAAACAATAAAAAAAATTAGGAAGACCTATATAAGAGTACTCACTACGTTCATTACTATTTTAAAAAATCTTTGCAGTTCCTTTAAGAAAGTCGCCGGACCATTCTACGCTACTTGCACAACAACTGGTTATCATGGTTAAGTTTTCTAAAGGTATTGTTGATTTTCCAGCTTGTGATTGACAAAACTTAGAGTTTCCAAAAAAAACTATTCAAACTGCTCCAGCCTTTGTTTCAGACTATTAGCAGATTATCAAAAGCAAAAGTTTTTAATTTAGGCTCCAAAGCTGATTATAACAATGCGTAAGAAATCCGTTTGATAAGTGATTTTTTACCCTTCCGATTACTGGCAAAAACACGGATTTTGGTGAGTGCTTTTTCTCGTTGGAAATTTTGTTCAAAATAGGTTTCCATCCGGATCCCCTTGCCACTTTGTTATTTCGGCCAACGATAGCGAGAGGCAGAATTTGGATAATTTTTCTACGCAAAATCAGGTAAATAAACTTCAGAGGGGGTCGAATGATACTCTTTTGCAAAATATCAAGATCGTGTCAATTATTCGTCAACCATCTGTGATATTGGTCTGAATAGAATTATGGCTAATCAAAAATAAAATTATGGCCTTAAATCTCTTTATTCCGCTGGGAAATCTGAAAATTGAATTAAAAACTATAACTTGATCATGCTTTTCACGCTATTTCCTATTTCATAATTGGAGAGCGAACTTTGCCAACCATATAGGAAACTAACTTGAATTGAACTCAAAAAGTTCGCATATACCTAAGGGCATTCATAAATGCATAAATTTGTACGAATACACTTCTGAAGCATTTCTTGACTTTTTATGAAAAAAAACTCTAACATCCCGACCTATCTAAGAGTCTGAGCATGTTCATCGGCTCATAAAAAATCTGTACCCAAAAACATAGCAGTTTCTCTGCTAAAATATGGGATCAACCGCTGATCTAGGTGAGCCTCCTGCCACCTGTTCTTTCAATTGACATGAATATCACACTTGGCAGGGTAGTTCTCAAAAAACTTGAAAAGTTTCCAAAAACCGGCTTTTTCGCAAAAAAAAACGATTCTATCCGTTTGTGCAAGGAGATTTTTCAATTGAACTACTAAACTATGAAACGGCAGGCTAATTTTTAATTAGAGCATATTTGCTTCTGCGGGGAAGATTCCCAGAACCTGTCTTATCAATTACACACGTAGCCTCGGAGCCACTAATGCAGGAAACATTCCCTTGCCCTGTTTTTTGTTCCAATTTCAGATTTGGCAGGTTAGCTTTTGAGAGACAAGAACATCCAAAGAACATAACAATCTTTCCATAAAAACTGAGCTGTCACCGTTTCTGCAGGAGAACTTCTAGGTCACAAAAAAGAAACAAACTTGATTTTTTTGAATGAATACAATTTTTTTCTTCAAAAAAAGCGCACCGGTTTTTGCAGCGAAGCCCACAACTTTTTATTTTGATTGAACCATTAACCTGGCAGGGTAATTTTCCAGAAAAAAAAAACGAAAAATTTCAGAAGCAGTCAAAAGTTCACAAATTTGACGTTTCCGAAGGCTGGTTCTTTTTTTAACAAAAAAGGGCGTAGCCGTTGACTGAAACTTGACATTTTCAGAGAACAGATATAAATAGTCAAGCGAGATATCATACACGTTTGAATTTCATCAAACTCTAGGAAAAAAGTAATCAAACCATACAAAACACTTTATTTTGGATTATTATTTGGTAATTGAACTAAAAACGGAACTCAAGTTATTTACAAATTAACATATATACACATCAATCACATCACGCAACAAAAACCAGGTAAGGGAATTGATGACAAAAACTGAAGGTTTGTGTTGGTATGATCTATTTCTCGGCAAGATTAGCAGCGATCGACTTCAAATAACAAACAGATTTGAATAGTTGCGAATTTCGAGCATCTTTCGACAATCTCGCTTCAGTAGAAATTAATGCTTTTTGGGCTACTGGCAACAGCATTGCACTTTTAAGCGCTACTTTTGCTTTCTGGTTTGAGAACAGAATTGCCCAAAAAGTTGCCGCGACCGTTAGAAGAATCTGATCGTTTCTTGTCTCTGCCAATACACGCATTAACGATGGCACGAAAGTAGAATTTGCCAGCAGTTTTGGTTTGTTTGAGATATTGAAACACAGATTGTGCAAAATGATCAAACAATTTTGCGCCACTCTTGTACAATGTTTGTCGGCGCCTGAAGGAGCAATCGATGAACTAATAGCTGTCGAAGTTGTGAAACTTATTTTGAGTACTTCGATTATTTTGTCAACACTTGTGTTCATTTTAGCTATCATTTGTTGACCATCATTGCTGAATGAAACATTGACACATAAGTTGACCCACAGAATAAAGTGATCTTCGGATGAGCTTTGCGCAATCTTCTTTGGAACTGTCAGCTCCTGAAACTTCTGCAGAAAGTTGGCTTTCCACATAATTCCTCGGCACTCTGTAGTAAGACTTAAAGTTGCCAAGAGTCCAAAAATTGTATTTGAAAGAGTCAAATTAGTTCGCGTTGCCGTTGCAGGGTTCGACTCTTTAACTGCCGCCTTTATTAACAAGTGCACTAAAGTATTGGACGACGCATGCCTGTTCACAGGAACTGAGTTTTGTGGAATTGAGTGAATCGACATTGAAATGGCAGCTTTGTGGCATCGTGCAGCATACACCTGCATGCATTCAAGCATGGCTTGCATTAATGGTGCTTCAGTAGTGCACCAATGCCAAATCTTGGACACTACACCTGTGAATCCAAGATCGTACAAAATGATCTTAGCCTCTTCTTTGCCATACATGAAGTTACGAATTATCACAAAACAAGAAAAAATAACTTGTGCTAAATTTTCCTCTTTGGCAACCGTGCTATTAAGTGAAGTTATACTCATAGTTGTCAGTTTAACTATAGTCGTTTTAAGAGTATCGATCAGCATCTGAGGTAACTTTTCAGCCATCGAAGCTTGTTTTGAGAACTGACTGAACGCTAATAGGCTCTTCAGACATGTTTCTAGGCTTCTGTTGAACGTCGACATGTTTTCAACATCGTACAGGGTAATCAACTTTTTCGCCAATTTATAAGCTAGACTTTCAGTAGAATCACTGACATTATGAATACTCAATATCTTTTCAGGCGCTCTTGATATCAGAAAGGAGAAGAAACTTAGACACTCTCCAACATAAACTGGAAACTTGTCCGAGTTCTCCAGTACAAGTAAAGTCTGGATAATGAAATTTTCATTTCGGCTGCTTATTACAGCAAGAACTTCATCAAGTGAATTCTTGTTTGAGCTTTTAGTCACAAGACACTTCAAAGCGCGCGAACTGTCCGCTATCGTGTGTAATAAATCAAGCAATAAATCACTCAATTTATCGTTCTTTTGGGAGATTTCGGTCAAATTTTGTTGATCTGGAAGTATCAAGCAGTTGAAATGAGCCAGAGTAGAAGCCAGTAATGAGATACTTGGTACAGCTTTTGGAACATTGAGGTGCAGAAATGTTAATAACTGCATCACACTTCGGTACACTACACACAAATCATGCATTAGGATTCTCAATTTGAATTTCTCAGATGAGCTTTGGCAATATTCGTAACTCCTGATGATTTCGGTCAAAATTGAATCATCGATGATTTTCATCAATGATTGGTAGAGAGTAAGAGCTTTGAACGATTTCAGAGCTATTTCTGGAAGTAGCTGTAGGATGTTTAATGCAAAATTGCACATAGCTGCGATGTATTTAGGCGTGGCGAGGGCTTCCGATGCTTCAATCGCAAACTCCGAATGTTGCAGAGAGATCCTACAACATTCCAAATTAAATTTTTCCAAACTGTTGCTTCCTGAGACTTTTTGAGCTAGCTTCAGACTTGAAAAAGGAAAGAACTGCATCAGGGCTTGAGCGAATATCGGGAAGAAATCGAAGCTAACGACAAGAAGTTCCAGAGCTCTTAATCCTGAAATAGGCACGTTACTCAAGTTATCGACAACTAAGGGTCCGACGTATGAATTACCCTCGCATTCATGAAGAGAAGGGAATTCTAACTCTTTCGTTAGTTGAATTAGACTCATCAGACATTGTGCTTTGACAGAGCAGCATTCGCTTTTATCTGTTGCCACTTCAAATAGTATTGTCCATAAGCCGCCAGCAAAATGGTCAAAGGCATTGATCATGTGTTTTTGACCCTGCTTTGACACACAAAACTGTGCCACTAAATTGTAGCATAACAGTCTTGTGTGTGGATTTCGATGAGAGAGACGGCTTGTTAACCAGTTGAATGGGTGTTCGTTTACTGATATCTTCCAATGGTCTACCCAAACAAAATTTTGTCTGAACATGACAGCCAATTCTCTGGCTAAATTTGACAAAATGTGAAGTATCATTTCAATTACAGCACATCCCATGAATGATAAATTTGAGGACACACGTCCGGTTGAAAAGGATGACACAATTGCGACCAAAGTAGGGAAGATCTGAGAAATTTGCGATTCTTTCATTTTAACGGACCAGTTTTGTGTTTCTGTCACATAGCTCAAGACTCTGAGACATTTATGCAGTGAAGACAGGTCGTATGTTTCTGCATTGTCGCAGACTTTCACTCGTTCTATCACGGCGGGTATAATTTCAGAAGCGCTGACTAACTTCAAAACAGCTGATTTCTGGAGCGCAAAACTTTGAATGCATCGAAGCAAACTGTCTGTCAAATCAGTATCGTGGTAAAGGTTTTGATCGTTTAAAGCGAGAAAAAAGAGACTTTCTTTCGAGCATAGTACGCCATCAATCCATGAAAATACTTCTGGAAAACTATCGACATCTTTCAGAAGATAATTTATGAATTCAGCAATGTCTGATAGAAGCTTTCTGTCTTCATTGCTGCTAGGAATAACTGATAAAAACTTTTCAAGCGCAACTGAGAAGTCTAATTCTTTCAAATAATCAGCATAAAATTTAGGCTCGCTTTTAGCAATTGTCAGATAATATTTCAAAATTTGCAAATTTTCAGAGACCTCTAAATGATTCTGAGCACCTATGATGCTGTTTAAAGCACGAGCTACATTTAATTGAACGTCGTACAGCGAATTTTCAGGATGGGGATTTTCTTCAAGGGCTATCAACGGCTCAACGATGTCTGAGAACGCCGACTTCAAAAAAGCGACACTTAGTGGGTTCTCCATGGGGTCTGGGAGAATCGAACGTGACTTTGAGGACAGTTCATTATCACGTGCTTCGACTGAGAAGGGAAGCTTAAAATGAAGTCTTATTATTCGTGGAACGCTGAAAACTTCCTCATTTCCCGGTTGCAGCACTTCGTCGAAAAGTAGAAGAGAAAGGGCGAAAAGCACGTCAGATACAGCGCCTACATTTTCATTCAGAACAAAAGCGCTTCTTACCAAGCTGAACAACATGTGGGAATCGTGAGAATATCTGTGACGGGTTTTTGAGTGCCAGAAAAATAAATTTCTCAGTATAGACACTACTGATGGTAAATATTGGTGTTCAATGGTCTTTTCATTTGCTTTTTCAAGAGCTGCATTGAGAAATTTCACGACGTACTCAATTCCTTTGCGCTCTAAGAAATGTTCATGAATTGCCGGATCTTGGAGAAGAATGGCCACTTGGTCGAACGCACTTTTGCGTACACCTTCGTCTAATTTTTTCGACTGTGCTATATCCAGCACACTGTCAAGCGTGTTGGTCTTTGTATTCAGTCTTTCAGTTGACTCCCGGTCAACTGTAAGCTGGTTCTTTGGGAACAGGAGATTATGAAGTCGAGGCATTGTTGTGTTCGAAAAACTGGGGAGTCTCAAATGACCTTGAGACTCCTTGGCTAAATGCCACACAAGCATTCCGACCGCTTCTATTCTCACTTTTAGATCAGTGTTAAACATCAGTCTGAGGCAGCCTCTAAGTTTATCAACAGTTGGGATGTTTAACACTGTCGTAACTGAATCGCTGTTGCCTTCAGCGACCATGTTTAGCAATGTATTTCCGAATTTGGAATCTTTCGAGGTCAAACTTTGCAGAAACACAAAGTAATGCATTACATTACTGATGAAGAAACTCCAGGTATCGCTTTCAAACAGGAGTTGAGAATTCAGAAACTGGTACAATATCCAAGAAGCACATTCTTTAACTTGATCGTTTTGATCCAGCAATCCACTTTGAATAAGTACAGTCAGTATTTCTTCACTGAGAAGGAACTTCAACATTTTTGAGGGCTGGTTTGTCATTTTGTTTGCATTAGCGTCAATTTCTAAACACTTCTCGACAAATTTTTGGCAACTTCTGTATGCATGGATCCTTACAGTATCATACGGTGAGCTCAGATACTCGACTAACGTTTGAAGCACTTTCTTATAAAAATCGTCATCGTAATCACAGAAATCAGAAGCTATGTTGATCGATCTATCAATTAGCTCGAAATTTGATTGGCTAAAACCCAGAGCCAAATGACTCTGCCTAATGAACTCGACTAAAAAAGCGTTTTCATCTTTCGGCTCTTGTTCTAACGCTTTGGCCAGGTTAAGAATTGATTCATGAATCTGTCTGTCAAGTTCCAATCGATGAGATTCTGGTGAGTTTTCAGTTATACACGACTTTGTTAATTTTTCAACCGCTGTCGGGTAAAATTTTTTGAGTTCATAGTTGTATATCATCTCCTGAACTGCGCCCTTTATTTCTTGCAAGTGGCCAGGACTTTGAATTAGATTCAAATCTTCCACGACTTCATTTGAAAAGCTTGCCAACAGCATAGTTTCCAAATTGGTGATGGCAACTTGTGATTCGATTTCTTTGACATTATACCTGAACTGGGAACGCATCGACTTCGTAATTTCTGAGTTATGTTTGATCGCTGAAGCTAAGGCATGGGAAAATACTTCGATATCTTTTCGGAATATGGCACCGAGTGCTGATTTGGTTTCCCACATGGCTTTAACATTGACTGATTTTTTAATCAACTCAGTTATAACTACACTCAATTGTGCTGCTTTGAATACAACTTCAGAATTTGGCGCTTTGAACAAGTGTTGGATTGAACTCAAAACTACCGCGCAAAATTGAGGTAAACTGTACTGAGATGTTTTGATGTCTTCAGCTATGATTTCTTCTGCTTCGTCTTCATCTGTTGGCCGATTGAAGCCTTTGAAGGGTCCTTCTATCGTTGATTGCGAGCAAAATGAAGTATCTACTTTTGGGCTGTCGAATTTCACATGTGACATACTTCTCGACAAATCTTCAACCACGCTACTCGAAACCTTATTTGCAAAACTGACACCCATTGAATGGCCATGATTTAGAAGACTTGGCGTGTGGTAATCCGGATCAATAAGAAAGCTAAGCCTTCGAAGCAAATTCTCGCTCAAGGTCAAGAGCGCATTTATAGGTTCTAAATGCAAATCCCAGTTCTTGCGCTGTCTCACTTTAATTAACTCAAAAAGCTCTTCCACAATATTTGGATACTGGAGAAATATTTCAGCTGGGAAATCAGAAAATAAAACGTCATTGATGAATTTGCAAGAAAGTACGACGACATTAGCAGTTGCACCTCTGAGTGAATTTTTTGCCGATTCTAAGACAGTTTTGTCAGAGTGTGTCAATGGTCGCCACGGAAAATAAAGGAAGTTTAGAAACTCAATATCGATAAAGGTTTCCTCGATGGCTTTGAAAGTCCTGCACATATGCTGTTTTGAATTGTTATAGCTGTCTTCTCTGCGAGAAGCCAAGCTTTGCTCGTTGTGAATTTGATGCGATTGGCTTTTGAAAGGCTCGGTATTGCTTTCGAACTCGGAGATTTCAACGAGTCTTTTACTGTAATCAACAGTTTTTTCATCGTCATTAATAGCTTCAGGTATAGTAAGTAATTTGTGTATTAGAGAGTCAATATCAGGAAGAAAAAGTTCATTGACATTAGGACGCAATTGAGAAAAAAAGTCGACTGCTCCTATTTTAAGCAGAATGCTGGCGCTGGTTCTATGGCCAACTAACTTCTTCAACAGCGAAAACACTAACTCCTCGTTTGTAACTTCATCGAAATTGAACCATTCTAGAAGTCTTATAAACAGCAGCTTTTCTTGGCAAAGATCTTCTACTGTTAGAATAGACAATTCTAGTTTGGATAGCAGAGACTTCAGAGCAGGAACTCTTACACCCTCCAGGGGATGAGATAACTTCTCTATTAGGGGTTTGATATCCCGTATTTCTGGAACCATTACATCTCAAAAAAGAACACAAATGAAGCACAGAAAAGCACTGCAATTAATATTTCACGCTATGTACCATGAGGGCTGTTCTGATGGTTTGCACTTGGTCTATGTAAAAGAACAAATTGTACATTGAAAAAAGAGATCCTAAAAAACCTGAATTTGTGTTTAATTTTGTCCACTAGTCTATCGATTCATTAGTGATTGAATGAGTATGCCAGTCGGTCAAATCAAGAAAATTTAATTCATTTTTGGTCCAAATAGAATTTTTCAAAATTTTTCAATTGGCCCCCGTCATGATCATATTTCTCGCGACAGCTCAAACAGAAAGATGAAAACAATCAGAACAGCCGAATTTACAATTGAGGGAAATTGACGAAAACTCAGCCAAGAGTCAAATTGCTATTCGCCAACTAATAACAATCAATTTGAGCTGTCTTGTTCCTGATAGAGATCATCAAGAGTGGATTCGCGAGTGCTACGTCTGGAGCAAGATGAACCTTGATTGGTAAGGTCGCCCTTTGTTGAAAGTTTTTGAGTTAAATCTAGTTAAAACTTATTACTTCACTCAAGCTTCTAGATGAAATTTTTGCTAAAAAGTAAAACTCGAACGCTACGTCTGGAGCAGGATGAACCTTGATTGTTACGGTCGCCCTCTTTTGAATTTCTGAAAGTTTTTGAATTAAAACTTATTACTTGATTCAAGCTTCTAGAAATTTTTCCTTAAACTTATTAAAAAGTAAAATTCAAACGCTACGTCTGTAGCGAGATGAACCTTGATTGGTAAGGTCGCTTTTTGTTGATTTTGTTGAAAGTTTTTGAGTTAAAACTTATAGTTAAAACTTATTACTTCACTCAAGCTTCTAGAAGAAACTTTTCCTGAAAAGTAAAATTCTAGAAAATTCTAGAAGTAAAATTCTAGAAGCTTCACTCAAGCTTGTAACAATCGCCCGGAAGATACATATCGACGGAAGACAAAACTAAGTCTTAAGACGACTGGCTAACGTCTAAACAGAGCTTTGCATGCTTTTCACCGTCTCTACCAAGCCATTACTTTTCGGTGGTCCTTCTAACATCGGGTCGACAAAAACGTTACTGCTTTCGGCTTCGGTCAAAACACTCAAATTAACTAGATTACATGCAGAAACAGTGAGCTCATGGCTCAGTATCCCCAGACCACGAGGTCACTCCTATAACAGGGCTACTACTTATTATATTACTTTTGTTTTTGTTCAGTAGATAAAAATCATCATCTCCATCGAAGATGTATCAACCCTTTCCCCCAACTCCTAGCTTCTCATCCTTATCAAAATGAATCTAGATGTTAAATAAATTCAAATCAGGACATGACAAGAAGCTAAAAGTCTATATAACAGGCTAAAAGTTTCAGTCCCGAAACCCTTCCGGATTCTTGAATCCACTGAATCAAGCTCGCTAATCTTGACTTCCTCTTAATCCGGAAGGCTGTCCTCCACCCTTCACCGTTGTCTGCAACGGCCCTGCAACTATTGTAGCGACACAATAGTTGCAACTCGGAGTGTTCTCTGTTACTCTGTAACTCGTTGTCGTTTTCCAATCTCTATTTCGTAGTTGTTGTTAGCGCAGCTAATGTTGTTCTGTCTCTCTCCCTTGTTTCAGCCAAAATGGCCGTTTCTGACGTTTCTCAGAAATATGACGTCATAATTCGAATTTTTGAAATTTTAAAATACCAGAATATTCCAGCCCTCACCGTCTGGCCAATCGTTCCAATAACGTTCTTAGTTCTTAATAATCACCAATCCGGAAGGCTCGCTGCTAAAAATTCGAATTCTGCAGAGATTGCATTTTTCACATTCTGGTCGAATGTCACATACTCCCCGGACAGTCCGGTCAATGTCCTCATTGAATCACGCAATATTCGTAAAATGGTCACAGTGTCATCGAACAGAATTTACAAAATGCACGAAATTACTTTTATCCACGTCACATCGACTCACTGCAGATTATATATGGCATCATACTACATCACTATAGCCTTCAAATTCTCTCACTAATCTGCACATTGAGGATATGACTTAAGATAAAACATATTTTCTGACTTCCAATGTCAATGTCCCGATTAAAACTTTTCTCTTAGATTTAAAAGGTGTTGGCTTGCAGGACAGTCCTGCCAACCAACAAGCTAAAATTACCCTACTACGCTTTTCCCTTCGGAAATCTTGCTTGTTATTGTCCTGAATACTAAAACTAAGAAACTCTGTGGTTAGAAAGAACAATGAAACAATCTCCCTCTTCGAGAGACTACTCAAGCCTTCCATATCACCACAAAGTGATCAGTTCTCCTAGCTGATTAAAAACAGTCATGCAGGCTGGAATACTTAAATATACTCCTTCACTTAAGCCTTCCTAAATAAATAGTAAGTGAGTGTCTCTAAAGCCACTTCAATTAAAATCAAAATGCAAATTTATAAATGCAACAATTTCAAAACTCAACTTAATGTTTCAGTTTTCAATTACAACTTGGTTGCTTGGTTTCTCACTTGAGTTTTTCACACACATAAAACAATTCTGAGTTTTAACTTTTCTTCATCACTCCTTTGTTTTATTCTTTTTTTGTCGTTTAGAAGTTCTAAAACTTCTAAATTCTTCTAATTTCATCTTGTTTTTCGGTCATTCGTCAATGTTCCATTTCTTCCTCCTGTGATACTGACTCTGCACTCTCAGTTTCTGTATCTTGTAACACGTCGTTAGCTATCCTGACGCTGCTGGAAGCCGTCCTCCAACACTTCTGCTCTTCCACCCTCTGTTTACAACAAGGTAGGGGATCCACGTTAGAATCTCTGTTCCTGCAGAAGCTGTTGTGGAGACACAACGTCACGTTTCTCTCCAAATCTTCTTTCAGCATCTCTGCCTTCTCCTTTCCACTACGTTCACTCGTCCTGGAAATTCTTTTCACAGCGGTGGTCACTGCATTCCGATGAGTCACGAGAGCTCGCTTGAAAGCTCCTGCTCCAATGTCCAGCTGATATTCACTGTACACCCTGCCGTGCTTCGACATATGCTTTTTCGCATACTCGTACAACCATGCAGTCATGTTAGCTCTGAACCATGGCATCAATCGTTTTCTTGCCCATATCTTCTTCACTTCCATCAGAATGTTTAGAACTTTGCACATTGTCTCAAAAAGATCTAAATCTTTTAGACAATCTAATTTCCGCAACTGTTCTCTCGTCGGTGCCTCCTGTCTGTTATTTTCTCTCACATGAGCTTCCAGCCATCGTATCGCCATCATAACTCCCACTATCACTATCGTTACGGGCTGTGATGAATCTGGTAAACCCATGGAGAGCAGCTCTCCAGAGTCCCAGATCAACATCAGATTACTACGCTTAGGATACCACCAGGTCTGCAGCAAGCAGTGGCAAGGAAACTCGTCATGCGTCAACATGATGCTCCTCCAATTACGTTTTCCCGAAGCTTCCAGCAATGGTTCCACTTCCATCATCACTCGGTGGACTTCATCATTCTCATCTACTGCATTGTAATCTGTGACAGTTGATCCTCTCTGTTTCTGTCTCTCAAAGTCACTGAAGTTCCCACTCACATATCCCATGAACTCTTTCCTAGTATTGACTCCAATTCTTCTTTGGTTCTCTCTGGAACTGCTGAGAACAACTTACATAGTAACTCGTAAGACTTTTCAGACATTCTCGCCAATCTCACACACTTCGGCACTGAGAAGGCTTGATCCACGATCGTTCTTGTACTCTTCACGTCCACAGCCACGAAATGTACAGGGTATCTGCTCTTGCACATTGGAGCCAACGTTGAACCCACCAAATATCGTGCTCCTGATGGTCTTCAATAAGTCTCACTGTGTATGATGTTCATTTCTGTCTCGATTGCTTCCCTCCATTTCCCTATGTATTTCTGTTCAGTCTGCAGAACTCCTGGGAATACTTCTACACTGATGGCTGTGACCACCTCATGTTTCTGTTCCAGATTCAATAGTGACTCTAAAGAACCAAACATGCTGTAGAATCCTAGTGCAGTCACTAGATTCACATCGGTTCCTCCATGGCAATCTGCTATCAGTTCCGTTTCTGTTCTAGCTTTCATCACTACATTTCCAAACAATACCGTCAATTGCTTGTGTTGTTTCTCCAGGGTCTTCACACAGTCCAAACCTCCACAAACGTGACCCTCCAGTCCACAGACTTCCGCCAGACAGCTACCAGGTTTGACCCGGTCTTCTGGTCCCCAGCCAGGCAACTCCACTTTATCTTCTCCGTTGCTCTTAGAGGCTGTTATCATCACATTATATATGATGTTGAGGTCACGCAGGTTACAGTCTGCATTCAGTTCCCTCTGTACGTCTTGTGTCGCCCGTAATATTAAGTCAGCGTTGGGACTAGGACACCATGATGGCCTCATCAATTCCCACACTGTCATCAAGCTCGTTCTCAGTAATTCATCTGAGAATCCCAACCCAAACTCCACTCTTTTGTCGGATTTTGGTACTGAAGGTGCAGTCACCTCATCTTCCAAGACCAGTCCCAATTCGGCCTGTGGATTGTTAACGCTCTTAATCGTTACAATTCTGGACGTCCAGAATCTTAGCAACACCGCCTGCTCATAATCGAAGAAGCACTCGCGTATGTCTTCACTCAGGAAAGGATTGTACGCGACCCCTATGATCCCGGATACGTAGCCATACAATTTCTTCTTGATCGGTCCACAGTATTCACTGGATTTTGGCAATGCTCCCATAGATTCTTTAGTGAGTCTCAGCTCCTTGTTTGAGAATCTCCTGATTTCGTCTATCTTTTTCATGGGTTCCAACTCCTCAGGTTCTTTCATGTTCACCCTCATCGGTTTACTTTGCTGCATATCCAGCAGTGCTAGCAAGAATAAGGCTTTCGTTCGCTCATCGCCTTCCCTCAACATTTTAACACAAGTGTTTAATGCAGGTACTGAAATCTGCTCTATCAGGAATCGAATGAAACAGAGAGTGTCTCTCCGCTTCGCACA